AACCGGCCAAGTGCGTTTCGGGCCACGCGCAATGTAGAGTTCCGTAGACCGTAATTGCTTAACATAATAATGCGAACTAAGAAGAGGGCTTTTTGTTGTTTCATACTAAGTTCAAATTAACGTTAACGTTTCGGTGGCTCGCAATAAGAAGTACATTTTATAACAAGTACACTAAAAATTATCATTTTAGTGTTTAATATTTCGCAAACGGATCCCGTAATTTAAAAATTGTTAATACCCTACACCATGGGGTAGATGAGAAAAAAAACATCCGCACTTTACGTGTAAAGGAGATTTACGCGAGACCGGGATTTGACAGCTTCATTCGGTTTCCAAAGTGAGTGCGTTGCCACTGGCTACCACAGCCTATATCAAAAAATAAATATAACAAAAAACTAAGTTTTCTAGTTATGTGTGTAATGTTCCATTCTATCAACAAATATAAAATAGTTATTAGCTATAGCAACTTCTTCTCCATCCCCAAAGATCCCAAAACAGTAATATTTTTTGAAAATATTATAGACTAGTAACTCACCCTCACTCCGCTCGGGTTCGTTCCTAGTTACGTTTTAAAGTTTAATATAGATTTTTCAGAGATGGGATATTTTCCCGCAGTAAAAAGTCCTATATGTCGACCCGGATAACCAGCTACCATCATACCAAATTTCATCAAAATCCCTCCAGTGGTTTTCCCGTGATGCGGTAACAGACAAATAGACAGACAGACAAAAATTCTAAAAACTATAGATTCGGCCTCTGTATCGATAATAATGTCTATTTTATTAAGATTTTCAAAAAAATATTTAATGTACAGATTTGGCTTAATTAGAAGAATATTATTATATGTATAGATTAAAACAAGGTTTTGCTTTTTAAATTTATCTGTAGGTGTGGCTGTCTTTTTTAAACAAACAATTTTATATCCCTTTCAAAAAGCACCGACTAAAGCTCGGTCGCCCTGCCCAGTAGACTATTCATGCTTAATGTTTTAAAAAATAAATTGTAATTTTAATATTTTTGGAATGATAGATATCGCAAACAGTCCCATTAAAGTTCGCATTAAAAATTCATAATATAAATTATGAATTATAATAAAAATTCCCTTTATTATTTTATATGTACGTTTTAGGTACGTTTTAAGTAGATAAAAATATTTATTTTGTGCGTACCTTAGAAGATGGCACATGCTTGCTATTGTGTACTTTTCTGTAAGGCTTTTTAAGGCTTACAATTTTCTAGTACATTGATTTGGTGTATCTCTAAAGGTTTAACCAGAAATTAAGAGGTTCATGAGAAAATACAAAATTGAGTTCGCTGATCTCTCGCTGATATCTATATTTATCTATACAATCTCGTAGTATAAGACAAAGTCGCTGTCTGCCGCTGTCTGTTTCTTCGCTTACTTCTTCTAAACAACGCAATTTTTTTGATACAGTTTTCACAAATAGAAAGTGCGATAAACGGGGAAATTTTGTTGGAAACTATTTTGTACAAAATAGCTGTGCGTAGATGATGTTTATCAAAAAATCTGGTTAAACCTTTAGAGATACACAAAATCAATGTACTAGAAAATTGTAAGCCTTAAAAAGCCTTACAGAAAAGTACACAATAGCAAGCATGTGCCATCTTCTAAGGTACGCACAAAATAAATATTTTTATCTACTTAAAACGTACCTAAAACGTACATATAAAATAATAAAGGGAATTTTTATTATAATTCATAATTTATATTATGAATTTTTAATGCGAACTTTAATGGGACTGTTTGCGATATCTATCATTCCAAAAATATTAAAATTACAATTTATTTTTTAAAACATTAAGCATGAATAGTCTACTGGGCAGGGCGACCGAGCTTTAGTCGGTGCTTTTTGAAAGGGATATAAAATTGTTTGTTTAAAAACGACAGCCACACCTACAGATAAATTTAAAAAGCAAAACCTTGTTTTAATCTATACATATAATAATATTCTTCTAATTAAGCCGAATCTGTACATTAAATATTTTTTTGAAAATCTTAATAAAATAGACATTATTATCGATACAGAGGCCGAATCTATAGTTTTTAGAATTTTTGTCTGTCTGTCTATTTGTCTGTTACCGCATCACGGGAAAACCACTGGATAGATTTTGATAAATTTGGTATAGTGATAGTTGGTTATCCGGGTCAACATATAGGATACTTTTTACCGCGGGAAAATGTCTCATTTCTGAGAAAAAAATACAAAAACTGCAATGTAAGAGTATATGTAAAATCTAAGAATTTGGTTTTTGGTCATCTGCTAGTATAATGCTAGTATAAAATATAATTTACATTTCCGAGATACACAAAATAAATTAATTTATGTACGAAAATCGCTCATATAATATGATAAGATGTATATTATAAATGCTAAACGTTTTGGTCCATATATTGACACACTAATATATAACAGAGTTGTGGGTTTTTGTGATATTAAATATTGCTCAGTTAAGAAAGCTAAGACAAAAGTGGTGTCATGGCTCGCTACTTTAACGTATGATGCTACAGAAAAAAATATCTATGATATATCGTAATGGGCTTCTTCAATTATCTAAACTGTGCAACTGTGTAGATATATATTATGTTCATATTAATTAAGCTTTTGTTTTTTCTTTTTTTTAATGCACTTATTGTAAATGCAAAGTGAAACAAGCAATATTTTTATTTTTATAGTTTTTACATATCTCTTTGTCATAATAATAACTTTTACTAGCATTGTTAACCGAGCAACAATATTTTATTTGTTAATCAAATTGTAGTACTCACGATACAGGCTTTGCCTAGTGTGAGTTACCCTCAGGTATGAAATATATTGTAAACTAAACTTTTTGGACAATAAAGATTATTATTATTATTATTATATAACTGTATAAAAAAATCGCTGTAAAAGTCATTTATAAATTAAGACTACTTACTATCTATCAATTCGTAAAAACCCTAAATAAATATGACAGAATGATTAGTCATTCGATAAGTACACATACAATAACTTAATAGCAGGGAGTCTCGTATTATTCTTTATTGTTAATGGAAAATCGTTTAAAGATAAGATTAACAAAAAGATATTGCGGAGTAGTAAGTAGGTGACGTGAGAAACAGGATTAGTTTTTATTTGTTAAATTTTAAACACATATTGACATTGAACTCTACTTTTATGTTTTGAGTGATTAAATAAATTTATATTTGTAAACTAGCGATTCATCCTCGCTTCGCTCGGATTCGTCCCTAGATGATGATTTCCCATACAATTTTTCATCCCCATTTTCAAAGCCTTAAAGAATGATTTCCGGGATAAAAAGTATCCTATGTCCTTCCCAGGGTTTCAAACTATCTTTTTACCAAATTTCATCTAAACCGGTTCAGTAAATCCAGAGTTTACCCTCTACAACGTCACAAACTTTACTTCTTTATAATATTAGTATAGATTTACGAAAAACTTGATAACATTTGGATATAAGTATAGGTTGTAGGTAATCGTCAAAATGAAGTTCTCTATCTCAAAGTATTTTCATTAATATTTACTTCGGGCCTTAGTGACCCTCTTATATACTTACTAGAGCGTAAATGAAATGAGAGCTAATCGTTATCAAAATTCCTTTTTAGTACTTAGATTTAGTAGGGCCGAATTAACCATGTCCGGGGCCCCTAGGCAACGCAATTCTCGGGGCCCCTTCATCTTTTCTAACTTATTAATAGAACTTTTTTTCTATCACAATGCAATTATGTTCGTAATTACGCTAGTAGGTAGATTTCATAGAAATTTTCAAACATTTAAAAAAAACTCGATACGTGAGGGCCCTAGCCGATGGCCTAAACTGCCTTATGGATAATCCGGCCCTGAGTATTAGTATATTTTTAGGTATTTTTTGTGCAAATCGTCGTTGAGAAACTTCAGTTCTTAATTTACTTCGTGAACTGCTCTTGAAATTTACAAGCTCATTGTTTAACACATTGCTATAGTTAACTGTTCAGAAGATATCGTAAGAAAATTGTACATCATACCTATAAAAACGGCTAAATTAATCGTAGAAACTAATGACTGGGTAATTAAGGCAATTCCTCTATGTCACCTTATTGGTATCAAGGTCAAAATAATTGATAAGACGATGGACAAAGCAGAAAAAAACATTAAAAAAGTCTACGACACTTTTGTTATTGATAAATTGTTATGTTATTGTTGTCAGCCCTTTTTAACGTCTCATTGCTGGGCACGGGCCCCCTTCAATACGAGGGGAATCAGGTCATAGTCCACCACGCTGGCCAAGTGCGGGTTGGTGGACTTCACATGTCTTTTTACAACTTGCTAGGTTTTCTCAGACATGCAGGTTTCCTCACGATGTTTTCCTTCACCGTAAGGCAAGTGGTAATCATGTTAGAAATGATTCGCACATGAAAATATCAGAGGTGCGAGACCCTGGATTTGAACTCGTTTCACTCGGTTTCCCAAGCGAGCGCGTTACCACTGGGCTGCCACTGCCACTATTGATAAATACAAGATTTTAAATGATGTTCTGACGATGAATTACGTTTTTAGTTCTGTATGTGACTATAGAGTACTAACGTCGGCATCATCAGCGCAGAAGAGTTCTTATAATTCCATCTTGCATACGCAGCGTACCTACAGCCTATTTAATTGAGAATATTCGTTAACCGAAAAATAGTTTTCAAGTTTTCAAAAACTCGCAATATTTTTGAAAGACTTACCTATTCAACGACATCCCTCAATATAGGATAGACGAGAAAAAAAAAACATCCCTCCTTATCCCCCTTCACTTGTAGTAGAGCCTAAAAAAACTTTTATATACCTTTATCCATGCCAAATTACAGCTTTAGAAATAAATAAATTATATTTAATAAAAAAACATTTGATGTATTGCCTTATTTATACCTACTTACGAGCAGTTGTTTATGTTCTGTAAATATTATTAATATGTACAATGTAATAACTATAAACTAACGTAGTATCTTTTTGTTCCAGGAGCTTTCTTGGTGCCTTATTTTATAATACTCTTAGTATGCGGCGTACCAATGCTTTTCATGGAATTAGCTATTGGTCAGTACACCGCTCACGGCCCTATTGGCGCGCTCTCACAAATATGCCCACTGTTTAAAGGTAAACCTCTCATTGCGCAATAAAACTATGCATTAGATAATCCTGACTTTGGTGTAATAAGCGTTTCATACTCCATTTATTTTCTTAACACATTTTTAACCGACTTCCAAAAAGGAGGAGGTTCTCAATTCATCTGAATCTTTTTTTTTTACTTTATTTATTTCATTATTTTCTATATCTAATAGTTGACAAATTTATATTACAGGTGCTGGTCTTGCTAGCGTAGTGATCTCCTTTTTAATGTCTACATATTACGCAGTCATTATTGCCTGGGCAATATATTATTTTTTCACATCATTTAAATCTGAAGTCCCATGGGCCAGTTGTTCAAATCGATGGAACACTCAACAGTGTTGGATGCCAAATCATACAATTCCAAACAAAGCAAATGATTCACAGACTCCCACAGAACAATTTTTTGAGTATGTTCTCTTAAATTAAACAGTTATTATAAATACACCTTAAAATCTAACATAATAATAATATTTTTTTTCTATTTATATACATAACATTAATTACACAGTATGATAAGTAGTAATTTATAACCTGCCAGTCATATAATAGGCTTTGTAATGTGGTTCACGCACGATTAATTTAATATAATATACTTTCAGGAAAAAGGTCCTAAATATGAGTGATGGTATTGAATATCCTGGTGGCATGCGGTGGGAGTTGGCGGCTTGTCTAGTGTGTGCTTGGGTTCTTGTTTATTTTGCCCTATGGAAAAGCATAAAATCCTCAGCCAAAGTCCGATATATCACTACCACTTTACCATTTCTATTGATAATAGTATTTCTTGGTCGATCACTAACCTTAGAAGGTGCTGATAAAGGCTTAAGATTCTTTTTTAAACCTGATTGGGAACTGCTCAAACAATCAAGACCATGGGTTAATGCTGCGTCACAAATCTTCAACTCGATAGGCATCGCGTTTGGTTCAATGATCATGTTTGCTTCCTACAATCGATTCGACAATAATTTCTTACACGATACATTGGCTGTATCTTTAGTGAATGCAGTTACTAGTCTCATCGTGGGGATATTTACGTTTGCTACAATCGGAAACATTGCTTTCGAACAGAATACACCAGTAAATGTTGTCATTGCTGATAGTAAGTAAGAGTTATGTACTTATAAAACATCTTTGCTGTATATATATATTTTTTAATCTACTCAGTATTATGTAATTAAATGCTTTTTGTAGTAAAATTCTTCCTTTAACATTACAACCAATGAGTAGTGCCATAGTACGTAGTATTATATCGACAGTTATTCTAATTTCACTTTCTTTACTTTAAGGTCCAGGATTATTATTTGTAGTGTATCCTCAAGCAATCGCAAAAATGCCAGCGTCACAACTTTGGGCTGTGTTATTCTTCTTTATGTTCCTATGTCTCGGTTTAAATAGTCAGGTAGGTTACTTCAACAAAATATGATATTAAAATAATTGCTTTAAATCTAAGTAATGTGTTATACAAATTATTATTTTCAGTTTGCTATTGTGGAAGTAGTGGTGACTTCGATCCAAGACGGATTTCCCAATATGATACGCAAGCGCCTAGTGTACCACGAGCTCTTGGTGCTGCTCGTCTGTGCTGTTTCTCTAGTCTTTGGGTTACCACATATAATACATAGTGGAATATACATATTCCAATTAATGGATTTTTATGCAGCATCACTTAGCATTACGTATCTCGCATTCTTTGAAATGGTTGCGATAGCATGGTTCTATGGAGTAGACCGATTATCCCGAAACATCAAACAAATGACTGGTAAATATATTTTAATTCAACAACTACACATAACCTTACGCAAGTCGGACCAATCAAAATGCCCGTTAGTTTAAGTGATGGCATATAAATATGAAACAATATTTAATTCGATCTGATAACTTTTGCACGATTTACATTCATTAATTCTGAATGAGAATAAAACACTATTGTTCAACATTTCCGTTTTATTTGCATTTTATATACAGTAACTAGATTGTTGATTTTTATTTTATAATCTTATCTGTATTATATAAATAAATATGTCAGGACATTAACACATAATACCATCTAATTCCATGGTAAGCTACGAGGCTTGTGTTATGGATACCAGATAGTTGATACATTATACATATATAACTTTAAATACATACATATTATAAATATAAACACCTATGACTGGAGTACAAACATTCGTCTTCATCACACAAATGAATGCCCCCAGCGGGACTCAAACCCGCGACCGCTGGCGCAGAAAGTAGGGTCACTACAAACTGAGCCAAACGTGTCGTCTAATAAATATTTTTTCCTTAATCAGGTCAGTATCCATCGTTATATTTTCGATTTTGCTGGCTAATAGCTGCTCCGGCTTTACTCCTAGCCGTATGGGTGGCGAGCTTGGTAGACTACACACCTCCGAGCTATAGACAATACCAATACCCTAAATGGGCACAAGCACTCGGGTGGATCATTGCCTCACTCTCTCTCCTGTGCATACCTGTATACGCGGTAGTAGTTGTCATCAGTTCACCAGGAAATAGTATTAGAGAAGTATGTTTATCGTTAAATTTATCTATACATATAATAAAATTGAAAATAAGCCGAATCTGTAAATTAAATATTTTTTGGAAAAGCTTATTGATATAAACATTATTATCGATACAGATGCCGAATCTATAGTTTTTAGAATTTTGTCTGCCTGTCTGTTACCGCATCCTAGAAAACCCACTGGAGGGATTTTGATGAAATTTGGTATGGTGATAGCTGGTTATCCAGGTCAACATATAGGATACTTTTTACCGCGGGAAACTGTCTTATTTCTGAGAAAAAATACAAAAACTGTAATGTAAAACGTAAGAATTTGGTTTTTGGTCATGTGAACACGGGCGGAGCCGCGGACAATGCTAGTAATTTATTAAATTTTAAGGACTAAAAAAATTTACTAAATTTTAATAAGTTATTAAAAAATCTGTATTTAATACGTTGTGTGGTTATCATTTCAGAAATTACGTAATTCTATACGACCGACCTCCATGTGTGACTGTGGGGTTGCTGGTTGCGACATATGCTGCTCAGAGTCTGAAACGCCTGAGGATAAAGCAACTATTAACTAATATTTCCATTTTAAAACTTAAAAAAATTGTGTTATAATATTTATAGTATTTTAAAGTACAATGTGTCAAAATTGTTATAATGGCAATTAATTTAGATGGAAATGTAACACATAAACTAAGTTTTTTGTCTTAGTTTTAAAAATCTTATTAGCATGGCCTTGTTTAATATAAACTTCTAGGTATGTTTTTGTAATAAATAGTGACACAGTTTACTGCACTCAAAATGAACGATAAACATGTACTTCAGTTGAATTGTAACAGATCTGTTGATTACATTAAAATATTTAAGTACTTCTTGATATTCATATTCAAGTATATGTTTTAACAAGGAATATTATTGAGAATAATATTCAAAAAGTATTAGATTTAAAAGACAGCGGACACAAAAACTGCATAATTATAAAATTTGTTTGTTTTGCGTTCTCGTGAATCTGTAACTTTATTATATAGACATTCCATTATTTAAGTAAGCAACATATACCAGCAGAGCTGATATCCTTATGTTGCTGTAATTGTTGTGACATATATTTATGTAATAAAATCAATAAGTACAATGTGATATCTTGGAACTTAGTCAATTATCTTCTTCTTTTTAATATACCTACTTATACTGTATAGCCACACTACTTATACTGTATAGACAGACTACATTCTTAAATAAAACTATTTAAATTGCAAAAATATTGTTAAAACTTTTATAAAGAAAACCATACAATGAAGTCAAGATAGAAATAAAAACAAACCCAAGTCCAAGAAAAATAAGCATATATGGCCACCCTCTTTGTAGAAAGATAACTATTTTTCTAAACTTTATAAGGATAATTGTCAGTTATGATATCTTTTAGTTTTATGGTCTATGCAGTTATCGACTTTTTACCGCGCTTTTGCTTAGGCCTTTAAGTTTATTGGCGCAGAATACGCGCCGTTATGATACGCGCTCGTCTACACGTTTATAAAACGTGGTGCGCATAGGTCCTTAGGCAGATTGACTGACTCTGCTCTGATATCAGAGCCCAAAGGTTATTATCATTCATCATCAGGGCATAAAACAATACTTCTAATGTCTTATTATAAATAATACTAGATATAAAACTTAACGTTTCTGATATTAATGATTTGTAATTTAAAGTTTGTATTTATTCAACACTTCCTAGTTAATGTGATCACAAACATTCCAAACAAGTCTTGAGTAATAAGATCTTAGGTAATAATTAATAATTTATTAAGTATATGTGCTAACAATTATGTTTTAATAAAGTGAATTTAAGACCAAAAATTAAAGCAGAAAAATATTTTTAACTTGAGTACACATTTTAAACAAATGTCAGTCATAAATGAAGCAACTAAAATCAATAAAAATGTAAATAAGATAGTCAACTTTGTAAATAAAGGATTATTGCAAACCAAATAAAAAATAAGAATAGTTATAAGTTGTTTTATTTTACATAGGTTTGCTGTACGCTTGATAAATATTCTATATATATATATATATATATATATATATATCTATAAATATAAACCCCTTATAGAATAAGAACAAAGCATTTTATTCACTTTTTTCTTTTTTTCGGAGTTACACAACTGGTTGACTGATCTTCTTCACTGCTAATATCATCTTCAACATAGTCATCTATAAAAAATATTTAACTTTTATAAAGATTACATTGATTATTATGGATTATTGTTATCCCTAAAATAGATATTAAATTAATAATTCAATAATTACAAACAGTACAATTTTTTACTTTATTAGAATGGATAAAATTTACATTTTATTTTAAATAAAACTATCTTTTTGGATTTTTTCGCGAATTTATTTTGATTTTTGGTTCCCGACGTTTCGAATGCTTTACAGCAATCATGGTCACGGGAGAAAATTCGCGAAAAAATCCGAAAAGATAGTTTTATTTAAAATGTCAAGTATACGCGTTAATCTAAGAAAGTATTACATTTTATTTTTATCATTTTTGTCAAAAAATTTTTTGGAAAAAATAAAAACTAAAACAAAACAAACAACACATAGTTTATTTATAGTGCATTTATCAACCAATTAACTATGAAACCAAATGAGATCTTGCCTATGAGCCCTAGGTTGCAAGGAAAAAATAAAATAATAAATGGGAAATAATCAAATAAACATAATACAATAAACAAATAACAGAAGCCAAAAAGTTCTCATAATACTTTCATAGACTTAGATGAATAAATATTTATAATTTTAAATGAATCTGTCTTTTCAGATATTGTCTCAACTTTGTATTTTTGTTTCTGACATTTAAAAAGCATTACTGCAAACATGGTCATGGGAAAGACAAAATACAATCACGAAAAAATCCGAAAAGATCATTTAAAAAACCGACCGAACCGCCGAATATTAAAAAAGCTCACATCCATAAAATAAGCTATGAAGTTCAATAGTTGGAATCAAAATGTTGACTGCCTAGACTGCATACTTAACTTAGGCTTAACCTAGCACTATTTTTTATATTTTTTTAGATTTTTTATACAACAAAAGATAAAATTGTTACAATCTTTGAAAAATATCATGGTTCAATTATAACTTGTAGTTTCAAAGAAATATTAAAGTTAACAATGAGTACATTTACTTAGTCATGGCCAAATTCATAGATTAATTGAAACATTACGAAATATTTTTTCTTACCAAATTGTCCATCATCCTCGATTATTTTACTCAATGTTTCGTTAACTTTCAACCGAAACTCTTCTATAGATTTTATTAGATTAGGTGTATCTGTAGAAGTCACATTTTCGATTGTATCAAAAATTTTATCATTCTCGTACAAAGTTAATTTAATTGCATTTGGCATTGTAGTTAAAGGTTATATTTTATATTTATTCTTAAATCTTCCTATAAATCCTTTTTTTATTTTCCGTTTATATTTTTATAACATAATTTTTGCTTTGAAATATTTAATTTATTTATTAGTAATGTACTAGACAATGTAAGCAGTTCCTAATACTAACGATTATTCAATAAGAAAAATGTTTTATTTTTAACTATTTTGTGAATATTTAATATTGCATTTGAATTACGAATTAGTTACATTACATGAGTATTGACAAATGACATTGGCATTTTTGGTACCTATCTACTATCTACTACTAGTACTATCCGCCTATCAGGTACAGTGTTGCAAAAGTAAAAAATAAAAAATTGTTAAATTTGCCAGTTAAAAATTGGGAAAAATCGAGAGATTTTTATGTTTACTCCATCGGTTTAGGTAGTTTTAAAACTAAAGGTAAACAAAACATAAAACAGGTGCTCTAGTTCTTCCTCGTTTAAATTTAAACTAAATTTTAATAGGTATATATATTTGTGCATTAAGCTGCTGTTTATTATGAAATTGTAAATTTATGCACTTGAGAACAACTTGATGATGATTTAAATTATAATGTAAATATAAGGTAGGTATTGCAATCTGGCTACTGTAATGCCTGGCGTCCACTAGATGGCGGAGTCGAGAAAAATCGAATCGCAGAAATTCGCCTCCTATATATTTACTATGAAACTGCGTCCATTAGCGACAAGTAGCGGCTCACCGAATAGAATCACCCGTGCGCATTGCTCGTCAGGCGAATTTCTTCGGCGACGCGTTTCGACTCGATTCGGCCCGCCTTATGTCCGGTTAAGACGTGTTAAGTAGTTTAGTAGTTAACTAAATTTTAACTTAATTTTAAGTGATTAATTGCGTGTAAACAGAGAATTTAGTAGCAAGTTGCAAGTTAAAATTAAGTTAACTACTTAACTACTAAATTAGAATGTTTTCTATTTTTTCGGTCTAGATGGTGGGCGGGGCTTGTCATTTGACACGTTTGGACACTTGGACAGTACAATTTAGTTATAAACGCATAAGTAGTTTAGTTAAACGCATAAGTAATGACGAGCTAATTTTTTTTTGTTATTTTTTGTTAAGAAGCATATTTAAAAAAAGAATGCTTATGGAACGTAAAAAGCATGAATTATCTCGCTTAAAATAAAATTTAAGCACAGAATTTACGATTTCATTACGTTGTTGATTTTCCATCTTGAATGAAATAAAGAGCTTCAATTCAATTCTTTAATTGAGCACAGATTAGTTCGCCAATGTCACGTAGAATGAAGAAGACAACTAAAGAGCTTAACTTCTTAACTACTAAACACGTTTGGACAGCTACTAAAATATAAGTCACTTAAAATTAAGTTAAAATTTAGTTAACTATTAAACTACTTAACACGTGTAAACCGGCCATTAGTCGCCGCGGGGAATCGCATCGTACCGGCGAGTTTTTTGTATTTTATGTAAAAAGTACCTATGTTTCGTGGAAAGTAATTAAAATTAACTATTATATTTTATTATATAACTATACTACTACTATAGGTACGTTTTAATTTTTTTTAGTGGAACCGTAGTTCTTTTCTATAATAAAAGTAGCCTAAATTACTCCTTGTAACATCAGGTATCTACTACTGAAAGTCCTGTCAAAATCTATCCAGCCGTTTCGGAGATTAGACAGACAAAAATTAAAAAAAAATGTGTTTTTCTGATAAGTACCGTATATAGTTTCATGTGCATTAGTAATAAGCTGTTAGGATATTAGGTACCTATTCTTTTTTGAAGTCGGCCAAAAATACTTTTTGATACTAGTAACATTGAAACAGGTGATTTTTAGTAGTAGATTAATGATTTTGACAGTTGACTTGTGATAATTTATTATGATCCACTATCCATTCAAACTTTAATAATTGACTATGTTACTATATATTCTTAAAATTAATCAATATGTAGTCAATTTTGTAATGTAATATGCGTGAGTTTGGTAAATTTGGTCCCCTTATTGGCGCTATAGATGAAGGTACATCAAATGTTAAATTTCTGGTAGGTCCTTTTTCTATATACATATATTTGTAATTCATATAATTTACCAGTTTTGTGACTTGAATACGTAAATTTATAGGTATTTGCTGCAAATACATCGGAAGTCTTAACTTATCATCAAGTTGCCTTAAAACGATTTAGTCCTCAAGAAGGATGGGTTGAACAAGATGCTTTGGAAATTTTAAGCGCCGTTCTGGAATGTATTGAGGTGTATATTACTTTATCGATTTGTACATAGTTCGTAAGCAGTCAAAATTTTGCTCATGTTACACAATACATGAGCAAAAAAAAAGTTTTGTTAATCAGAAATAGAATTTAATTCAATTTTGTTTTTTTATGTTTAATTCGCCTTAAATCGTTTTTCTTGAATTTTTAAAGTTATATATTTTAAATATCACATAGGTGACTATAGACAATTTAAGGAAACTTGATATTAATCCTGAAGACCTTGTGGGTATTGGAATTACAAACCAAAGAGAAACAACTATAGTGTGGAATTGTACTACAGGAGAACCCCTTTATAGTGCCATTGGTAAATATGCTGAAGTTAAAAACTTCATAGTAATCCTTTTATATTACTACAACAATTATGTAAGTTTGATTTAAGGTATTTACTGGAATATCTATAGTGGTTGTTATATCTGTGATTTGTGCAAATATTATACTTATTTATTATTAGTGCTTTTCTAATTTTAGCCATACATATTATGTTTGTATTATAAGTTTTTATTTATCATGATATAAACATTTATTAATCATTCCAGTATGGTTAGATGTAAGAACCTCTAAAATCCTTGATGACCTGATTAAAACTAAGGGTGCACAATGCATAAATGCAGTCACACAAACAAGTGGACTTCCATTGTCTACATACTTCTCTTCAGTAAAAATAAGATGGTTGCTGCACAATGTACCATCCATACAGCAGTCTGTGGCTGAGGGTGAATGTATGGCGGGAACTGTAGATACATGGTTAATATGGGTAAATATTTTTCTTTTTATATTCCAGATATAAATTTATGACTATTGACTTGGCCCTATTCTAGAAGAGAGTATTCAAATAATCATTACATTTAGAATATTTGATACAACAATAACTAACTTAAAACGAGCGATTTTTTGGTAGAACCTTACAGGTGGTTGTCGTGGTGGTGTACATGCTACTGATGTTACAAACGCTTCACGCACCCAGCTTATGTCTTTGAAGACATTACAATGGGATAAGGGGCTTTTACGATTTTTTGATATACCAATAGAAATTTTACCAAAGATTAAAAGTTCTGCTGAAATTTATGGTTATATATCCACCGGGTCTCTCCTCGGCACACCAATTGCAGGGGTATGATGGCTTTTTTCATGATTTATTTTTTATAAAATTTATGCTGTTGCAAGATTAATTTAAAAGTGTATTATTATAAATGGCATTGCTTCTAAACACTCCTTGCTTAAATGTAAACTGTAATTATTTTAATTATATAATAATAATAATTAATAATAAGCTTTTTTTATTTCCTATATATATACATATATTGCTTATTGAATATATTAAATAATTTTATTTAATAGCCTTAAAAATAACTATAGTGTAAACTCTTTAGTAAAATAAAAAAACTTGTCAAGTGTAATCTAATATTAATGCATTTTATTGGCATGGTTATAAATTAAATCACAAATATATTGGGTATTTTAAGCCAGGTACACAAGCTTGAATCACACTTGGCCATTTTTTTATAAAAAAAAAAAAAAAATTATTTTAGTGTCTAGGTGATCAACAAGCTGCTCTTGTTGGACAAAATTGTATGAATTTTGGCCAAGTTAAGTGTACATATGGAACTGGTTGCTTTTTACTTTACAATACAGGTATTTATACATTTTCAAATTAAATATTTATACATAACAATTATTCCTAATGTGCAGTTCATGTGTAAAGCTAAAATGTGACAATTTATAAAAAGTTCAAAAAATAATAATAAATAGAAAATAAAATGAATAAAAGTAAGTGATATAAAAATTATTATTTTTTTAAAATAAAGTTTTATTTTTATTTTATTATATTTTTGTTGTTTTTAGGAGAATCAATAGTACATTCACAAAATGGATTACTTACAACAGTGGCATATAAGCTTGGGCCCAATGCTCCTCCAATATATGCATTAGAAGGATCAGTAGCAATAGCAGGTATTGTTTTTGTAATCTTTTGTGTTAATTCTTTTTAAATCGTATATTCATAGTTTGTAATTTTAAATAATATTGTGATTTTTTTTTCTTAACCTTTATTTAAATTCCAAATGGCGTTTAGTATCCTCGCTCACGCCGTGCAATAATGGACGATGGATTAAAGTCGCACATATCATAATGTACTATATATATATATATATATATATATATATATATATATATATATATATATATATATATATTCTTGTTTGCCTAAGACTTAAACAGAAGTTATATAGCATATACAGGATGAATTTTTCAAGTGGGCGTGGATGGCCAAACCCGAAACTACGAGGAATAGCGAAAAATACTCAAAGGAGTCTCGGGACTGATTTTCATGAAAACTAAAACTGCATCATTGGATTTTTTATTTTTTTTTTTCAAAATTAATGGGTTCGATTCTTGGCTAGGAATATTGACTTTTCAAAAATCCAATGATGCAGTTTTAGTTTTCACGAAAATCGGTCCTGAGACTCCTTTGAGTATTTTTCGCTTTTCCTTACAGTTTCGGATTTGGCCATCCACGTCCACTTGAAAAATTTACCCTGTATATTATACAGCATACCAAAGTCTCATTACTAACTCCTGAACCAAAGTATATTTAATTTATGTAAGTTTCCTAAATGTAAAGGTTAAATATTTATATTGTATAGGGGATACGTTGCAATGGCTGCAGGACAACCTTGAGATTATAAGCGACGTGTCTGACACAGAGCTCCTATCATCTCAAGTGACTGACGATGAAGAAGGAAGTATTTGCTTTGTACCAGCATTTAATGGACTGTATTCGCCACATTGGAGAAAAGATGCAAGAGGGTAATACTATTTTAAATGAATATCTCTTATTTATATTGTATGAGAACAATTATTCTATGGTCGCTGGTCAAAAGCCAAACTTGGTCAAAATTGGTTGAGTTGATGAGATGTAAGATATACACGATGACAATTGCAGCAATTGCATTTAGTTGTTGGAGTATAATGTCTGGATGGTTATCACGTCAGCAATATTTATTTATTTTAAGAAAGTTTTTTAGTTTTTTTGCAAAATTAACTACTTTGATTTGTCCAATCAATGTGTTAATTGTTAAGAACACAAATGACAACCTTACTTGTCTATGATTGCAAACGTAAAGAATGTTCAGGGATTCCAAAAAAATAATTGCGACGAATGCTAATAAGAATATCATATTTAAATATCATGTCATTAATTTCCTTAATTAAATATTAAATGTACATTAAATTCCCTTATCTATACTAATATTATAAAGAGGTTAAGTTTGTGAGTCTGCGACGTTGTACGGGGTAATGTCTGGATGTACTGAACCGATTTAGATGAAATTTGGTTAGAAGTTGGTTTGAGACTCTGGGAAGGATACTTTTTATCCCGGAAATTGTCCATTATGAGGGTGAAAATGGGGATGAAAATTTGTATTGGGAAGCAAGCTAGGGACGAACCCGAGCGAAGCGAGAATGAGTCGCTAGTAGCCTATACATACCTTACTTCTAGACTTGATAACTACTGCTCATGAATAACAATATAGAAACCTGAACGGATAAAAAAAAATTATGTACCAATGTTTACATAGACATAGGAGGTTATATATGTATATATATAAAGGGTTAATAATTACTAAAATTCTGCTTATGTTAACTTAATTGAAAATTAATCGGTTTTTCAGGTCTAAAATAAAGTGTTATTTATTAGCCGTGTTGGTGTTCCAGTGTAATGTGCGGTATAAGCAGTAGTACGAGGCGCGCGCACGTGGCGCGGGCGGCGCTGGCGGCGGTGGCGCAGCAGGTGCGCGCGGTGGGCGGCGCCATGGCGGCCGACTGCGCGCCGCTGCGCCGCCTGCTGGCCGACGGCGGCATGGCGCAGAACTCACACCTAATGCAGATGCAGGCTGATCTGCTGGGCGTGCCCGTGGTAATTATGAAGGCTTATAGAGATTTTCGCGTCTCATATGAATATAGTAGTACTTAGACCGATTTTGATTTTGGTCACGACAATCTCAGCGTTTTAACGGTGGTTCTCGCTCTCGGGTCTGTTACTGAATTTGGCAGAAAACTCCTATTACTACACTTGACCCAACTCAAAGTCAGGACCTCCGAATATGCAGCCATACATGCTTATCACTAGGTCAACGAGGTAACGAAATCGAAAGGGTACCTTTAAGAATGTGAAGCAATATAAACTGTACCGTAAGTATTAGTACATAATTCGTTGGCTTACTATTACGAGGTTCTATGTTAATTTTAATGAAGTTTAGTAATTTTTACATAGAACTTCGTTATTTTGTTATGGTAAAAAAAACAACATAGAACTATGTAAAATTGAATATTTTGTTGTTATAGTGCCGCTATCTAGTTGTTTGTTTTTGCAAAACTGTAGCTAATGACACATAGAACCTTGTAGCATTAATAACTAAATAAGTACTAAAATTGTAACATAGAACCTTATAATAGTGAGCCAACGAATTATGGTAAAGTTTAAATTGCTGTACTTTTCTATAATCTTTTAAGTTTTTCATTTCGAATTTAGGAAGCTCTCCGTGTACTCCTTTAGGCCTTTATCAACTTTTAAAAATCTAAGTAATATTTATTACATATATGTATTGACAGAGGCTGAAAAAGTTGAAACTTTATTAATGTGAAAGACTATTGAAATGTAAAACATTTATGGGATCATATTTAATTATTGTTATAAATCTTTATTTCATATTTTATTTAGTTCTGATAATAATTTTTTTACCATTACGTAAAAAACCTAAAAGTATATATTGCCAGTATTTATAGCATTATTATATGTATTTGTCAAATATACAATTTTAAAATTTTATACCACAAGAGTATTAAATAAGCAACCCGTCCTCTGTTTTTGCATCTATGAATGAATGAATAATAACTGTATCGTAATAAATAACTAAAACATTTAATATTTTTGGCAGATAAGGCCGCTGATGATGGAAAGCACAGCGCTCGGGGCCGCTATCGTGGCGGGGCGCGCGCTGCGCGTGTGGCCCGCCAGCACGCCCAGCCCGCCCGCCGACACCTTCCTACCAGCCATCTCTAATGAAGGTATATAAATAAAGGCTGCGACTATTCACACGATCTACAGGTTTAGAGAAAGCATTCCTGACTTTGGTTTGCTGAGCTTTCCTCAGCTTCGTAGCTGACCCGTGGATAGATTCAATATTTGTTCTAAATTTGAGATATTTTTTTAATTTTTGGGTTATCAATGCTGATGATAATTTACAGTGCTTAGTAAATTTTTTTTGCATTCATTATTTTTGAATTCAGCCATGAATACATCATATGTGTATGATTATTGAAAATTATAAATACTTACTGTTTATTATTGACAGAAATAATTTTAATGTCACTTCGATTGCTAAAACCTTGTTGTTGTGCCATTATTACTACTTGCCTTGAGCTATTTTTTTTAATTATTTAAATAGAGGCAGTGGTAGCCGAATGCTAATTGAAATCTCGAGTCTCGTACCTCTGATATTTTAATGTTTGAGTCATTTTCGGCGAAGGAAAACATTGTGAAGGAACCTGTATGTCTGAGACTAGCAAGTGTTCGAAAGACATGTGAAAGCCACCAACCTGCACTTAACCAGCGTGGTGGGTTATGACCTGATACCACTCGCATTAAGGAGATTATTATATTTTTATAAAGCAAAAAGATCTTAAATCTGATCAACAATCCCGATTGACAGTTATATATGGCCGCGCGCACTTTGTACACGAATTTTTATCGTACTTAAAGGTATGATCGTGGTCGTACGAATTAAGTGCGCACATTGAATACGTTTTTCTCCGTCAAATAGGTAGTTTTCCGGTGATATCGCACTCGTGAAGTCCTCTTTGGAGCGGGATGAATAATCTGTATCTTCAAGATAATTCTCTTCTAACTCGGAAATTGCGTAGCCTATGTGTTATTCCAGACTATAATCTATCTCTGTGCCAAATTTCATCCAGATCCGTTCAGCCTTTCTGGCATGAAAGACTAACAAACGTCCATACTCACAAACTTTCACATTTATAATATTTAATGTTACATGTTCAAGAAAATAAAACTAATCAAATTCATCAGAATATTATACTATAAATGCGAAACCCCTTATGTGTATGTATTTACTACTCCAAAAATTAATTTACAGAAAGAGAAATGCGTCGTGTCCGATGGGAAGCAGCGCTGGAAAGATGCTTAGGTTGGGTCTCGGAAGATAATGAGAAAACTTTGTTACAAACTGGTAATAACCATTTATTTTTCTATTACCAATGCATAATAGAAACGTAGATTAATATATAAATAAATAATCTTGTTACAGATGAAGTTGATTACACAACAGCAGTCTTGCCGCCAGGGCTGTTTTTCCTTGGTACGGCACTACTTGTAATACTAGCAGACAAATTCAAGGTTACATAGAATTTAGAAGTTCACAAATTAGTCATTAAAATACCTCCAGATTTAGTCAAAATGAAATGCAGTATTAAGATATTTTTAGTTGGTACCATCATATAATAAAGGTTACAGTTAAAAATTGTTTTTTATTAAAGAAATATCGACTAAAATATAAAAGTTTACTTTCTTATATAAACAAAATTAATTAAATATTATGGCTGTTTATATAGCGATAGCTAAGACCATTTTAAATAAAACTATCTTTTCGGATTTTTTCGCGAATTTATTTTGATTTTTGGTTCCCGACGTTTCGAATGCTTTACAGCAATCATGGTCACGGGAGAGACTGAGGTGTTAGATGTCTCTAAGGTATTATATAGTTGTTACAGACAGCCTACCCACAATTAACAAAATGAATTCAAAAATTGAAAAATGGCACAAAGTACCTTACAATATTTTAACTTTTAACTTTAAACATTTTTATATAATTTTAATTAGCTTTATTATTGAATATGGAATATTATTTATTTAATTTGAGCTGTTATTATTATAATTATTACAATTTTAAAAATATTAATTTTAGTGTTGCCATTATTATATTTATAACCATAAAGAAAAATCATAATATATTAATTATTTAAGCCACATGATTGAAAAAAAAAACAAATTATTAAGCAACACATTAACTACATACATTTACAAATGAAAAAGTGAAAAATATTAATCAGAAATGCTATCATTTTGATCTACACAGTAAGAACTTACTACATCTACCTGTCTGTTATGTTTAGATTTATTATTAGATTTTATTATATTAATAACAGGATCCCATGACGAAGGTAGTACCCAGCCATCTTCCCTATTGAAATTTGGATGTTTTTTTTTTAATTTCTATGGCTTCTCGAATCATTCTAGGGCGATATCGGTTTTCTTTCGCACCCACCTAACACCTTAGTCCCTCCCGTGACCATGATTGCTGTAAAGCATTCGAAACGTCGGGAACCAAAAATCAAAATAAATTTGCGAAAAAATCCGAAAAGATAGTTTTATTTAAAATGTCAAGTATTCGCGTAAATTTAAGAAAGTATTAAGTTTAACCTTTAATAACAGCAATTGGTCGTAATTTAATAGTTTTTTTACTGATACCAGCAGCATGGCAAGTGTTCACAACATCAGTTACATTTTTGTAAGATTCAGGAGCTTCTTCCATTACTAACTTAGGTGATGCAACTCTTATGGAAATACCCATTCCTTCCAATTTATTTAATACCTCTTTGTAATCTATATTGCGTCTAGATTTGGCACGGGATAGAGCACGACCCTATAAATAATTTTTTATTATTTTATTGACAGAAATTGCTTAAAAAACATTTATTTTTACAAAAATAATACTTACGGCTCCATGACATGTTGATCCGAAGGTTTCTGTCATTGCTTGATGGGTACCAGTAAGGACATAGCTGCAAGTTCCCATAGAGCCTCCAATCAAGACCGGTTGTCCAGTCAGTTGGTAGTCTACTGGTATGAGAGGGTGGTGTGGAGGGAAAGCTCTTGTGGAACCCTATGAATTAATAATACATATGAGTAAACTTATAAACAAGTTTTAATAATCTCCAAAGACAATATGTAATTAAAAATAATGTATACATTGGTTCCAAATCTACATTGAAACTTTAGTAATTTTTGATAGAGATAACTAAAATTATTTAAATTCGTTTAAAATGAGAAATAAGGAACTAACCTTTCTATGAACCAATAAAGTTTTTATTTTCCCATCTACAATATGCTCTTCCATCTTGGCAATGTTATGAGATACATCATAAATAACATGCATGTCCAAGTCATCTGGGGCCATTTTGAATTGTTTAGCAAATGCTTGACGCGTAAGGAATGTCATTGAGGTCCTGTTAACCCATGCAAAGTTAGCAGCGGCTGCCATTGCCTTTAAATAATCTTGTCCTTCAACAGAATTAATTCTAGCACACGCTAACTGTCGATCATTAACATCAATTTGATCCCTCTTCATTGCTTTTTCCATTTGCACTAATGCATCAGTTGCTACTTGATGACCAAATCCTCTACTTCCAGAATGGATCATCACACAAACTTGGCCGATTCTTTCTAAACCCATTTTGCCAGCAGCAAATTTGTCATAAATTTCATCAACTACTTGAATTTCTGCATAGTGATTACCAGCACCAAGAGTGCCAAGTTGCGGTAAGCCTCTTTTCTTGGCTCTAAGACTTACTTTGGAAGGATCAGCATTAAGTATTCGGCCATACTCTTCACAATGTTCCTTGTCTTCAGCCCATCCATAGCCTTCTCTTAAGCTCCAATCCATACCCATTTCTAAAGCTTCTTCCATATCTCTAGCATTCATAGGTATTATTCCAGTAGAACCTACTCCAACTGGAATATGATCAAACAGACTTTGTGCTAGTTGCTCCTGAAAAATACATTTAAATAAATTTTGTTTTATAACTAAAAATACAACTTTTTTAGACAGCTAAATTATTATTAATTGGTCAAATGTGAAGTATATACCTTGATGGGCTGCAAATCTTTTTCATGCAAATTGGTTCTCAATAGACGCACTCCACAGTTTATATCAAAACCCACACCTCCAGGAGATACAATTGATTTTGGATTGGACATATCAAATGCTGCCATATTACCTATGAAACATGTATAAAGTGTATATTCATTATAACTTTTAAGGTTTAATGGGATTTCCAATAAAATGAAAAATATATTAAACAGACTCATTTAAGTACCAGTTTTAATAACTGTAAATGCGTTTAAAATAGGCTGGTTACAAAAAAGTACATGTATGCTTATTCTTAACAAATACAGCTAAGACATTGATGCTGATGCAAAAATATAATGCTGATAAAATATATTATAAGAAAATAAATTATAAGACACAATTATTTTCTATTCAATTAGAAGGAAAATGGTTAATTAGGCATGTTTAAAAATATAGCTATGTATCATAACAACAAGTTAATGAGACTATGTGTACCCAAATTTTAATAATAAACATGAATATGTATATGATATGCAACTGGTTAAGCAATATTTTAATATTTTTTTAAAAGAAATAAGTATTTAATACACGTTGTAATTAATTATAATTGTATTGTTGCACAACAAATATCATGATGCAATGATAATATAATGTTATTTTTTTTAACATAGGCTATACATACACAAGCTGGTCTACCAGATCTCTAGTGTGAGTCGTAATTTTAGATAATTTGGAATAGAAAATCTAGCATGAATGTAATAAAGATTATCTAATTTTTGAGCTATCTACCTATAGGATTTTGCGTGAAATACAAATTTTGTAGTAGTTTATGTACTTCCAAATAAGCCATCCTATAAACTGCTTATTTAATATTATTTTACATACATAAAGATACTTAAAATTAAATATAGCTAAATATTTAATTGTCTCAATATTTTACATAAGTCGAATAAAAAATCGTAAAATTTTAGTCATCTGACAACAATATTTACTATGTATAGCATAACTCATATCTAATTATTTAAGCAATAAATATTCACCCTAGTTTTTAGATAATTTATCTTGAAAAAGTATGCTAAGTAGCTGGAGACACGATTATGTACGAATAGCTTCAAATATTTTTTAAATGCGTCAGTAACTACAAGTACAAAATAGAAATAATACTGAATATTAGAAAGACATTTTAAATAGCTTTGATAATATAATATACAATAAATATACCTATAGCAAATCCGTAGCCTGAATGTATATCTGGAAGACCCACAGACCGACCAACAATGCCTGGCAATGCTGCTACATTTGCAATTTGTTTTACGCCAGGCAGAAATCCTCCTGCCATACCGGGCCGGCATGAGTTTCTTAGTTCATCCAACATAAGCTTTTCGAGTGTATTGTTAACGTAATAAATCCCTTCAACATTCATATTTGGTTGAAAACCTTTTTTAATTCTCCAACAGTGTGGATTTATTTTCTCTAAGTATTTTAACTCTTCATCGTACTGCCTGACAACCATTTTTTCGTTTATTTATTTTTCTGTGATTATTAACTTTTAAAAATAATATTTATAAATAAAAACTTATCGTATTTTTAGGCTAAAATCTGTTTTTGAATTTAATAAAACGCACAAACAAGCTGATTCACACAAGCTGTTTAATTCACTTTTCTTTTCAGTAATGACAAATGACAATTGTTAACTATTAACATGGATGACAAATAAAAATTGTCAATTAATTAAATGACGTTTGAACTTTGAGGTGCTGACTGCCGGGGACCGACGATGCTCATGGCACAGATAGTAAAGAGACTATATTATAGACCCAGTTTTCCAATTAGAGCATTAAGGCGTATTATGCGGCTTAAAGCTAACTTCGGATGTTCCAACTACAGCAACGCTCCGCTCAATCGAGCATTTTGAAAAGTACTTCTTTGGCGTTTCGATCGAACAGTAGTAATGTTGATCGAAGCTTTGGCGTGATCTCCTGAGTAAAAGTGTTCTGTGGGCGTGATGCGCGCAAGGACACCAGCTCAATAACAGAAAATATGAGAAGTGTTTTTTCTTCAAGGTGGCATTGATCATATGTAATTTTATTTACATAAACGTTAGTAATATTTGTTTATATTTTATTTATATAATTATATATTAATTAGTTATATATCTATACTAATATTTTAAAGAGGTAAAGATTGTAAGTTGGTGACGTTTTAAGGGATAATCTTTAGATCTACTGAACTGATTTAGATGAAATTTGGTAAGAAGATAATTTGAGACCCTGGGAAGGAAGAAGAAGGAGGACTTTTTATCCCGGAAATCATCCCTAAGGGGGGTGAAAATAGGGATGAAATTTGTATTGGGAAGCAAGCTAGGGACGAACCCGAGAGAAGCGAAAGTGAGTTGTTAATTTATTATATAATTTTAAATATCCACACTGAACCTAGTGCCCTCTGATGGTGCAATAGAAAACTAATTCACATTCCAATTAAGCATTAGCACACTTCAGCATTGTGCGCCAAAGTACGGCATTATGCTCTGTAATTGGAAATCGGGGAGAACTGCTCTTGTTCTTCCCGCCAATCGCGCCCCCCCCCTCCCCTCCCCCAACCCACCCAAAACGGTTGCAAAGGATAGGGAGAACGGCGCGTCGATATACCGAGGCTCCTCTTCCTCTGCATCCCCACCGCGTCCACCATCAATCGGTGGTGGCCCCGCTAGGCCGCGGGAGATGGGGACGAGCGGCGCATCGCCATACCGACACTCCTCTTCCCCCGCGGCCCCCCTACCGTTGGCCCACTTCCGGACCAAAATGGCTGCCGACATCCCCCGCTAGACGCAGGACCACCGAACTGGCCCCGCTCCAGCCAACTAGTAGTTCTACTACTACAACTAGTAGTAACTTTCTTACTAGTAGTAGAATTCTAACTAGTAGTTTACTTCGCATGATTCCGGAAATTATTTTTGAACATGGGTTGAAACAACTGAAATATACTAAATAGCAATATCTAATGATGAAAAATATATTGATGATGACGTAAATTGTAGAGAATAAAATTATAGTTATGCTTATATAATTTGTTCGTCTATAATATAATGTTTTAAATGTTTAATCTTAATTCAAATTGAATATATCCCTTAAATTTACGATTAATTTTGTTATTTTATATAATAGATATATTTTTAACGTATAAGATTTGTTTTGTGTTTATGTCCTTCATTTTTATTCATTTACTTTTCATTGTATTCCCAGTTTATTTATTTAAAAAAAATGTTCCATTTTTAACGTTAGCTACAGAAGAATAACATATTCATTGATGTTGTTTTAAAATTATGTCTTTAGCATTATTAACAATAACTTAATATATGAAAATTAGATTGATAAAATAAAAGTATATAAAAAAAAATAAGGAAAGCTTATAAAGTGACTAACACTAACCAAACCAACAAACTTTTAAATGTATAATGAAACAAAATTAAATGTAATATAAAGCCAAATCTATTTTGAATTATCCGAATATTGTAGTTTATCTATAGATATTAGTAAGTAGAGTGGTTACAATTTTACAAATTACAATTTACATTCTGTTTGGTAGCCTGCATGAGCTACAAAGTGATCATGGATGACTTTTTGAAGTAAAACTTCTTTACGCACGCTTGACTTGGGGAGTAAGCTGGTAAATGCGTGACGAGAGCGTTACGAAAAGTGTGACGGGCGACGAGACGAGACGAAACTTTGTTGCCATTTTTATTTGTCATCCATGGCTGCCATCGTAACCGTTTTTACTGTCTGACAAATGTTATATAATATTATATTCTTTCCTTAAATTATCTATACATATAATAAAATTGTAACTAAGCCGAATCTGTACATTAAATATTTTTTGCTAAATCTTATTGAAATAGACATTATTATACATACAGAGGCCGAATCTATAGTTTTTAAAAATTTTGTCTGTCTGTCTGTTAGCGCATCACAGAAAAACCACTGGAGGGATTTTGATGAAATTTGGTATGGTGATAGCTGGTTATCCGGGTCAACATATAGTTATCTGAACGCGAGTAGAGCCGCGGACAATGCAAGTATTCTATAAATATATGATTTTAATATGCCTCATATGCATTATTTAATTATTTTTATAAAATGTATCATTCCTTTTACAAACTGTGACATACGGGATGAAGTCTTTAGCTATTTTTGTTCTGTTACGCCAAATAAGTATAACTTTACAAACTATATAGAAATAATGCTACCCATTATAACTTCTTCCGTGCGTACATAATTACATAGCCACGTTTTCGTAGTATGAAGTATCTCACCTATCGTAATTATTTAAAACATAAATTGAATTTCATACAGAGCACCGATAACCTACAGAAGTTTTACGTCTTGCGCGTGTATACATTCATACCATACACGCACTCGTTTACTTTTTTTTGATAATCTGTGACATGATTTCATGACGTAACCATAAAATAAACCATTCTTTCTATAATCTATATTCTTTTGTGAAAATTAGGAAGAATCAAAATATTTTATTTAGGTAATAGGTAGTTTATATAATACTCACCTAACCTTATTACAAGGAGGAAAAAGGCAGTTATGGCTGCGTTAATGAAATTCCGTCATATGCCCATTATTCAACGATCTGTTTGGAACCATTTTACTAAAGCTAGCCGAAATATTTCTACTTCGAAGAAAAATAGTGATACAGCAATGACAGCTTCGGCAGCTAGTGATAGTCCGCCAGAAGATAAAAATTGGGTGAGCTATGGTTTCGATTATAATAGCAAGGAAGAAGATACCAACGTTCATCATGCCAGCTTCTTCTTTTCAGTAACACTATGTCTTGTATTTGGTGGGTTTGCATGGGCCTATGCTCCAGACACACATTTGAGAGATTGGGCTCAAAGAGAAGCATTTTTAGAATTGCATCGTCGCGAAAAAGCAGGACTACCACCAATAGATCCTAACTATGTAAATCCTAATACAATACAACTGCCATCTGAAGAGGAACTTTCTGATGTAGAAATTATTATTTAAGAATGTAAAAATGTTTATTTTTTTCATCTATGTTGTACAGTAGATAGCTACTCTAAAAGGTTTTAGTATCATATGGCATAAAACATCCTGATCAATTCTAATATTTATGCAAGTCTTTATGTTATTGAAATAAAACAAGCTGCCATAAAAACAATATATTTTTTTATTAATTTCATTGTTTAATAATTATTTCTATTAGATCACAGTGGTAAAATAATGTTATTGATAAAATATATTTACTTTCTCTAAAGTAGGTTCAATACAATTGGAGAAATACAATATTTTCTGCCAAAATATTAACACCACAAACCAAAAACCATTATTGTATTATAGGAAAAATATTAAATCACCTAATTGCTTTAATATTAACATAGAGCTAGCAATTATAATAAAAGAACATATTATTATGAAAATTATATTAAGATCCTTTTTATCAATGCATAAGCACATGACAAAATGTGAAGCTTGACATGAAAAAAATTAATACAATGTCATCAATATCAATTACAATCTGATTCTTGAATCTTCTTACTTTAAATAAAATATAACTTTCTGAGTAAGTCCATAGTAGCATGTTCCTATACAGTTCAAACTCTGAAAAGTACTATAAAATTTATAAATGACTGGTTTGGTAACCATTTTGATTACCTAACTACATACATTGATACGAATAGTAGGCATTATTGCTTTTCTATTAATTAAGAGCAGTCACTCTTAATTGATTATAATAAAGCAATATTGCTTTAAACTATATATGTAGCCAAATAATTATTTAGAAAACAATAAAATCATAATATGTACATGTACCGACCCATATAAGATTTAAACAATCTGTCCTTTACAGATATATGTTAATTTCATCATTTCGATTTTGTCATTATTATTTATTGTTTATATTCTAAGTTGTTTTGAATAGAGTTTAAACTGTTAACATGGTAAATAAAAGATAGTCTTTGTGTGTTATTATAATTTTATTAAAAAAATCATCAGTTAAATTCTTGATTGTTTTTAGATAATTGGAATAAATTAATTATTTTTATCATATAGCTTGCTATGTAGCTTTTATTTTGACAATTCTTCCACCTGTTAATACTGCATAAGCACCACTTCCTGTAGGCGCAATAAGAGCATTGATACAGGTACCTAGATTCATTTCACCAGCCGGTTGCAGTTTATCTTCTGAAATTTTCCATCGCCGTATATAACCGTCCCAGCCACCAGTCCATGCGACATTGTCACTTACTGATAAACTAGTTAGGATCATATCGCTTACCTGAATGAAGTAATTGAACAAATTCATTACCTATGGTAATTAATGTGAGTGAAACGTCATGTCTGTACATTAAATATTTTTGAAATAATTTTTTTACCGGTAGTAGTGACTTATCCTGGATTCGCTCGTTTGCATCACTAGGTCTCTAAAAGTAGCCTACGTTATTCGTTACGTGGATAGATCATGGTCTATCTGTGTATTAAATTTCTTCTAAATCTGTCCAGTCGTTTCAGCGTGAAGAAAAAATTACCAGACGTATTTTATCATATGAACAATAATAGTATTTGGGAGTACCATGTACACACACATACTATTATTGTACATATACTAGCGACTCGCCTCGCTTCGCTCGGGTTCGACCTTAGCGTTGATTTCCCATACTTGAAATCTTATTTTCACCTTAATGATTTCCGGGATAAATACTAAATTTCATCTAAATCGGTTTAGTAGTTCCAGAGATTATTTCCTACATAGAAACTTTACCTAGAGGTAAAATTTGTATGTGAGTTATTGATGAGTTATATTTATCTATACTAATATTATAAAGAAGACAGATTTATTTGTTGTTTCTTTGTTCCGAATAAGCTTCGAAACTACTGGATCTATTTAGATGAAATTTGGAAAAAGATAGTTTACGACCCTGGGAAGAATATAGGATTGTTTTTGTCCCTGAAATCATTCCTTAAGGGGGTGAAAATGGGGATGAAAGTTTGTATGGGGCATCAACCGGAGCGAACGAGCGAGGGTAAATCGCTAGTTGTAGGTATACATATACTTTTTATCCCGAAGATTGAAAGAATTTCCACGGGAATAGAAATAAGGATTATAATTTTTTATGCAACGTTTACACCAATTTTTATATAAACTAGCAAGATTATATTAATTTTTTCTACACCATAAAACCTTTCAATATAATATTATAAATGCGATTGATGTTTGTATAAAATTATTCAAAAGATAAAAAAGGTATGTATAATAATATTGTTAATTAACTAAATATGTAAATAGTTATCATGGTTTTAAAAATTACTATAAATGTAGGAAAACGAATGCGCTCGCATATCAAATTTACGTAATTTTACTGAATAGTGAAAAATCTACGATCGGATAATTATAGGTTTATAGTGCATATTCACAGATGGCGCTATTAATTTTTTATAAGTTGCTTAAAGCGGTTAAAAACTGTTAATAGTAGGGGAGCCCACGATGCTAAATGGGGATTTACTCGAGCGTCGTAGAGACCTATTGGGATGCAAAGCTTAGATAATAAGAAGAAAAAAATGTTATATGATATATACCTTTACATCGGTGGGGGAAGCGGTTATAGATATTTAAATATGTAAAAAAAACTGTTGCATAGACATCCTCGAGTGCGTCAGATTTTTTAAGGGAGTGTTAAGTGCACCAAAAAAAAGCTCTCATTCACTAATCTGACGATTTCGATGGGACGCAAACTCGCGGCCATTTTCATAATGTGCAAAAAAAATCGCCATTTTGAAATACTCAAGCGCGTCAGATTAAGATATATATGGTTCATCTTTATGTTCTAAACGTACTGTCTCATAATCTGACGATTATCTAGAGGGATTCGCCTGATCTGACAAAAAAAATTAGAAAAACGGTTCACCTTAAAGGCCATACCTGCAACTTCCCGTTAATTCCATTCCTGGGCGCTTAAAATTGTACTTATGACATTTTTGAGCTCAAAATATAATTTATGTGATATTTTGATCTCGTTGAGTTCAAAGAAATAATATTTCTATGCATTTGAGCTCTCCCAGCTCGAAAGTCTGATAGAAGTTTCATAGAACACTATTTTTGGAATTTTCAAACCGCAATAACTTTTGAATAGATCAAGCAATTTTCACGCGGTTGACTTTCCGATGATATTCCAAAATATTTACACATTTTTTTAAAGTTTCTACCGTAAATTTAATAGTTTTTTGTAAGGTACTTTCACCACAAAATACACATTTCAAATTAATGTCACTCATTTTAAATATTTATAAACTTTAATTCACACAAATAATATTAAAATAGCAAAAAAAGCCAAAACGTTGGAAACACGTTGTAAACAGTATGCCACGAACGAGTCTTTATGATCAGCTGTGATGGCGTCATGGCGGCAGAAACCAGAGTGGGGACGGAGTGAGAGAGTAATAGATAGAGAAAGAGTGAGAGAGGAATAGACACGCGGAGACGGAAATGTAGGCATCACGCAGCTGCACGCATTTAACTTTATTGACGAATTTTTGTTATTTCGGCTTGCGGAAATCGTCAGATTATATTTTTTTTCATTATTCTTGAATTATTTCCTTCAAAATAAAAAAAATTTAGCTACGCTCGAGAATGTCGAGATGACGTTTTTTTTTACAACTTTGTTGCCCTCCCCTTTTTTTACGTCACTCTCAAATTATCAGATTAGTGGAATATACACTTTTTAGGATGTAATTAACTCACCCTACCTTAATCTGACGCGCTCGAGAATTTCTGATGGTCAATTTTTTTTTACTATATCTGATCCTGTATCCTTCACGGGCGGCCTTATATATGGGCCTCATGTTTTGTGGAGGTACTTAACCGGGTACAAGGTATCCCCCTGTATATTAATCTGCCGCGCTTTAGTAAATCCCGAAATCCCCGCTTGGGCTCCCCTACTATAAAGTCACGGAATTTTGTTGAATTAGATTCAGGCTTTTGCAATAGTTGAACAGTTTGCGGATTATAACATCTATTATCTATTCAAGCAAACATAAATTGCCCGAAGAATAGCCAGAATTAGCGCTGTCCACGATTTATTTGTATGGGATGGAGCATCTGTACTAGTTTAATATTGTCATTTCATTTACGGTATAATTTAATAATATGTTTTACTATAATCTTAGAATTGCAGGATCACAACTAAGCCACTTAACTACTATTTTGCAAATTACATACATCAGGCGCAACGTTTAAATTATAAAGCACATACTTGATACTTCGTATTAAGGTATACTGCTCATGAATAACTAATGGTATTTTAATGGGTATAGTAAATTAACAGTAAATTATCTAGATATTATTATGTTCTTAAATTATTTAGGAATTCTATAAGGTACCTATATACTAGAGATATTTCTATGTATTCTAAAGCAGGAGTTAATATAAAATTGCCATTAGCCAAATGAAATGAAAGCACAGGATACCTTAACTTCATGTAACTTTTTAAATTTTGTATCTAGTGATGCCTCATGAAGCTGAATACTATTGCCCCCCCTTCCTGTAACTACAAGGTATGATCCAAAAACTCTTAACGGTGAACGTCCTTCCATAACATGCTGTGTTATGAAACGCTCTTTAGATTGCTCTGTAAAATATAAAGGTATTTTATGTATTTTTATGAGAAGAAAATTTAAAATAATTTAAGATAATTCGAGTAATTTGTTTTGCTCTACATACCAGGCTTAACTTCTGTAACGGTTACATAAAGGTCACGGGCGGTAAACATGAATGGTGGATTTATGGCAATGTCTTTTACTTCCTCTAATACATTATATTTTGCTTTAAGCACATTGTCTTGATACACACATATCTGAAATTTTAAATTATATTCCGTAATAATCAATATTCTTTCTATTATTACAAAATAGTATACTATATTGTTATAATAAAAATAATATTGAGTATTTTTATATAATATAATATTAGGACAATTTAATAAAAGTTTAATTTACCAAACTACATACATATAATGATTGTACATAATTACATTTCCCAATTCGTCACCAGCATACACATGTTTGTCGCAAACCGTCACTGAGCCTATGTCCGCCTCAGAGGCAGGAAATTCTGTTATTTTTTCACCATCGGAACTCCATACTCTGACGCCACCGTCATTAGATGTCGAATAAACCTTTCCATTGCTTGCTGCCAGCGCGAACAACTGCACTCCGTGGGCTTCCCACGATGGTCCAGGTTTGAGATTATCATCAAAACTCTATTTACATAAAACTTACATTAAATGATTTCTGAGACCCTCAAAATATAAGTTTTATACCCAATATTCATAATAGAAATAATAAATGCTTATAATTATTTATTATTTATCTATACAATTTAAGTAAATAAGGTACTCTATCTACAACAGATACAAAAAATCCGAATAGTAAACATTATATATAGGTAGGTATATTGTATATAAAATTATACTAAAGACATAAACATTCGACTGTCCATATAATACCTACGGTTTTTTTCAAGAGGTTTTTTTCTATTAGCATGTCTTCAGCACTCAGCTAGTTTTCAGTAATTCTATTGACAACAACTTACAAGGATTGCACCATTTTCACCGCCAACGAACAATTTATTGCTCCATGCAACTACACAAGGTTCTGTATCGACTTTTGTTTCAGCTTCAATACTTAAACTCATTTTAATTGTTTTTTTTGTACTTAACATTTAGTAATAAATATTACAGGCGTCTTCAATAATGAGAATATTGTCAGATACTAACTTGTAGCAGAAACGTCTCACAAATCGCGACCAAAATAGCACGGGTGTGAACTAGAAATACATACGCGTGTTATGGAGATGTTTTCTAGATGAATCTGGAAATTGGATTTAGTTTAAAATAGCCTTAAGTCTGCCTTATTTCATAAATTTTCTCCTATATGAGTTTTGAGTAGCCCATTAAGTAATTGAACATATTTAAATTACCTACCTATTATTTATTGCTCCATGTAAATATGGGTACATTCAAATCTTAAAGAATTTTCAGCTCTCACATTATACATTTCTAAAACGAATAGGTTTCTTTTCTAATGCCACAGATAATGGCAGGGTCTTTTTCGTTATGGAAATAATAATATATTAAGAACAATATTATCTATCCGGAAGCAGCCGACGTAGAGGCACTTGGCCTGACTTCGTGAAAGTGAAAATTCTGAATTGCTGGGACATAATAGCTCCGTGAGACACTTCTCATTATGTGTATATTGAAGGAGTGTGGACGACAAGTTACATAATAGCGGAAACTTAAACAATTCCAATGTAATTGAGTCTGTACTTGCGTGACATTTTTTTGTTTCAATTTATGTCAAGTCCGAACAGGATATAAACAAGAATTTGACTTTTCTTTTAGATAGCATAAATCTAAATTAAAATATGTATTAGTAATTTATTGAAAGACTAAATATGCGAATTTAAAAATAATAATAAAATTTCTAGCAATAATTGTGTAAAGTCGTTTTAGTTTTAACTATAAATCAAAAAGAAGGGGTTTCGAAAATTACTTGTATTACTAGCCAGAGTAAAAGCTCATTCATCTTATTCAAATTAAAAAAAAATTGGAACAGTAAGGGAGGAAAAATAGGAGGTGAAATTTCTTATTGCACATAGGTGTGTTGTTAAGTAATTTTTAAACAAATCCTGAACACAACATAGGTGTAGCTTCGATCACACGTTGTATTAACCTAAACCTTACAAACGCAGTCGAAGCTAATTATCATTTGAATATGTTAAATAAATCTGGTGTCACGGTGTTTGTGGTCGCACTCCTCCGAAACGGCTCGACTGATTTTAATAATTTTTTATATATTTGGTAGGTATGAGAATAGGTCGTAAAGTTTTTTTCAAATTTCAACCTCCTGCCCCCACCCCTCATATTTTAATCGCGATTTTAGTATTTTTGTATAAACAATATTATAAAAATACATAATATATCACTATATCATATATATCTATACTTATTATAAAAATAAGTCCCCCGGCCGCGTCTTTCTGTCCTCCTGTCTGTCCTCCTGTCTGTCTGTACGCGATAAACTCGAAAACTACTGAACGGATTTTTATACGGTTTTCAACAATAGAAAGAGTAATTCTTGAGGAAGGTTTAGGTATATAATTTATTATGCTTTTATGTAAATTAGCTGAAATACGGCGACAAATGTTGAAGAGGTCGCAAAAAATCTCGCCAAATGGGAACTTTCCACGCGAACGCCGCGTAAACTAGCAAAGATACAGTTAAGTAATGTACTAGAGAATTCAAAATCTATAAAAATGCTACAAAAAAGTCCGCGATAGCATATCTCTATCTCTTACGGTTGACTTACAATAACCACTTTTATGTTAACATTTTTAATTAAAACATTACGTTATTTTCAAAGTTATTTTCTTTAGTTCGGTATTAATCCTTATCCAAATGAATATTTTAGTTAGCTTAGTCATTTAATGCAGATTAAAATTGCTCTTTACACTAAATCAATCAGATGAATAGTTTTTGAGATATCGTTGTTAGAAGTAATTAGTAGCGAAACATTTTTAATGCTTGGCGAGCATTGAGATGCCTACGGCGAGTCCATCCCCTCTGCCCCGCATCGCTCGACCGCCTGCTCAAGCTATATAAACCGGGCGATGTAGCGCGCGATCCTAGGATACTTTTTACCGCGGGAAAATATCTTATTTCTGAGGAAAAATACAAAAACTGCAATGTAAGAGTATACTAATATGTAACACCTAAGAATTTAGTTTTTGGTCATCTGAACGCGGGCGGAGCCGCGGGCAATGCTAGTTATGTATAATCGCTATATAACCAAAGAGCCAAAAAGTGCTAGTAAGTTATAACATTCATTTATGATAAATTTATCAAAATGTATAATTAATCATTGTAAATATTAAAATAGCAATAATTATTTACAAATATTTTTGTTATAAATGACTTTGATTAGTATTTTTATTTTGTACGAAGTGCAAATTTTTCAGTTTGCGCCAATTCGATTTGTCTCCTATTACTTAATATAAATTATTAAGTAAGAATACTTGTCACAACTATTACTTAACAAATATTACAATTCACTATACTAATCTCATTGACAAGTTTTCTCTTTTAGCATATTACTAAAACCCTCTCTCATGTAGGTACACTACTTAACACCTAACGTAATACCTTTACGCCTGAAAATTATATTAAGTCTTATATTTTAAGCTATTATTATTTAAAACACAGAAGGCATTGTAACTATGAAATGTTTGTGGGCAAAGTATTTACTTACATATAGGTATGGAAGGGTGAAATGGTACTAAAGTGCCCCTATAATGCATATTAATATTATAAATGCAAAAGTAACTCTATCTGTCTGTTAAGTTTTCACGGGTAAGCCGCTAAACCAATTTTGATAAAATTTGGTATAGAAACGGATGGAACCTTGGAGAAGAACATACACTTTTTGTCGCAAAAATGAAAGTTGAAAAGGTAAAATAATGAAATTTGTATTGGGAACATATCATTTCTCAAGTTAAGGACAAAAAAATCATTATATTATGTATCCTGTGACCAATCAAGGTAAAATAGGGGTGATTTCAAGTTTTTTATAAAATACTTACCTACTTTTCTATACCTCTGTATATATTATTATAGTCTATGTATATTATTATAGTCTATGTATTCCATACTAACCGTTAAAACATACCAAGAAATGAACCCGAGCGAAGCAAGGGTGATTCGCTAGTCTGTACATCTTGATTCGAGCGCCAACGAATTAGATCAACTCATAATTTAATATATAAGTATTTTTTTTATTTTATACATATATATCACCTTTTAATAAAAAAGATACGCCCACTTCAAAATCACTTTAAAGTACATAATTGTTCCGTCCTTGAGGGTTTTTATGAAATATATATGTATATTGGAATTTGGACCACTCATCATATAAATAATTCATTAAAAAGGAATTATGAAAACAGTTTCACAAACTTCAAAGACTTCAAGTGACCTTCAAAAAATACTAGAAGAAAGTAAAGCCGAAAAGAGTAGGCATCTTTTTTTTGAAAGCGATGAAAAATATTCTTTAAACCTATATCTATACATATAATAAAATTGTAACTAAGCTGAATCTGTACATTAAATATTTTTTGGAAAATCTTATTGAAATAGACATTATTATCGATACAGAGGCCGAATCTATTGTTTTTAGAATTTTTGTCTGTCTGTCTGTTACCGCATCACGGAAAAACCACTGGAAGGATTTTAAAGAAATTTGGTATGGTGATAGCTGGTTATGCGGGTCAACATATAGGATATAGTAGGGGAGTCCAAGCGGGGATTTCGGGATTTACTAAAGCGCGGCAGATTAATATACAGGGGGATACCTTGTACCCGGTTAAGTACCTCCACAAAACATGAGGCCCATATATAAGGCCGCCCGTGAAAGATACAGGATCAGATTAGTAAAAAAAAATTGACCATCAGAAATTCTCGAGCGCGTCAGATTAAGGTAGGGTGAGTTAATTACATCCTAAAAAGTGTATATTCCACTAATCTGATAATTTGAGAGTGACGTAAAAAAAGGGGAGGGCAACAAAGTTGTAAAAAAAAACGTCATCTCGACATTCTCGAGCGTAGCTAAATTTTTTTTTATTTTGAAGGAAATAATTCAAGAATAATGAAAAAAAATATAATCTGACGATTTCCGCAAGCCGAAATAACAAAAATTCGTCGATAGAGTTAAATGCGTGCAGCTGCGTGATGCCTACATTTCCGTCTCCGCGTGTCTATTCCTCTCTCACTCTTTCTCTATCTATTACTCTCTCACTCCGTCCCCACTCTGGTTTCTGCCGCCATGACGCCATCACAGCTGATCATAAAGACTCGTTCGTGGCATACTGTTTACAACGTGTTTCCAACATTTTGGCTTTTTTTGCTATTTTAATATTATTTGTGTGAAGTATGATGTTGTCACTAAGTCTGTATATATGTATGTGTGTGTGTATGTGTGACTCGCTTATATCTTATCAACGACTAAACCGATCGGAATCTACTAAACGGCGTTCTAAAGAATTCCCTCAAAATTAGATTTCCTGTGAATTTGAACCGATTCGGACCGATAGATTTTGAGAAATTTTGAAAAATCTCAAAAAAAAATAAGAAACATTTTTTTTAAAGTGGTTTTTTTGGAATAACTTTTAACCGGCTTTATCAATTAACTTCAAAAACTAATCCGCCCTTGAGGTAGAAAAACCACGCCGATCGTCGCTAATCCGGTCAAAATCGGTTGATTCGTTCGAGAGATATCGTGAACGAAAGAAAACCGAAAAAAGTGTTTTTTCGGGATTACTCCGAAATTTTTGGTTTGATCAATTAAAACCTGAAAATAACTTATGAGAATGATAAAACTGCGTCGAATGGCGTCAACCGCGTGAAAATTTCTTGATCTATTCAAAAGTTATTGCGGTTTGAAAATTCCAAAAATAGTGTTCTATGAAACTTCTATCAGACTTTCGAGCTGGGAGAGCTCAAATGCATAGAAATATTATTTCTTTGAACTCAACGAGATCAAAATATCACATAAATTATATTTTGAGCTCAAAAATGTCATAAGTACAATTTTAAGCGCCCAGGAATGGAATTAACGGGAAGTTGCAGGTATGGCCTTTAAGGTGAACCGTTTTTCTAATTTTTTTTGTCAGATCAGGCGAATCCCTCTAGATAATCGTCAGATTATGAGACAGTACGTTTAGAACATAAAGATGAACCATATATATCTTAATCTGACGCGCTTGAGTATTTCAAAATGGCGATTTTTTTTGCACATTATGAAAATGGCCGCGAGTTTGCGTCCCATCGAAATCGTCAGATTAGTGAATGAGAGCTTTTTGTTGGTGCACTTAACACTCGCTTAGAAAATCTGACGCGCTCGATTAAATTATTTTTTTTTTCATTTTTTACCCATAAATACAACCACCCGCATCATGCAAACGATCAGATTAACATACGTACATTATTAAAAATATGTAGGGTATTGATGCTATCAATATCTGACGCGCTCGAGGATGTCTATGCAACAGTTTTTTTTTACATATTTAAAAATCTATAGCCGCTTCCCCCACCGATGTAAAGGTATATATCATATAACATTTTTTTCTTCTTATCATCTAAGCTTTGCATCCCAATAGGTCTCTACGACGCTCGAGTAAATCCCCATTTAGCATCGTGGGCTTTTAACTGCGAGAAAATATCTCATTTCTGAGAAAAAATACAAAACTGCAATGTAAGAATAAACTAATATATAAAATCTAAGAATTTGGTTTTTGGTCATCTGAACGCGGGCGGAGCCGCGGGCAATGCTAGTATAATATAAAACAATAAGTAATATTTTAAGAAAACATTTAATAATACGTATAAAGTATAAAATAGTATTTACAGGCACACATCAATTTGATGCAAGACGAAAATAAAGATGCAGTATGCTGGCAGGTTGCCACTTCATGTCACCGACACCCTCTTGATCTATGTGTTAATCTGAATACTGGCCATCTGAGAATTGTTTCTTTATAACATATAATGGAATGCTATAACTACATCGCTAACATCAATAGTCCGATCAACACATATTTGATAATTTACAAAGTTCTTGAAAACGAGGGCATATAAGAAATAACTATTTTAGGGAGCACCGTATTCAGATGACGGAGCAGATGCTGGTGGGCCATATTCTGAAGCAGGAGCAGCAGCAGCAGGGTATCCTTCTTGTTTCTGGAAAAAACGATGTTAAATTATATAAAGATTATCATAATTTTCTGCGGCTTCATCTACATGTGCGTATGTGTCTGTTAAATCTTCTTTTTATGTAAAATCAAATTTAGATAGTAGTAAGCCTGATAAATAATAGTGCGATTGTCTATTACATTTGAATGAAAAAATGAATAAATGAAACATAATAACATCTTTATAAGTTTCTTCTATTTATATCCTTTTTATATTTTACCTTCTATTTACAATTATATTACAATATGTGTTGGTATTTAAGTTTAATGGCAATAGTTTTATATTCAATTTTTTATTGAAAATATATAAAAACTTTACTCTCTAAAATCCTGACTCTATAATAATAATTTGTCCTCTCGACCGATTTAGGCCACAGCGGCCAATCTCATTGAGACTAGCCATCTGCACAGGAGATATTACAGTAATTAATAGGTACACGAGTGTACGCACAGACACAAGTGCACTCTCTATTCTTGTCACTCTCATACTCCGGTGGGATGACCACTCGACACGACCAGTGAGAGTTAATTCGCAGTACCGTTAAGATCGGTACGGTACGGACCGTACCGACCCTAACGTACCGTAGACGCGGGGGTGAAACGCCGCCAACTTCCCAACTCCGGACTGTTACTCTGTTTAACCACTACTGTTTAACTACTGTTTAACCACTCTATAAATTTATATTATCATTGCATAAAATATAATTTTTAAATATTATTAAAGTGTCTCCTAACCGCTCAATCTCATTCGTGTCTTCCTCACAAAGCGTGACACTGGCAGAATGTATTAAGTGTGTTAACGCAACTTTAAGCCATTATAGAAAAAAATGTACTTATATATGTATGTATGTCTCTATGTACGTATGTATGTATGTTTGTGTATATGTATATTTATATTATAATTGATGTTTGTAGTTTGTACCTACACCGCACCGCATTATTATTTTTATATTTTCTCACGCTTGAGGGTTTCTGGTAGAGATCTCTTAAAGAGATAAGTCATCCTTTGTACACATGGTATCTGTTTTAACTTGTATGTTTTTTTTCTGGTACATAAATAAATAAAAAAAAGTGTCTCCTAGTAGAGCCCTTTTATCCCGTAAAGCGCGAAGAGTCCCGGTCCTTTGGAGAGCTTACGTGTGGACACAGGTTTCTTAAGGCCGTAGAAGCCCGTTAAAAGATTTAAAGTTTATTATTATGCATCAACCGGGAACGATCTCTGAGTAGGTAATGCCTAGGGAATTGCCTAAAGATGGGCAACGGTTAATGATTAGATTCTATGGTAAATATACAATCCTAAATGGAGCTACGGAATGTATCCTTGATCTGGGCTAAAAAAGTGTGAGAGTCCTCGTGAGCGGGGAGCTGCTCTACGGCCAATGAAGGCAAACCAGATGTGGGGGATAAATTTTTATTATCGCTGGAGATCTCAGATATGGGTTTCGCCACATACCAATACTTACCATAAGCTGTCCTGTGAGCATATTACATCTATCTATACATATAATAAAATACTGTCTGTATGTCTGTCTGTTACCGCATCACAGAAAACCACTTGAGGGATTTTAATGAAAATTGGTATGGTGATATCTGGTTATCCGGGTCAATATATAGGATACTTTTTAACGCGGGAAAATGTCTCATTTCTAAGAAAAAATACAGAAACTGCAATGTAAGAGTATACTATTATGTAAAACCTAAGAATTTGGTTTTTGGTCATCTGAACGCGGACGGAGCCGCGGGCACTGCTAGTTTTGCTATAAAAGAATACATATGTAAGTATACAATATAAATAAAGAGTTAGTTAGCCTTATTGATTTTATGTACATTTGCAACAAGTAGGAATCCTACTTGTTGTAAAGTATATACGAATTAATTAATCACAAGAAAATAATAAGTAATTATTATTTTTTGTGATGAATTAATTCGCATTACAATGTACGAAGAAATTGATAAGTTTAGTTACATGAAGCGCGACAACGAACTATAATAAGAAAAGAACTCAAAGGACTTCTGAAGACAAAGTACATATTTATTACGCTTATAAAAAATTGTAAAAAAATCAGTCAAGTACGAGTCGAATTCGCACACGAAGGGTTCCGTGCCATCGTACATTTACTTTTATGACTTTTACTCTATGTATGCAGTATATTAATTTCGATGATGAATTACGAACCTTAAATAAATGTTTCTTGTATTTTTATTTATTTTTATTATTTTTTGTTATAACGGCAATAGAAATACATACGCTGTGCTCTCTACACAGATACCGCCCTCTGACAGATGGACGGACTGACGGACGGACAGCAAAGGCATAATAATAGGGTTCCGTTGGAACCCTTCGGGTACGGAACCCTAAAAAGAGAATGATAACTCCGAAATACTCGTAAATAACAAGGAAGCGGTAGTAACTCATTGATAACATTTTCGCATAGAAATCTAAGTGTAGGTAGGGGTTTCACACCCTGGATCTCGCCCCTCTGAGATATATGTGTATGTGTTCAATATGATTATCACTTGCTGATAGGACAAGAAAAACATCGTGAGAAAACCAGCATGTCTGAGAAACATTAATTACGTAGTTTCCGAAAGATTACTTATTATTTTCTTGTGTTTAATTAATCCACTAATTCGCATTTAACTAGCGTATTATTGACAGAAAGCTTGTGACAAGTAATGTGACCTTAAAAGGGCTTAATTATTTTTATTGTTTCTATATATATATACATATAATAACATTGTAGCTAAGTCGAATCTGTACATTAAATATTTTTTGGAAAATCGTATTGAAATAGATATTATTATCGATACAGAGTCCGAATATAGTTTTTAGAATTTTCGTCTGTCTAATTTATTTTATGAATTTGGTTTTTGGTCATTTAAACGCGGGCGGAGCCGCGGGCAATGCTAGTTATATTATAAATTATAAAGCTTTATATAGCGAATTTATTTTCATCGATTGTACCTGCTTGGTTATTTTAATAAATTACATCTTAGTTGTAAATACTTGTGTGAGTTAGTTCGTAATTTTCTGTCAAGACACGCGAGATACCTATTCTCAAGTTTAAAAAACAACTATTCTCATTAATAGTATTGCGATAAAACATAAATTATTATGTATTATATAGTACGTATGTAGTAAGAATTGTGTATACAGGTGAGACTGAAGTGTACCCATAAGCTCTTGACAATCTCCCGCGTAATTTTCTAAAAAGCAGAGCAAAGTGCTGAGCTAAGCTAAGTAAAACTATTTTTTTATACTGAGCAAAACTCTTTCGTACTTTTAATAATGGCTAGAAAAAAGATATAGAATTTTTTTTTTAGTTATCATTGAGGTACAAAAAATCTATAGAAATCACAACCCTAGCGAGCGGCTAAATTGGACTTTTACCTTTTATGGCAAAATAAACTTTATCAATATGTGTTTGCATTTGTGTGATATGCAAATCTACCAATGGCGATAAATTTAATGACGTTAGTGATTGAGGTGAAATCATATAGTTATTGTCTTAGCTTTAAAGATTAAGCATCTGGTCATAACAGGATTGTATATGTATGTAATAAATAGATAGTAGTTATATTGTATAGATGTTGAGCACACGCCAAATTTACAAGTTTATGGGTCAAGTGAAAGTAGTTCAATGGTAAATAAGTACCTGCTAAGTGTAATCCATCAAATCTATATAAAATTTTAATGTGGCTCTACCACTATAGAGGATATTGATATAAAGAGAACTATTTTAATAACTTACTTGTGTCTTGTATCTGATAAAGTAGACTTCCGGTTTGGAGGGTTGTGTAGGTGCTGCAGTCGGGATAACAATTTCCGGTTGCTCCTCGGGCTTTTTCACTAAAACGTAGACCAGGGTCTTCTCTTCGTTTTGAGGTTGTACTGGAATGACCGGAGCAGTTGGAGTGGGGGGAGTTGGTGCCTTGATAAATACTATTTTATAATGTTTCTGTGGTGGAGGCACGTGAACAGGTTTCCGGGGAGCGGGTTGTTCATTGTCAGGAGGTGGCACATGCACGTACACATGTTTATGCACAATAGGCTGCTGCTGCGGCGGCCCGTACTGGGGTGCTGGTGCCCCGTAAGATGTTGATGGAGGTCCATAAGAGGAAGGTGGTTCGGGTCGCGCCGCAGTACAAGCGACTACTACTGCGAAAAACATTGACCTTAATACCTGAAAATAAACACATATTATATAACATTTATAAACATTAAGTGTAAAGATACAACAATACACAAAATTATGGATCTTCTTTTTAGACTCTTGACATTACTATAATTCGGCATTTTTATTTACCAATCATATCATTAATAAATATTAAATGCATTTGTTTATTAGAAAAAGGTTTAAATTGATAATATTTATTGGACACTTTAAACAAATACAATTATATATTTTTAATCACTTAAAAGTATATTCGATCCACATTGAACCACATGTAATAGGTCACACGATCACTAGATCAATAATAATAAATAGCACTAGCACATTCTTTGAACCTACCATTTTGTCACACATCCTGGCAACGCGATTAGACAGTCTTAGACAGTGTAATGTCCAGCTACCAGGTACACCTGTGTTTATATGAGATAGCGCTCGACATCCGGGGAGGGGGCACTTTCGATGGTTCTCAGGCTTTGCGCAATGTGATGGTGCTCACGCGTCACCCTACCCCAAGCTACGCATGGAAGACAGCCACATGACCACATGGATGACGAATACGAACTAATGGATACCTATTCTGCGCAAATGCATTCATTAAAAGTATTAACTTGCAATGGCAATTGACATTTCTATTAACGTATTAAACATTCATCTTAAGATAGTAAACTGATAATTTTAAAGATTTTTTTTCTAAAGATTGTTTTTCTCCAACAATCTCATTATTACTGTACTATATTTGCGTTAATAAAATTTCAAATAGCAAAAAATACTTTTTGGATAGCAAATGAAAAGCCCGGCGACGATGGGGCAAGATGCTAGTTATGGATAAAAATAACTTATTGAAATACTATAGTACATAAATAAAATTTAACTTCAATACAATGCATAAATATAAAAATCTGTACCTATTAAGACGTAAAATATGCGTGCAGCGATAGTTTAACATTGTAGCATTTCTTGTTGTGATTGATTCCACGCTTAACCAATTGCGTGAACTAAAACTTAGGCTCTATTTGAAAGTAACATTTAAATAATATAAGGGCCAAAGTTGTAGTTAAAGTATTGTTTTGTTAAATATAAAATATACTATTAAGTATAATATAAAGTTGTTTATAAACATTTTATAGCTATTCTTTATATAGTGATAAACAGAAATTAAATGATTGATTGAATATGAAGTATTATAAGTGAAATTCATATGTTTTATGAGTACTGATTTAAAACAAACAAAAAATAACCTTTACAGGTAGTTGTTGATGTTTATAAATTCATTCGTTAAATGGTAATAATCTGCGCTTGCACGATGAACTTGTTCTGCAAAGTTCTTTATTGTGTCATTTTAATGTGTAATTAAAAACAGTGGATACGATCGTAATCCAAGCATCAAACGCGTAGGACTTGTCGCACGACTCCTTGATTCTTTTGGTCATTTAACTATTCCGTATGATTGGAGACTTAATTATCATCTATTGGTGTGCATGTTCCGCTTATACATATAACGGCAGCGACACAGCATCACTGCGCGTACAGTGTGGCTCTCCAGAATCAATGATAATTCAATATATTTCCTTTTCAATAAGACATGCAATCAAATAAGGAGTTATATATATGAGTTTACTGTGTTTATAAATTCCCCTTATAAAAATAGTGTATACGAGCAATAATGGATATTTGTGGAAGACATCTAAGAACCTACAGAACATGTAAGGTAAGTTGTCATCTCATTACTTTAAATTTTATTTTCTCTACTTGGATATTTCACGTTTTTTAAATTATATTTTATTCTAAAGTCGAATACTCTATTTCTTAAATTAGTGTTTTCGGCTAATCTAATAATATAATAATATAATATTAAGTAATATTTTTTAAATAGTTACTTTTCTAATCCCCACATTATCGTATCGTCCCAACTCCCAATATAACCATAGAGAAATTAGAAAACCAATTTCGCACAGAATGAAGTTCTTTCATTTAAATTCATAAAGTTTGAATTAGTCAATCTATTGTAATAAGAAAAGCAATTAAGTTTAAAAATCAGTTGTGCATTAAATCTCTGGCGCCAAAATACTTGTTTTTAGACAATTAATTTTGCCATATGGCTAATTTGTTAAAAGTGTATTCACAATACGTAATTATTGCATATTCGACGGTTACCACTAAAACTTTCGCAATATTTATTTGGCGAGGAATATTTCGATATAATGTAGTTAACGAGAAGGATTTCTTTTAAGTTTTGAAGTAAAATTATTACCAACATCACAAAACACAAAGCAGTGGACAGACTTTTTTTCTTTTAAGATAATTAGTCACAGCATAACAGTAATGACCAAAATATAACTTATTCTTCTAAATATATTTTCTCATAGGCTCAATTTAGTTATTTGAATTCGTTCCGTCAAGTTAAATTAAATTTAGACGTTTATGAAACTGAACAAAAAACGAGTGAAAAATGGTAGTTACTAGGTACAATAGTCATCACAATACACACGTGTAAGGTGTTGACAAATCCATTTGTGTTGCTCTTGTCTTATCGATTTATGCTTTCCTACACTGATTTTGCAGCGAATGTTTTATACACTCAAAAATAAAAGATAATACTTAATTATTATGAGCTGTTGAAATGTTCACCACGGGAATCATTAATGTAACTAATATCGGCTTGACGATACGTTTGGTTCACTTTTTAGTGACTCTACTTGCTATGCCAGCGGTCGCGGGTTCGAGTCCCGCTGGGAGCACGGGTACTTCAGTCATGGGTATTTATATTTGTAATTTGTATGTATTTAAAGTTGTAGTACCCGTGCGACCGGAGGTTTTTGACCAAAAAAACATTTAAAAAAAAACAAACTTAAAATTTGAATAAATAAAAAATAAACAAAAGTAAAAACTTTGTGTCCGATCGGGATACGAACCCAGGTATCTGTGGTTGTCAAACTTGCGCCTTGGCCGCTTCACCGCGATTCTTAAATCCTAGCGTGCGAATTAGCGACCTTAATTTTGCGTGGAATAATGCGAAACAAAACCGCATGAAAACTCGAAAACACGCGTTTTCCCAGACATAAAACTAGTCTAGATCGATTAATCACCCCCGAAACCCCCTGTTTACTAAATTTCGTGAAAATCGTTGAAGCCGTTTCCGAGATTATGAATTACGAATATGGTCGATAATTACGCACGCTATATAATTTTTTTATTTGAAATTTATTTGGATGAAAGTTATATTTTACTTGAATGAAGTTTTTTAAAGACATATATAAGAAATACTCTAAGACATAATTGACATATTTTTGTTTTAATAACATCATGTGTAAACGCACACCATATGTCGATAATCGTAGTAGCGACTCAACCTCGCTTCACTCGGGTTCACCTCTAGAAAAACAAAAACAAATCTATCCCACAGGAACTGTACATTTTTCCGCCCTAAAAAAGCTTGATAAAAAGCCTATGTGCTATTCCAGACTATAATCTATCTCTGTGCCAAATTTCATCAAGATCCGTACAGCCGTTTGGGGTGATTGAGTAACAAACATCCATCCAAACATCTGAATTCTAAACATACACATTTAAAATATTAAAAGAAATATAAATAAGAAAACGTCATTTTAAAATGTGATGTTGTGCAATGCCTACAATATATACCTACCTACATTTGTATCTATGTCTTATGTGTTTACCCTATGGATAAATATTATGCTTAAATTATGATTTTACCTAAAAATATAGTATTTTAATTAATAAGAGGATAATTTTAAATAAATACTTAGCTATCATTAGGGCTATGAGTATTCTCTCCCGTTGTGTTCGTCTTGTCGTGGTGGTGGTAATTAGCGTCCGGCAAACTAGCCGGACGTGAAGCCAAGCGACAGTGGAAGGGACCACCCACCACCACTTCAGTGTGTGGTATACTTACTATGCGGGTTGCTCCTGGTATTTCTTTAATAGCAGAGTGAACCATGGGAGCAACCATCTGGTCTATCCCGGCAGGCCAGCCGTCGCGTCGGGACGTCTTGATTGTGATCCTGTGATTTGTACGTGAGTTGTACGTAAGTGATCCTGTGACGCCCCATTAAGACGGGGGTGGTTCCTTTAGGTTTTAGTGAGTATTTCTAGCTTTTCTGGAAGACAAGTCCCACATAACCTCTAAGTATGCAAGTGGTATGCGTAAATACATTTCCCAACGTTAAAAATATTTATAAATATTACAGGGCCCATTCGTTGTATTTATGTGCAACAACATGACATTTATTATAAATCTTTGTTCAGGGTTGTCACAAAATTTTGCCTTGTGAATGAATAAATAAAATGTAAAAGTAAATACAGTTTTGTTTTACAAAAACATCTAAAGAAAGTTTAAGGCAGAGGTATTACTTATATATTAGGCCCAATAGAATTTTTGTCTGTCTGTCTGTCTGTCTGTCTGTCATCACATCACGGAAAAACCACTGGAGGGATTTTGATGAAATTTGGTATGATGATAGCTAGCCGGGTAATCACCCGGGTCAACATCTAGAATACTTTTTACTGCGGGAAAATATCTCATTTCTGAGAAATCTATACTAAACACGATATAAAAACGAACCCGAGCGGAGCGAGTGTGAGTCGCTAGTTAAGTTTTAAAGTGTTACATTTTATTAGTCAAGTACACCAAAACTATGACAGCTAAGTAGCCTACTTACAAGTTTACGAGTAATAGTCAACCAACTTATAAAAGGTAATTGTTACTGTGAGTAGCCGAAACCGTTAACATTAAATGTTCATACTCATCATAGTATGAAACAACAAAAAGCCCTATTCTTAGTATGCATTATTGTGATGGCCAACTACTGAACCATACATTGCGCGTGGCCGATACGCATTTGTTTATATTTTTAGGATTTCATATTTTAAAATTTAAATAAGGGAACGAAACGATACCGGTTTAAGAATGTACATGATACATCTTTACACTTTTACAAGTAACAATTTCTAATGGAGATTATTTTATTAACTGTATTTTTTTATAAAATCAATATCCTGTAATAATTAGTGAAGGAAAATAGTTTTTAATAATTAAATTATAAAAAAATAACTAAGTAATAAGTAATTATACATACACATATATATGTATAATGTCATATACATTACTGTAAAAGCCCGTATTGGTAAATCTTTGGTTTTACTAGAATGTCTTAGGATTTGCCAACTGAGTTAGTAAATGTAAGGATTAAGAGACGACCTTTTGCGTCTTTACCATTAGAGCTTAGTACATGCTGGGTTTTATCAAGGATGCTTGGTAAATGTTGGTTTAACTAAACACTGCGTATTTCTCCTTGTCGAAATAAAAGTTATTATTTTCAATTTTAATTTTTAAACTGTCACCAAATTCAAAATAACATAGAATATTGGGGGTTCTGGGTTTGAAACAAAAAAAAGACCCAATGAGAAGGCTACGGCAGGAGCTACGCTGCATTTCGCTCCCGCTTCTCAACCCACATTATTCATGTCGGGCCTGTCAGATAAAAAGTAAAAAAAAAATTGTTCTGAGGTAACAAATAAAAATAAATAAATACAGGAGAATTGAGATACCTTCTCCTTTTTAAAGTCGGTTGATATTAAAAGACAAGCAATTATGGAATTAATTATTAACGTACGTGTTTTAAACGTGCCAAACGATTGACTGAGGCGAGCAGCGTCGGCGGTGGGGTTCGGGCTTTTACAGTAACATATTTTATTTTGTTGTACCTTAAAATAGGAAGTTTTAACTGTAACATTGGACATTAAAAATAATGAAAATTAATAATAAGTAGTTACTGTTAAAAAATAGTTAACTTTCCCATTTGTATTCAGCCCTTTTTAACGTCCCACTGCTGGGCACGGGCCTCCCTTCAATACGAGGGGGATCAGGCCATAGTCCACCACGCTGGCCAAGTGCGGGTTGGCGGACTTCACATGTCTTTCGAAAACTTGCTAGGTTCTGTCAGACATGCAGACCTTTTGTGCACTAAAGCTTTTGATCAAATAAAAATACACAAGTTTATTTTTATTTCTTGTTTGTTTATAACAAATGAAAAATACCGAAAAATCCTTTAAAGGAAATACTTAATAATTTAAAACTGATCTAAACAAATTGTGTGAGTAGGAAGTACATCTTGTACATATCTATATCATTAAATATTCTTAATTGATAGGAATGTTGGTTGAGTCAATCGTATCTCCCATGCTCAGGCTCCCATGAATCGGCTTTAACAGGAATCAAAGGCGGCTTATACCGGAATCGACTGCCTTAAAGAAAACTATGGAGAATAAATCCGGTTTTTTCCGCCCTATCTTGTTTAACTATCGGCTTGGCCGTTCAAGCTGGCTCAATGAGTTGTTATTATAGACGCAATACGCATTAGCTACACTTTGGAAAGCAGCCTTTCAGGGTCACTGGTATCTACATATAATATAATTCGAACTGAGTCGAATCTGTACATTAAATATTTTTTGGAAAATCTTATTGAAATAATCATTATTATCGATACAGAGGCCGAATCTATAGTTTTTAGAATTTTTGTCTGTCTGTCTCTCTGTCTGCGACCGCATAACGAGAAAGCCACTGGACAGTTTTTAAAGAAATTTGGATGATAGCTAGTTATCCGGGTCAACATATAGGATACTTTTTACTGCGGAAAAATATCTCATTTCTGAGAAATTTATACTAAACTTAAAATAATAATTACGAAAACCTTTATTATTATTATTATGCAATTTAAATATATTTTATTACACATATACTTACATATACCTACTAAGCCTGTTATACTATACTTTAATTCTGGCTACGTAGGTTGTAATGACCCAATATTTTCCTATCAATTAAAGCATCGTGTTTCATTTATCCCATCTAATTGCAAAGGCAGGAGCGAGTCAGTGTTAATTATTTTCCTGCCATCAAAACACCTACTCCTCACCAATTATGTCATTAAATTCAATTATTACAAACACATTCTCAGAATATCGACCGACAACGACACGTTTAACTTATGTGATATGTATACTAGATTAATTAATATTCTTAGCTCTCATAAAAATGCGATGTGACGTACAAGTATAGTGAATAAAGCCTCCCTATTCCTTTTAAACTTCACTTCTTCAATAAACAACTTTAAATATTTTTTTTAGCTATTATTATGTTGGAGTGTGACTTTGTTCCCTTGGGCGAGTGCGTCACCAAACCCCCTTAGAATATTATCATCTAATCGCTCTGAAATATTATTACAAAAACAAAATGATACGGAAATTGAGCTATTTCATTGGGAAGACTACAGTGTCCTTGCGGTCATGCTTCTCATATCTTGCGGCATCGGCGTGTTTTATGGATATTTTGGAGAGAAACAAACGACAGGAGATGATTTTCTTCTTGGTGGATCATCTATGGGAACATTTCCTATGGCTCTAAGTTTAGCAGCCAGGTTGGTATCAAAACATGTATATACATTTTATATAATCATTAAAGTATATGCGTACCCTATAGGTTTTGTGTTATGTCCTTTATGTAAAACAATTATAATTTTATATAGAATATAATTCTATAGAAGATAAACTAAAATATTATGATCAATAGATATATAAATAAAATAATAATAGTATACCTACTACTAAATAATCTAACAAAATTTATACGTGTACTATTTTAGCTTTATAACCGCTATAGAGTTGTTGGGGAATCCAGCTGAGATGTACATGGCGGGCGGTCAATTTTGGATGATTTGTTTAGCCTTTGTGTTAGTGGTTCCTGTTGCAAGTCATCTCTACCTGCCTGTTTTCATGCGACTACGACTAACATCTTGTTACGAATACTTGGTAAGATATAAAAATATTAAAGGAATTAATTACAATAATAATAATTATCTACAACTACTTATACTCCAATAGTCACGGGTTCGATGACCCATCATGTAATGTATGTGGTGAATACGGGAAGAAATTACGGTAAGCTTGATAATTGATGTCTCAAATGTTTTTTTTTATATATACATATATATGTCAATGTTTTAATACATAGAATAATTATAAAAAATAACTGAAGGTTATTTCTTTTTCAGGAAATCCGTTTCTGTAAATCTATGCGCGTGTACGCAAGCGCTCTATACATGCTGCAAATGATTCTATACACGGCTGTAGCCGTGTACGCACCAGCACTCGCATTATCCGATGGTAAAAGCATTATTACTTGATCCATTATGTATATACTATATGGACAGTTTTTAAAATTAGTAACTAGTCCGATCGGAATTCGGTTTGGGGACAAAAAAAATTAAAAACTGAAGTTTTATGTCTTTAACACCTTTTATTAAATTGTGTTTCTCAATTTTTCGTGCGGGTTCTGAAAAGATAAATTTATCAATTTATTTTTTATTTATATGTGTATATGTGTGCGTGGATTGGATGTAATGTGTATGTGTGTGCATGCGTTTTCGTCTGCGTTGAAATTACCTGTATCATTGTCCTTTTTTGTAAAATCTTTGATAATTTCCTCCACAAACTGTAGTTTTGGTAAACTTTACAGGGTTAGTTAGTACGGAACCCTCGATGCGCGTGTCCGAGTCGCACTTGACCGTTTTTGTAAACTTATTAAAATAAAACATTACTTTATAATAAAACAGATAACAAAACCCTGCCTAGCCACGGGAAACGTAATTAGGTAAATAAAATAAATAGTAATGATGACTCACCTGTCTTTGATCAATCTATGATTAGATTTAATATTAACCGCATCACTGTCCTCACAAACCCCGTGGATTATTTTTTTTTGTACAAGGTGCTTCGACCTGGTTTCGCACTGTGATGAAATTTTATTTCTACCGTGCGGTCCCAGGTTTATAAACCCGGTATTAAGGTAGGTACACCATTGGATTCTATTTAAAAATACATCTTACATATATAATCATCTCTTTATTACACCGAACCAAATTGAAGTTATGCCTTCCGCACGACAAGGAAGTCTATACTTTTCTTAGCCGCACTGTAAGCGAGGCGGTATACAAGATGTTTACACCTGGTATCGCACTCAACGTGTTAAAACATTAGTAGGTATATATAAATAAAACTCGAATCGAACGTTGAATGAATGAATCCATTTCTTTCTGTTATTACCTTAAAATGTAATTTATCAGAAAAAAACAATAAATTTAACTTCAAAACCGACCAAATATTAATAAAATCTCGATAAATGCGAAAAAATGATAACATAAATAGATTCTACGGGAAAAAATACAAAAGAATGTAAAATGTATACTTTGCGTGATTTCCATTTTTTTTTATTTTTTCACGACTTGGCAATTTGCAAAGTTGGAATGTTTACGGCGAGATTGTATTAATAATAAGCGTAAAATTAAAACTTAAGTAAACTATTTTTTTCGTTTTTCCCCGCAAAATATATTGGTGTAATCAGTTTATAAAAATTTGATCGATAAAGCACACTTTTTCAATAAATTTAAAAAAAAATATAGCTTACAAAGTAAAAATTATCACTTCCTCCAACTTTTTGAATTTTTAAGGGTGGTTTTACAGGGCGACCATACAATGTTTTTATTTCTTCAAAAAGTAGAGTTCAAGACAAAAAATGAGCCCTATCTGAAAATTGAATGTTTTTTTTTAAATGTAAACGTCCACTTGAAGTTGGGGTGATTTTCAGCCTCCCGAGACTATAAAACATAAATTTCTGAGAAACGGCTAAATATTTTATTAAAAAAAAATTTGGTTGTAATATGTATTTCGAAGATAACATTCCCCTAGTTTTAATAAAATCAAAAAATTATGGCAGAAATTAAAAATAAAAAATCAAGATAAAGTTAAAAACCGGGTTTATTACAAAACACAGTAAGCCGGAAATTGAAAAAACTAGTTTTCAACGTTTTTCATCCCTCCATTTCTCAGAGGTAGCTGGACATCGGGGGCGTGCTAACGTTTTAAAGAGAAAACTTCAGGTTTTAATTTTTTTTCTTCTTAAAAATAAACGGAACCCGAACAACGGTCGTTGGATTTCTAAACCGAGATCTTTCCGTCATGTAACATTTATGTGCAATGTGATAGGGCGAATATCCTAAAAAAATTAATAAGAAAAATCTATAGAATCAAGTTGGGTTCTCATAAAAAAAACGTTTTTATGTTTTATTTTCCTTAATCATGAAAACCGTTACATGCGCAAAGTCCAAAGAGACTAATAAGAGCTAAGGAGTAGAGGTTACACCACAATTCAATAAAAGGTCCTATTTATAAACAATTATATTATTAAAAGAAATATATGTATATATACTATAAATCAAGTAATTATTAATAGCATACTTATACTCGTATTATAGCAATATTTTCATTTAAATTTTAGGTAATATTTTAAATCATTTTTAATTTAAAACTTCAGTTTTTTAACTTCAAATAAAACCAAAGCAAGTCGTTAAAATAAAAAATATTACTTATTTTAAAATTCATTTTGGAACATCATCGACTTTTCATATTTTAATATCACATTGCAATCTCTAATAAACTTTCATTAAGTAATTAATTAAATCGGTAAGTCTATAAAAGTTAAAATTGTTACTGCATTTGATAACATATACATAATATGCAACATTACTTCATAATCACATTCTTTATGAATCTTTGTAAAAGTAGGCGAAATCACAACATTTTAGCAAGTTAATAACCTATTTGTATGCAATGCTATCTACATAGGATAAAACATTATTATCTATGTAGAAACAAGTAAAATTTTATGTATGATATAACATTTAATAACATATCACGTAATTAGCGAATAAGCGTAGCAATTATATTTAAATTGGTATGTTTTAAAGTCTTACATAAGCGGTTTCTAAAAAAATAACTGTGTTAGTAGTTAATAGGTTTGATACATAACTAACAGTATCCTACACTTTCAGTAAAACTAATAACAAAATAACGATCAACAAACGCATGTATTTATTTTTTATAAAATCAGAATTGGTATTAAAAAAGTATTTTTATATCGTAGGTAGCTAACATTATAATCACATATCTTTACTAATAACTCTATCACATGAATGTGGTCTGATTAAAAAATTGACTTGGATGACCTACTAGAGAAAATGAAAGATGTACATTTTAAAAATTCTAATCACGATCCTCGAAATACATTGCGTTTGTAATCGGTTTCTTAATACACCTTGGGAAGAGTTCAGGGTCGAACTTTCATGTTATATGTAGCTACATATGTAAATCAGTTAAGAATTTTCTAAAACTTTGAACTTTAGTTCTTTTGTGGAGAGCCTTAAAAATTAGTTTTTGCTATCTCTGTTGCGTACTAGCTTATAATGTTTTTATCCAAAGTGACTCCTCAAAGCTTTCTATGAAATCGCATTAGGAATCGTTTGCTTTCATTACATAAAGATAGTATTATATTAGGTAATCGAAATTATTTTGTCATTATTGAGTTGTACACTTATTGTATAAATTATAGAGGTGTTTGTTGAATCTTAAATTTATTTTATAAAATATAAATTCAGTGTGCTGTTTTGATTATTAAATTACTATCATTTCATAATCAAAATTCAAATTTTATTATTACTCAACTTTTTATTATATAACTAATAAAATAAATCCTCTATATCTACTTAGTAGGTACCAAAAATAGTACCATAAATGGTACCCAGCACCTTTTTCTATAATACCTATCTCTAATATGACAGACAATAACAATCTAATTATTATTTTTTGTAATACTTTCTTAGATTTACGCGAATATTTGACATTTACACAACTATACCTTCGAGACATCTAACACCTCAGTCTCTCCCGTGACCATGATTGCTGTAAAGCATTCGAAACGTCGGGAACCAAAAATCCAAATAAATCCGCGAAAAAATCCGAAGAGATAGTTTTATGTAAAATATTATTTTTTACTTCAGACTGAGAAACACACAAGTGGGTAAATATTTCCATTGCAGTAATTGAGTCGCTCACAAACTATTTCTTCTGCCATCATCGGACGATCAACTACGAAAACGTACAACACGTTACAAGCATATACCTACGTTTCGTAAAAAAATAGATAGTAGATATGCTATGAAACATATTAGGAACTACAAATGTCCATACATAAAAGTGATGAAACAAGACTAGAAAAAGTTAAATACTTCATATCGCATAAGAAACATTCACAAGAGCATATTTATAATACATTATGTGTTATAAAGTCAGCGTCATCAAAGTGACTGTTTCACAATGGGATGACAATAGCGTCGTAAAATTAATTCATAGATAGGATTCTAACTGTAATTCTGATTTCGTAACAATCTCTATATTTATGTATATAACTATATTTACGGGTCATAAAATTTTCTTAATGATTCATGTTTATTATTTTGGCAATGTATTATTGATAAAAGTATCGATTCTCTTCATATATTTTTTTAATGTAATATAACATTAATATGTGAAATCACTTACGTCAAGCAAACCTTCATATTTCTTTATGATAGCATTATGAATACTACTACCTCTATCACGATATCTACTAATTGGTATGTTCATCTTGTTTTTAGTATACTATTATTCTACTTGTTCACACTATGAATAATTAAAAATGTAAGTATATACGAGTAAGAATATTAAAAGCTTTAAGTTTCATTAACAAAACGATTAATTTTTAAATACAAAGAATGATGTGTAATTAACGTAAGGAAAGCAAATTGGCGTGAGTATATTTCTAGGCTAATCTTTATAACGCATGAACTATTTCTAACGGAATTGACACTGGTAGCTAAAAGTAAATAATATGGCTTATTGTAACAATTTATGTGGGTACATGATAAGGCGTCAAATGGTAACTTATGGAATAGGTAATATAATATATGTTGTGTGTAAATTCCACCAGGTTCAGGGAACATGACTTATAATTATTTTTAAATTTTAAACATGATCATAATATTAAAACTAAAAATCTCTCAGAAAACGAAATAAATCACCTAATTATAAGTTTGTATGACATCTTTGTTATGGCATGGAAAGACTCACAAGGTATATATTTTCACGTTATATATTTCATTTCTTTACAAGTACGGTAGTTCGCTACTGATATAAGTATATTTCAAAGCTCACGACTAAATCTAATAAATTGTAATTTATAAGGGTAATAAACATTACTGTGCACGCCCTGAGTACCTACACCAAAGTCATTAGAAGGTTTATAATAAATTCGTGGTGTAATTTTTATCCAGTTATACAATATGAAAATCGACGCCACTGCCCACTTGTTATACTTTGAGCATACGATTTTTATTGGCATTGCATAATCCGCTAATATATGCCGAAGGACCCATTGTTCCCAAATTGGAGGATGGTTGCACGCTATGAAATCAATTTGAAAATATGATTTTTAAATAGCATTTCCCAACTCTACTGTCTACATTTATATTTAACTTAATAATATTTTATCTCAAATATCTACTAGGTAGGTACTTATAGTTTAAATTAATTATTTTACTTGAAGGAACATTTATTTTATGACGACACGTTTGTAGCCCTACTTGCTGTGCCAGCGTTGCAGTTGCTCAAAGGCGTTATATACCACCTACCCACAAATTTACAAAATGGTTTCAAAAATTCAAAAATGGCACCAAAGTACCTTACAATATTTGTTGATTTTAATTCTAACCATTTTATTTTTTTTAATTTGTATTATAATTAAATATAGAAATAATGTAGGTATATTTAGCAATTTTTATCTTAAATTATTTTTAAACATATACCTAAGTTATATATATTTTTGTGATCGCCTCTTAAAAACCTTTATTTTAATAACCCACTCGATAAGTTTGGAAGATTTTTCTTAAAGACACACAATACAAATAGGCGAATGAAACCCGTCATTTTAATTTTTAACTATTTTTTAATATCCTATAACACTCGCGTTATCAAGACAAATCTAATGACTTATGAATCGTCAAAATCGGCCCACACGTTTGGTTTCTAGAATGCCATATAGGAACAAAGACATACGTACATAGACTGATCAATACAGTACCCTCCTTTGCGTTGCGCAGTCGGATGAAATAACGGTAATCAATTATTTTTGTTGCTGGATTTCGATATATCGTCGATGTAGAGCATTCGCGTTCCGCGTTAATAATTAATATTCATATATAATTCGTGCACCGTGACATCCCTACGGAATCCTAACTCGCGGGCCAACACGTACCTACTCTACCAATATTGTTGTATTTTGATATTACGAAATTTTAAACATGTCGTAACTTACTACCTACATGAAGAAATTTATATATATATCATTATTTATATAATAATTTCATTTTTTGCAGTGACGGGGTTAAATACATATTTGGCTGTATCAGTGGTTTATGTTGTTTGTATATTTTACGCTTCCCAGGTATGTCAAAAGCAGAAAGATATAATATTTTTAAATTTAAAAAAAATGTGTTAACATTAATAAAATAAATTTGTTTAAGGGTGGTATGAAGGCCGTCATTATGACTGATACGTTTCAATCAGCTGTGTTACTGGGATCGTTAGCTGCAGTGCTGGCGCTAGGCGCTGCAGAGACTGGCGGTTTTGATTTTATTTGGGATCATGCTCGACGTACAGATCGGCTGCATTTTTTTGAGTAAATATTGAAAGCAATAAATATTATAAAAAATAAAACATATAAGTTAACTGATTAGTCATTACTAACTATAGTTCCCGTCACGTAGAAAGAACACTGGCCGTTTACCTGCGCACTAAGCGATTTATCGATAAATCGGTTGTATAGAGAGGGCGCGACAGGCAAGTACTTATTATGATTCTACAATAAAACAATAATTAACACTTATATTATAAAACAATAGCTAGTACTTTAGGACGGGAGTGCACTCGTGCGCAGACATATTCCCACAACTGTCGCTCACCGTTCTTTTTACGTGTCGGGACCTATCTTTATATATATAATTCTTCTGTGAGTGTGTATGTCACTGAACTTCTCTCAAACGACTGGACCGATTTGGATGAAATTTTTTGTGTGTGTTCAAGGGGATCTGGGAATGGTTTAGATTCACAATTTTGTCCGCTGGACAATGTTTTTTTAATTAATTTTTAATTTATTAGTAGTTGTTGATTTTGGAATGTTTTACATTGGATCCGACAGACGGCGCTACCATCGCAGTGTCAAATTTTAAATAATATTCGAATTTTAATTTTAGTCTGTCCTGACAGTTAGCGCTGCGATCAAATTAAAAAAAAGTTTTGTTATCATTGTAGACAGGACAACGTCTGTCGGGTCCGCTAGTACTATATAATAGAGTATTATGTGATCGGTGCTACTATTACGATTTCCTCTAGCTGAGGTCTTTAGCTGATGTATTCCTGAATCCCGGCGGATTAGTAAAATATGTTGTTAAACATGTTAAAATAATTATGTAAAAACACTAGTACAACTATTGGTATAATATTGTGGTTTTCAATTTCTACATTCGTATTCTGCCCAAAATAATAGAGAGCGCTTTATTTTATATGCGCATTGTCGATAATTCGATTAATAAGTTAAAATAATAGATGAACTCCGTCAGTTATCAATTATTATTAATGTACATTGTAGTTTAAAATATTGTAACAAATCACTCAAGACTTCATAACACGACCGCGCAAGAGAGAGCAGTAAATGTCGCAAAAGAAAAAAAATGCATTCCATTTTGTTGCGCCACGCACTGCGCGGCAAAGAGAATGGGAGGTCTTCCGCAGACAATTTGCCCTATCACCTTAGGAAAAACCGCTATGTTCCATACCATATCTATGAAAATATCGGCTTGTACACGCTACTTAAATTATATCTTTGATAGTAAACGTCGGAATAAAGATATTCCCACAAATGTTTGTTACGTGTTTTATACCATGTAGGTACATCTATCTATCTATACATAATATAATAAAATTGTAACTGAGTCGAATCTGTACATTAAATATTTTTTGGAAAATCTTATTGAAATAGTCATTATTATCGATACAGAAGCCGAATCTATAGTTTTTAGAATTTTTGTCTGTCTGTCTGTCACCGCATCACGAGAAAACCACTGGATAGATTTTGATGAAATTTAGTATGAAGATAGCTGGTTATCCGGGACATAGGATACTTGTTACTGCGGGAAAATATCTCATCTCTGAGAAATCTCTACTAAACGTTAAAACGTAACTAGGGATGAACCCGAGTGGAGCGAGGGTGAGTCGCTAGTATGTATATAATATATATTCATAAACATGTACGTAATGACTAATTAGTGTTAAAGTATGCAATATATTATATATGCGCAATACCCTTGCATACTCATTTACTTACACCATTTCATATTGTGAAATGCTCATCTGCTCTAACGATTCAGATTTTCACCAGACATGACAAAACTGATACCAATTCAGCTTGCTAATTCTTTAGGCTTTTCGTTTTTCTACGTATTAAGTTTTATCCTAATCCGCTCAGCTTTTTTTACAGGAGTAACAATCAAAATACACGCTTTGGCACTTATAAATTATAATTAAAGTAGTCTGATTTCGGATTTTGCCTCTAAAGGAAGTCCCAAACAATAACACCTTCTATAGGCACACTGAGCGACATTAATTTTGAAAATTTTATAATTTAAGGAAAGACATACATAATATATTTTACTATGTAAGCCCAAGAAGTTAGAAATTTATTATTGGCATACTTAAATTAATAAATAATTAAATATATATTATATCTTAACCTTTATCTTTTAGTATGAATCCTGACCCTACTGTGCGTCATTCATTCTGGTCAGTGGTTGTGGGCGGTACCATTTATTGGATAAGCATGTTTTGCGCCAACCAGGCTTCCATACAGAAATATCTGTCCGTGGAACGAATATCACAGGCCCGTATAGCCCTTTGGGTATCAGCAATCGGCCTCGTTTCCGTGTACTCCGTAAATTTCGCTACTGGAGCCCTTCTCGCTGCCCACTATAAGGGATGTGATCCGATACAGGTAGGTACATGTTGCATTTTACATTGTATATTACTAAATAGCATACCCGACTAAAAAAGAAGAACTTTTCAATTTGTTTTTTTTTTTTTATTTTGTACGACGCATAACTATTTATTTACAGAGAAGTCCATTTTTTAGATTTTTATTGGATAATTCGAAGTTGGTTACATTTCAATTTGAGAAAGAATAATTGAACCACATAATTAGTAGGTGCTACACAGCTAAGTTAGTAACTTATTATTACGAAAATAATTCAAATACATACCTATATATACGAATGTGTTTTTTTTATATATTGCTAGTAGGTACATATATTGTATTACACAATTTACTTATTTCGTAATTTATGATTGTTACCTTATGTTTGAATTAATTTGCAAACAAATGCGTTTAAGTATTGTAGTGTACACACATTCACATCAACAACAACGTGCTACCTAATACCTATTAGTTTTTTTTTGTTTTTATTAATTGTTATAAAGTTTCTAAAATCCTACATTTTTGTTAAATATAAATTACACACTTAACACTTCCAGAGTTATATCTATACTCGAAAATAAATCGAATCTGTAACAGCTGATATAGACATTAATTCAGTAACACCAGGTCTAACGCTGATTTTTTGCTTTAAAATGTTTTAAACATATAGAGATTTAAAATCTCTAAAAATTATATAAGTAATATAAACAAACCTTCTATGACAGGCTGGTGTAATAAACGGTGCTGACCGTCTCCTTCCATTGTATGTGGTCCGTCAGCTGGGTGAACACCGCGGCGTTCCTGGCTTCTTCGTAGCTGGTATATTTGCGGCTAGTCTTGGGTAAAATGATTTTTTTGATCCATTTTAAATTTTCACAATACACACAATGGCTTATTAGAGTTATAACTTAAACATGCTAAAGTTATACTTATACAAAATTTCAATACCAAAAACATATTGGATTGTACCGAGACGTATGAATACAACACAGACACTAATTCAGGAACAGACTTGGTTCCAGAATTAGGCTTTAACTAGAAATGACCAGCCGCCTACCAGTTTCAATTTGGAACATGGTCCAATAATCAGGTCTTAGATTAATGTTTCAATACATACAACTGTATAAGTATAAATATCAAAAGGAATGTTTATATTATATTACGTCAATTACTTGTAATTGATCTTAATTATATTCTTTTTTTTACAGAACTGTAGCGTCTGCATTAAATTCTTTAGCAGCCATTGCTTGTCAAGATTTGGTCACCGGTTTGCTCGGCATAAGTTTACCTGAAAACAAAGGGGCAGCAGTAAGTATATCCTGTCTAGAGATATATTCAAGTTAAATTATAAATTTAACAATTTTAGAACAGGGATGTTCAAGTATGTACGAATATTTGGTCCATGTTTAAACTCAAGTTAAATCATTTTACGTTATATAAATAAAATAAATAAATACAAACTAAACTATAAGACAAGAGAAGAGCGGAAAAATATATTTGATCGTTGACTTCTTAGTAACATCAACTCCAAAGAAACTAAAACTTATCCCACATTTATATATTGTCGTGAGGCATAGATTCAATATATTAACTAATACTTATTCAATTTCTATGTGATCAATTGGGCAATATTATTATTGAAAAACATGAGTTCAGTATTTGACATCAACTGCTATGAAACTAGGTATAGTTACAATAAGATAACCAAATGATTAATAAATAGTACGTAATAAACACAAATAATTTCAAGGTAATGGGAAGTGAATTTAATATGGTTAGCAGATTAATTTAGGTAATCAATCTCACATTTTTACATTATTAACTAATAGATATATTTCTGAAATTTACAGATTGCAAGATGGGTATGCCTGGGCTGCGGAGCTCTGTCCTTCGCGCTTGTGTTTTTGGTAGAGAAGCTGGGACCTGTCTTGCAACTCGCACTCTCTTTCAATGGCATGACTGGAGGAGTTACTTTAGGACTTTTTAGTCTAGGAATGTTATTTCCCTGGGCTAATTATAAGGTAAAATTATATATTTTACTTCATTTAATCACTTAGTCAAAACAAAATTTATGATGTAATCATAAAAATCAAAATTTATTTTAAAATATTTCTGAAAATAACATTAAAAATTTAAATAATGGCATAAAAAATGTTTTAAAAGACAATAAAATCGAAAGTGCATATTACAAGACTTCCGCGACACTACTCAGAAAAAGAGAGACAATAGCATTCCCAAGGAGGGTTGACGTCAGGCATGCGGCCGGTCGTAAAACTTTTGCCAAATCCTATCAGCAGTACAGAAGATGTACTTTTTTTTTTAACGTTGGGAAATGCATTTACGCACGACGTGAGGGACTCACCGGCGTAATACAGCCAGTACTACCCACTAAAACCCAACAAAACCTTCCCCCGTCTTAATGGGGCGTCGCAGGATCGCTTACGCATTCAACTACGACGCCCCGACGGCGGGTCTGCCAAAGCAGACCACCACAACCATGGGGTTGCTCCAAGGTCCACTCTGCTATCAGAGAAGTACCAGGAGCAACCCGCAAGGTACACCGCCCCCCCGAAGAGGGCCACCTCCCACCACCCACCGAAGTGGGCAACCTCCCTGTGCGTTTCATAGCTTCGCGCCCGGTTGGATTGCCGGGCACTACTGAGCCCCCCACCACGACAAGGTGAACGCACGTTGGGGGGGAGTACAGAAGATGTACTGCGCCGACCCCAAGTGATTGGGAAATGGGCAGGAAGAAAAAGAAGAATCACTTGACCGTATTTAAATATCATCTTTGTTATTTTACCTTTTGAACAATAAATACATTGTTCGACGTTATCTTTAGTTTAACATCAAAATAAGGTCGTCTCCCACCTACAATATACATGCTCCCGTTTGAAAAGATGTTATTAGAGTACCTAAAACCTACTTATTGAAATGACATTGTGTAAAGGAAAAATTTGGCCTATAAAAGTATAGTTATTTAGGGAAATACTAAATTAAATTAATTATTTCAATATAGATGATAAATATTAAATATATGTTTAATATAGATTATGGATATAGAACTAAGTACACATTTTAGGTAATAGTAGAGTCTAGAGGCATTCAATAAGATAATAGCAATGAATGTTTCAATTAAAGGAAAATTAATCTCAATTATAATTCTTACAATGTTCCTTTCGTGTTTTGACTGCATTTCAGGCAGTCAGCTTTTTTGCATTTTAATAATAATAAAGAAAAGAAAACATACAAAATATTGCGTAAAATATGTTAATTTTATACTTCTACTTATTTACTTACATACAGGGTGCAATCGCTGGAGGAGTGCTGGGGTTGCTGTTGGTGGTGGTGGCAGGAGGAGGCGCTCAGTTCGCGCAGGTGCCACTGCCGCGTCTGCCTACAACGATTGATGCGTGTCCGGTGTCTCTAAACATCACCTCTCATATGACAGATCCGACGTGAGATGTATTTTTTGGTATAAACTACACTTATAAATAACAAAACTTCATATAAAATATTGAATTTAAAAATAAACTTAATATTATTTATTAATTTGAACTAGTTGAACAACATACACGTATATGTACTTACCTATCTATCTATTGTAATTCTGTTCATTAAATCTCCTACGTTTCTTGGCTGGCTTTTAAGCAATATTGACGGACATTGACTAATAAGTAGTTGACCTATTTGTACGCTGTAAGTCACTGATTTTTCTTTTACGATATCATTTGTATGGCCATACAAATACTTGTCTGGGATCTAGGCAAATATTTGTTTAGGCCCCTACTCCTAGGTAGTGTATGTCCATGTGTATGTGTGGGTTGTCTCAAACCCCGAGATACAATAATCATCTATACATATAATACAATTGTAACTAAGTCGAATCTGTACATTAAATATTTTTTGAAAAATCTAATTGAAATAGACATTATTATCGATACAGAGTCCGAATCTATAGTTTTTAGAATTTTTGTCTGTCTGTCTGTCTGTCTGTCTGTTACCGCATCACGAGAAAACCACTGGACAGATTTTGATGAAATTTGGTAAGATAATAGCTGGTTATCCGGGACAACATATAAGTTACTTTTTACCGCGCGAAAATATCTCATTTCTGAGAAAAGTAGTTAAGTTAGTATTTACCTATAACTAGCATTGCCCGCGGCTCCACCGGACCAAAAACCAAATTCTTAGGTTTTACATATTAGTATACTCTTACATTGCAGTTTTTGTATTTTTTCTCAGAAATGATATATTTTCCCAGGGTAAAAAGTATCCTATATGTTGACCCGGATAATCAGCTATCCATGCCCTGATGGCGGTAGTGGGTGGAGACCTTTCGTTGCGAAGCGTGGTGGGGGCCATGCTACGCGACGCGAGGTCCTGGTCGGCGATGGTCTCCTTCAGTGCCGTCATCTCACTGAAGGAGACGGCGGAGAGGGAACGCGAGGCTAACGCCTTAGCAGACCCTCTTCGTAGCCGTCGGCTGGGGGGGAGGAGGCGCCGGTATGCGCTTCTTCTCCCGCCACCCTAGAGGAGCTACCGCGGGGGGGTCTCTCGTTGACTCCCCTGCACGTCATCGGGGCGGTCGGGATGCCCTGCGAACCGAGGGCATCCTGATTTAGGCGAGGCTGACCCGCGTGGTACGGGCCGTCCGCAGGGGTGTTGCAGTGAGTGCGAAAGCGATCCTGCACGCCCCATTGCACTGCGGCGAAAGGTTCCGCTGTGGGTTTTAGTGAGTAGGAGTCTCACAGTACCCTGCCCATGACGGCGGCAGGGTCCCCATGATGGGTTTCCCCAGCGAAAACAAAGAAAAAGGATAACCAGCTATCACCATACCAAATTTCATTAAAAACCCGCCAGTGGTTTTTCTGTGAAGCGGTAACAGACAGACAGACAGACAAAAATTCTAAAAACTATAGATTCGGCCTCTATCGATAATAATGTTTATTTCAATAAGATTTTCCAAAAAATATTTAATGTACAGATTCGGCTTAGTTTCAATTTTATTATATGTAAAGATATACATATTAACCTATTTTTTATATATATATATATATATATATATATATATATATATATATATATATATATATATATATCGTATTACAGAGAAAGTCACGATCAAAGTGTCTTCTGGCTATTCAGAGTGTCATACTTGTGGTACGCGAGCATAGGTTGCTTGGCAACACTGCTGATCGGTCTGGCAGTATCCGTCGCCACCGGCGTTACAGACCCTGCAGATGTTCCCATCGATCTTCTTTCACCGCCTATTGTCAGCTTTTTGAACTCTTTACCACTTAAATTAAAGGTGAGAATGTGTTGAACAAATAGTCAAATATTTTATTGTCTTTTGGTTTTAGAATATAATTTAATTTAATATCTTTTGTAATTAATCTGATATTTTGACATGAACTGATATCAATTTAATCCTTGCTGGCTGGATCTATCATTATTATCACACTAATAATACAAAAGCCAAAGTTTGTGTCTCCTTACGTTGAAACGGCTGGACCGATTTGGGAGAAGCTTGAAGCCCACAGATATACTATTACCTGGAAGTCTGGAGCAACAAGTTAATAATAAAATTTAATAATAAAGTTTTATAATAAAATAATAAAAATAATATAATAAAATAAGTAAGTTAATAATAAAATTTTCTAAAAGGTGGCGCTGTCTATATTCAACATCAGTCAGTATAATGGAGTGTTATCATAAACCTATTAAAAGTTTCAATATTATTATAATTTAGAAAGCATTAAGAATGCCAACGCGTCTTGGCTCCGAGCGACGACGAAGCTCCAGCGTCAGGCCGCCAAGCTTGGCCGACGACAAAGACACGAGGCGCCGTCGTCGCCTGTCCGAGCTTGCGGGCGGAGTTTTCTACAGCGACGCGCCGACGCTCACGCGCGGCCACGACAACCACGCGCTCGGCCTCGACACTGAGAAACCACTACCCCAAGAATACAAACGCACTAGCTTCAAACTTGATCATCCACTAAACCCTAACGGGCCACAAACCTCGACTTGTTAAATTAATTATCAAATCTATAATCCAACATCTTTTTTGCCATAGGTTAAAAGAATTTTAAGACCTTGTACCTACTTTATCAAATATCTCTCATTTTCATTATCTATATTACTTGTCATTTCAATATTGACTATAATAATTATCGTAATAAGAGAATGATTTTTTTTTAAATCCTTTCTTACTACATTTCAAGAACTAACTTTAATATTATGAAAGTACAAATTGTATTTCAATTATTTAAGCCTGTTAGTTTTTAGCCAAATACTTATTTATTGAGTTTTGTATTATGTAAGATAACTTACTAAAGAATACTAATAGGAAATAATAATAATTTAATAGTTTTTACTTAAAATGTTACACGATTCCTACGAATTGAGAACCTCCTCCTTTTTGAAGAAGTCGGTTGAAAATAAGATATATTAGGTATTTATAAGATAGTGTTCGAATTGTATGATAAAATGTGGTCGTATATAAATCTCTACATACTTATAATAAAATTGTAACTCATCGCTGTCTGTACATGAAAAATATTTGAGAAAAAAAATATTGGGGGTCTTTATAAACACAATAGATCTCAAAAAAAAAATTTTTTTGAATTTTTCTGTTTGTATATGGGTTTGTGCGCGCTAATCTCAGAACGGCTTAGGTGCGGTTTTCACTAATATATTGTGGTAAGCTTCACTTAACAGTCAGTGTTTTATTTCAATCAGTTCATAAATAAAAAAGTTAGGTCAATGTAAAGAATCATAGGTAGTGACGAATCCGAGGTAAGCGAGGGTGAGTCGCTAGTATTACATAAAATGGTTAAAGCTATAATAACAACAATAACGCCAGCGATATTTTCTTATCATTCAAAACGAATCGATTTGTCTCACAGGTTTCTTTTGATAAGAAATTTGCATCTTAACATCATAATAAGCGTAACTTATTATTTATGCAAAATATTAAAAAACATTATTGCCACTGAAATCTTCACTTTGTAATTTACATATGTACGTATATTGAAATTGGAGTAAAGCATAGAATATTTTATAAGCGATCCGCTCTCATTTCGCTCTGGCTAAAATTATGCGCACGTTTCATACATTCATATAAATCTAATATCTATCGAAAGAAATTCTCTAAGTGGAAACCAATGTTATAACCTCATTGGTGAAAACCGTATTAAAATCCGTTGCGTAGATTAAAAGAACTAAACGCACAGACACGGATAGCGACTTTTAACCCGACTGCGGCAAAGACCAAAGGAAGGTTTTATTCATACAATTTAATGAAAAGATTCAGCTATTCAAATATAATTAGCCATAAATGTACCAAAGGTTTGACATTAATTAAACAGTTTCATGTGAATTTAAATATTAGAAAGAATAAAAAAAAAACAAGTCCGGTTACATTGAGTTCAAATATTGACAAAACTTTCGTTTAAACTTGTAGTTTTTCTAATGGGAAAAGTCTCTCATTTAAACACAAAAAATATTATAACCTATACCCAGATATATTGTACAATTTTAATAGCCTTATGTACAAGGTGCTTCTAAGCTCCGGTCTTTGTTAAAATAGCATGGTAATTTATAATTATTGTAGCATTGTGTTATATCATGAATTCATAGACTTTAGGAGACATTTTAAATTGCTTTATCATAATTTTTGTATTTTGATTTAAACTATGTGTTAGTAAATAATATAAAAACCAAAGTGTATTATTTTATTTAATGCTTAATTATTATACATTAACCTACATAATATATAGGCAAAACTTTAACAAGTAGGCAATATTAAGTCTTCTAACAATACCTACCAATTAATTCGATCCTTTAGGATGTCTACACACCGAATCAGGCTTATATGAAACCAGGGCCTACCCACCGGCATGTCTAAGGCTAATGCGCCTAATACTCGTGTCAGGAGCAAAATCCAACTGTTTCAACGATGTGAAATCGCTGGACGATGTGAAACTAGCGGTTTCGGTGTTTAAACATCATAATACATTATCATAAACTCACATATAACTTTACAAATATTAAATGCGATATAAATTTATAACAGCCAAATAAAATAGAATAAGGACATCAGATTTAAAATAAAGAAAAATATACAGAAAGTATGATACATATATTATATTGAAAACTAAATATCTGTGCTAGAAGTCAATGGTATGGACAAAATATCCTCAACAAATATAATTATGATAGTAAGTCTTGCTGTTGTAGTACTTGCTGTTGATGAATTTCTTGCATAGTAGATACTGGCAGTGTTGCGCTTACGGTTATTGAAGGCATTCCTGGTAGTGATACTGGAGTGACTATTGGTAGACCACTGCTTAACGGAGGAGGTTGAATAGGAGCTTGGGCAAAACTACTCATGTCAAAAGTTGGAACTAAGCTCGGGGGAGACTGAATTGTACTTGGTGGTAACTGAGCTTGCTCTAAAGCCGAAGGCATTAAAGTTTGGGACTGTGTATAATTTTGCATCATAGGTATGTATGGCTGTGGTTGGTTCATTGGAATACCAGGTAAATTTGGTAAAGGTGCTGGCGGTTGCATGTTGGAAACTGAAGGTATACTGCCCAAATTGGTCAATGTAGTGTCTGCTAGATCTGTAAAATAATACATTTAATAGTTTATTGGTTCCATTTCTATTATTGCATTGCATTATTAAAGATTTTTATTTAAATATTATATTTTTTTAAAGATTCATACTTACTGCTAGAATATGCAGCCATATTTGACACCATAGAGTGAGTTTGTGACATAGGTGGCTGGGACATGCTAGGTGGTATCATGCCCTGTTCTGCCATGCTTGATGTTGGCAAACGTTCAGTGGAAGGTATATAAGATCCAGGATTTACCATTGGTACACCTGATAAAAATGGAGGTTGAGAAACATGCACTTCTGCTTGATTTGTGCCCTCATTAGCATTTGTCACATGAGTTGATTCAGTTGTTATATTAAGGTTTTGAATATCTGACACTAATACTTGTTGTTGTAAATTGACATTTTGTGATGAGACCTAAAAATAATTGACAGTAATTAAACAATTTATTTGAATTTTTATATATACTCAATTATTTGACTTTTGTATATTTATTTGTTTTCATAATATTTTTATGTAGGTAACATACTTTTTTTTTCTTTCTTATTCATCTCCCAAAGTTAATCACTATTATTTAAACTTCATTTATTTATGCTTAGTTGTTAATTGAATTTCAAATTAAACTGACAGACATGTGAATTCTCTATAAGGTTTCTAATATAGTAAATAATATATTATAAATTACCATTGGTGCTGATACAGTGTATGGCTTTTGATTAGGCACTGGTGGACTACCTCTTATTGGAATTCTATGCAAATAACCATATCCAATGCCACATCCAAGGCTGCCTTCTCCACCCCAGTTATGATTTGGTGTAATAAGAACTTCACGACATGTATCATCATTAATATTGTAAACATAGAGCTTCAGGGCCCTTCCTTCATGAGCTTCTATTAATGTAAATAGATCTTCACTTTCATGCATAATGGAATCTGCCCCAATTATATAATCCGAAAAGGGTCTCAACCCAGCTAATTCTGCTGGTGATGATGGATGTACTTCCTGTAAAATTAGATTTTCAACCATATTTACTGCCACAGAAATTATGACATGAATTATAGAAAACCTGTGTATTTTAACGATAAAATAACAATTCTCAGATTAAGTTGGAATTAATAAAAGAAAATTACTTACAAGTACATGCCAAACATTTTCATTAGCTCCTTCAAAAGAACAAAATCTTATACTGACACCCAGTAAACCTTGTCCTCCCCAATTTGCACTTGGAGTAATCATAACTTCTCTTACAGATTGAGTCTTAGTGCTATAAATAAGCATCTTTATTGTTTTATCAATGTTCTGTTTTAAGAGTGTCTTAAGAGTGTCATTGTCTTGATCTAATCTAGTATTTTCTATAGCTACAATAAAGTCAAAAAATGGTTCAAGATTGACTTGTTGTCCCGGTGAACCGTCTTGGACCTGCAAAACATTGACGTGTTACAAATAAATTTTATGAAAAAAAGAGAAAAGAAATTTGTTGGCAATAACTGTAAAGAAAACAAACCCTCAGAATATGGTATCCTTCAGAACCACCTCCTGGAACTTCAGAACTTTGCGAAGAACCCATTGATCTAAATAATTAAGGAGGAAACTAAGAAATGAGATATTTTGAAATTTATAACACCTTTGCCATGACAGCGAAAACTTTGACACTGACAGTACCGGATTCCTACGTGGCAGTTCACTGCAACTATAGCGGGTACCGGTTTTCTTAAAATAAAATGATTTAACATTTTCCACTATCAGATTAAAAATAATAACAGTTAAGTATTTATAACACCACGTGCAATTTGATGTGAAGTAAATAGTCAGAATCGATGGAGACATTTTAACAAATCAATTAATCTCTCCCAATTTTTTAAATATAATGATACTTTTGACTATAACAAAATTATTAATTATTAAGAATTTTTTAAAAACATCGTAAAACTCAAATATTTCAAGTTTTAGACCTAGCACGCACAAGTGACTTTTGCCATCGTAACTGTATTATCCATGAAATGTATGGAATATCTCCATTGAAATTGCACGACACATTTGTATGCCGTCCTGCGGACAAGCCCGTAACGAATCTTACACCACGCTGTTAGGTTCATCAACGCGCGGACATGGACGAAATTGTCACTTGATACTTCTCAAGTTCTCACTGGTCGGGCGTTCCCGTTCTCCAGACGTTTTTCAACCATTCACAAGGTAGCACGCAAATATAGGGTGAGCGTTTGATAATATTAAGATGACAAATTTTAACGAAATAATACATAAATAAAAACAAAATGGCGCAAAAGTAAAAAGCTATAAAAAACATTTACAGCTTTTTAGTTCTGGCTAGTTAGACCATTTGATATTTATTTTACAATTAGCGACTCACCCTCGCTTCGCTCGGGTTCGTCCCTAGCTTGCTTCCTAATACAAACTTTTATCCCCATTTTTACCCCTTTCACTCTTTATAATATTAGTATAGATTTTGATTTTTGTATCCCAAAATATTTTTAAGCGTTTATGTATTTATATATCTAATATATTATTGTAATTATCTGTTAAATCTCTTCCTTTTCTTATCACTATCGATAAGTATGGACAAAAAGATTTAAAACATCCAAATTGACACCTAAAAACCGCTAATTTAATAATAATTAATATATATGATGACCGTCGCGTTATTAAGAAAAAATCTAATAAATTCATCAAAATCGGTTCAGCTGTGTATGAATTACGAGGAAACATAGCCTCAGACAAAAAAAACGATTCTTTCAATTCCAACACGTAAAAAGTGAACAAACAAGATGGATACATAGACATACATATAGCATTTATATCGCAGCGAGTATAAAACTCTACTCAAGTGTAAAAAAAATCGGGTGGAGCTGTGTCGGGGCCTTTTATAAATATTGCAATCTTTGAAGATAGTAACGGAAAAAATATCATATATGCATATATTTTTCAAACAATAAAACAAGAAAAACGGTAACTATAAATATGTTGTGGTATGATTTACAAAGTCGTTCTACGTCAAAAGTGTCCGACTGCATTTTGGCGTGTTCCTTCGTCCACTTCTTTCCATCTTTTTAGTTTCTTTTTTATGCAGTAAATTTATTAGCGCATGCGTGACGACGCGTTATTAAAACATGGTGTACATCATAGATGAATAGTAAAAAGTGTATATAGGCCCTTATTATTTAGTGTTCTGTGACAAGTGACAACTGACAATCACCCATTGGCCATTCATTTCACCAATAACAAACGTCAAAAACAAATTCTAAAAAATATATTTTTGCTTACAGCTTGAGCTGACTTGAGTGTCCCCCCTCTGGCTTGAGCTTGTGTGCCTCCATGACTTAATAACTAAATAAATAAAACAATTATCCAATGTCTTAAAAACTCAGGATGATAATTGAGTCTCAATAGCTTAAAAGAATTAATTCTCCTATTTTAAATTAATACAACTTATCTAGAATTCCAAATATCCTTGAAGTGTGTGTTTTAATATAATATATATAATAAAGGTATGTGTTTAATTAATTAAAGTTGCTGTAATTTTAGACATCATATTGGAAGGATATTAATTTAAATTTCCTTTTGGTAACACTAACAGTTAAACTCATTTACGTAGGAAATTAAGCTTTTCAAAAATCTAGAATCTAGATAACGATACAATGGCAGAATGGAAACATTTAATAACCGAATGGCTTAGTGAATATGCAGCATTAAGAGAAAACGAAGTTAAAAGTTTTGCAGCAGAACATGAACATAATCATGAGATTGCAACTGCCATATTTAATTTATTATATGGTGAAGCAGATAATGAAAATCAAACTATCCAAAAAAGTGAAGAGTCAGATGAACAAGTATGGGTATTATTTAAAAATGTAATATTTTAATTATTATTTCTTTTATTTTAACTTAATTGTCTTATTTCAGATGCTAGAAAATGTTTGTATACAATTATTTAGTTTCTATAGATCTAAAGAAGTTGAACTACAAAGATTTACGCTTCAATTTGTTCCTACATTTATTTATCGCTATTTGAGCATTATTGCTCAAGGCAATACAAAATCTTGTCGGTGTGTAGAGACATTACTCATTGGTAGGTTTTAATTGATTGTTAGGTAATAATATTATACCATATTAAGATAAAATATTTTATAATATATCAATTATTGCAGGATTATATAATTTTGAAGTTGTAGATGAAACTGGAAAACCTAAAGTTGTTTCTTTTAGATTGCCGTCACTAGCACAGGCTTCAATCTATCATGAGGTACTGAATATGTTATTATTATATAGAAATACAATACTTTGTGTTACTTAATATTTATTTTTTAATTTTTAGCCACTGTCTCTAGGATCTCAATTTCTAACTGAAAGTGCTTTGCGAAGATGGGAAGAGTGTAATACGAAATTAGTTAGTTGGGGGCCTCATTCTCAAGTAGATGTCATTAATGCACAAAACCGTCTTAAAGTAATGGCAGCTCTCTTATTCATTTATAACCGTCAATTGAGCTTATTACCTAAACTTGCACTAAGACATTTTTGTATAGCATCTTCCAGGTAAATATTTATATTTATTCATATAAGAATGGTATAATTTAATATTTTAAATAGAATACAACCAACTACTGGTTAATCCAAAATAGCATACAGAAAATTAATAGCTTGTTTTTGAGATTATAATTTAAAGCTGTTCTGATCATTTAAGTATTCATGCCAAACTTATCTATTCATATTTCATTTCAGGATTGTAACACAAGGTTTTCACAAAAAAAATGGTGCTTCAGGTGGTAGGTCTATTCAAAGGATACCAGTATCATCTAATTTTCTTTTAGAAATGATAGAAGGTGCATATTTTTCTATGTTCAATGAGTTTTATACTTTGGCATTCCAAGCTGTGAAAGATATAGACAGAAGAGCCCAATATGAGCTGCTCCCAGATGTGATGTTAGTCACCAGTGCTATAATGAATTCACTAGAAAATAATCCTTCTGGTTTGTACCGTTATATATAAAAGTTTTTAATGTTTAAATTGCTATTATAAATACATAAATATATATTTATATAAAAAATACAAATTAAACAAATATAAATAAAAACAAATTAATTTTAGGTCAACCATGCGATGGCCCAATGGGCATCAGTGTTGCATTGTCACCGGCAACTACAACTGTCACTATGTCAAAATCAATGATCACAAATGCATCATTCCGCACCAAAAAATTGCCAGGTAAAATACCTATTATGATTGTCTAATTTTTATAAGTTTATAATACAAGTATAATAGATGATATTTATTTTATGTTGAGAAAGAAGGCTAAAGTCTGATATTCCTTTTTTTAAACAGATATTTTAATTACAGATTAATACAATAATTTTTATGGTATAAAAAATTACTAACAGTAATTATGTTTTCCTCTCACTGTCAGATTTTTGTTTTAATAAACACTATAAGGTATGCTTAATAGTTATTACTAACCGACTTCAAAATCTGTAAAAATATTCTGCCCCACCTATTTGCTATTCTTGGGGTGTGTCTATTTGTTTTTTTTTTCGCTTACAGTTTGGTTAAGGTTTCGATTGCTAACAGTCACACAGAAAATAAAAATAAAATACATTTAGAAAATGATTGTTTTATTATTAATATATTTTAAATGTATGTACTAAAATTTTTAACCATTTCTTAATTAATAGACTATCAAATTTCAATTTAGGGCACATTAATTCTTATAGTATTAAAATTACTATGAATAAAACCCAAAATTAAAAAAGTTTTTCTTACCGGCTCATCTCGACAGAACAGCATAATAAGCCTCTGGGAGCTTTCTCATAAATAGTAAACATTGTCTATTTTTAGATTAATATCTATTTATTCACAAGATTGTTGTGGAAGTACCTTTTATATTTATTTTACGTACAATACAGAAACTATGCAGAAAGATATATATGTAAATGATTCTAAGCTTGGAAAAGCTCTGCTTAAATATGCGTTTACATTTTATTTTCAGATGATATTCCTATACAAGCTGGTCAAGTTATGGCTACAGAATCAGCAGATATGTTAACATCAATCATAGAGGAAGCCGAAGCAGATCCTCCCATGCAACGTGGCGCCGGTGTACGCAGCTCTAAGCCGAAACTCGCCTCATTTCCAGTGTTAGGGAAAAAGACAAAAGACGGCAAAGAAAAAACGGAAAAGAAAGTAACAGTAAAAGATGCTTCCAAGGTTATATGGAATTCACTCAGTGGTGGAGGAGATATGACGGATGGGCCGAAGAATGCAGATAATTTCGATGGAAATGGGAGTCTCAAAGATGAAATATCTATGTCGTCAGTCCACAATAGTGTAGACAACTCAGATACAAGATCCCAGGTGACGACTGACTCCCTGGACATGGAGACCACGTCCCGCTTCACCGCTATGCAAGTTAGCTCCGTGTAAATGCTATATATCCATCACAAAACTTTGTAAGCTAATATATTTTTGACTTGTACTTATAATATGTGCGGTGTATTTATTGTAAATTAGTGGTAAATGGTTGCATGGCGTATATTTTTAGTAAATTGCTAGGGGAAAATGTGTATGTAGTTTATTATATGTTAATTCTGTTTTTAATATAATTAGTACCCAAGTATTAGCTACATAGGTGCTAAGTTTATTTGTTTTTGAGCCAATAATATACACAGATATTGCAGAAACTTTTCGAAATGCGAAAAACACTTGTCAAAGTATATCAATTTAATTGCTTACAGTAGTTCGAAACATTAATGTATTCTAAGAGATTATAGGTGTAACAATATAGATTGAGATATATTAAAATTTAAAAGTCAAAAATTTTATATGTAATTAACAATGTGTTGGTTTCTGGCAGAGTTTTTTTACTTTTAATTCTAAAACACTAACGTATGCTCCATTCTTACGTAAATTCATGAATCAGTAAAGTATGATTTATAATATTATAAACAAGTAACTACTTAAAACTATATGAATGCCGTGACGAAATCTAAAGGGAATTTGTTGATAAGGTATTGTTATGGCATTAATAGACTTCCTTTATTACTTATATTTATTATTCTTCTTTATAGATTACATCATACATGCGTTTTCTCTTATTTAAATAAAAATAGGTAGATGGCAATATTACATTTTATAAGGACTAAGGATATTTTGAGCCATAAAAAATTTCAAAAATTTGTCAGATTTTTGAATGTTACTCTCGAATGTGGCTGGTCTACATTATTCTTTGTTTTAAATCTCGGACGTTACTTTTAAATCCAATGTGGTAAATTTTTCTCTAGTATAAATTCAAATATCTATATGGTACAGTCATGAAAGAATTAGGGCTAATTCGTTCATGGGTATAGTGAATCATTTTTTCTTTTATTTTCTATTGCTACAAAATAATAATATACTATTACTTTTAGTAGAACTGTATTATTTGTATAAATGGCTATAATAAAAAGCTGTTGGAGATGCCACTCAGCACAATTATCTGCAGATCTAAGAAATACCGTTTTACAGAAGTTTTTTATCCGACTGCGGCGAAGCCTAATATAAAGTTTCATACTAAATGTTCTGCGTCAACTTCTTCTCATCTTCTTAGTTCGCTTTTACGCAGTCGGTTTTTTAATGTTGTTATATTTTTTTTAGTTCACTTTTTACGCAATAAGGTTTTTTTTTATTTTTGTAAATTGTTATTTTTAAATTATATTAAATGGAGGATTTGGCAGTACCATTAAAAAGGCTTAAGCACATGAAATATTTGTAACTTACGTAACATAATGTAAAATCACTAAAATAATTCACTGTACCACCTTTACTTGTTACTAATCATAAAGTTAATTGTTCGTATTTTAAGAAACATGGAAAATACTAAATATATTGAATGGCAATGGCAAAATTCTAACAATTTTATTTTTTTATGCCTACTACCAAATGCTTATTGAGTACAGTTTGTACGCAACCTAATTTAGTTCACTTCTACACACACAACAGTAAAAGCAGCACGACTATATTTTAATAATAATATGGGACAACAATGTGTTATCAAAAGCGTCTTTATCAGTGCCTCTCATTGTAAACTCTTATGATTGAAGATGTCTACTTTGTGTAATCATTAATATTGCGTCTTTATGACTCACAGCTAGTATAATAAGGACTTTCCCGTCGCCTTTCCACTTAGTTTATGAAAAACAGTGCTCAGTAAAGGTAGTAAAAATGAGAGTGCTAGTATTTTTATCATTCGTTGTTCTCTTCTTCGTGTCGACATGTTGGGCTCGCGATATGATCGTAGGCACCAGCTTTAATACACGACTCGTTTGGCAGCAGAAAGTTGAATATAGATCTATACCTTTTAAGAAGCGCGTAAAAGAAGTTTTTTACGCGGATCCAGGTCAACAAATAATCAGGGTAAGGATCATGTTTACTTAATATTAGGTGGGATTCTTACCTCATCGTTATTTTAACTGTATTTGCTAAGTGGTATACATTGCTTTAATATATTCTTGTTATATATTCGCTTAAAATTTAACAATTTAATTCAAAAACATTAGTTTTCGCAATAATATTTTAATTACAGTAACTACTAAAACTATCGAACCTATTTAATTAGATACTTAAAGTACATACTATTTGAAGTATACTTGAACTTGACTCAAAATTTAATCTTATCATTATTAAACAAAGGCATGTGTTTTCTGTAATACGGTAAATAATATACCTACAATGAACATAATATGTTATATGTGCTTGAGTTCGAGCAGGGCCGGATTATCCATAAGGCTACTTAGGCAACTGCCTATGGGTCCCTCGTCTGCTAGGGGCCCACGCACCGTGATAAAAAATTGAAAATGTTTAATAGAGGGTAAATTTAATTGGAAAAATTAAAAAATGACGGGAAAATTCCACCATGAGGACAAATACTACATTTAGATTTTCATAAAATCTACCTAATAGCGTAATTATGATTATAATTGTATTGTGGTAGAAAAAATGTATTCTAATAAGTTAGAAAAAAGGTGAAAGGGTCCCGAGAATTGCATTGCCTAGGGGACCCCCATAGAGTATATTGGGACCCCGACATGGTTAATTCGGCCCTGAGTGCGAGAAAGAAATCTAAGATATTTACCTACTATTTTTCTCACTTTCATACAACTTAAAATTTATTAAACATTGAATTGGTCATTTTACATCACTTTAAAACACAGTCATGTAGTATCAAAGCATTGCGCTCACCCAAGTGGTAAATCAGTTCGGTCGGAGACCTTCCGACCTACAACGAAGGATTTCACCATATATGTTGCGCTTATAATAAAAAATAATAAGAAAATATAAAACAATTATATTAAAAAATTATTGTTCAGATCAAAATTACACTACACTACACTGGTTCACACGTCGTTGATATTGCGTGCTGTCTGTGTTACGTTGATGCCACGAGTCACGACACTGAACTCTTATTCGGAACCTAGTATATACCAATGTACTCTGTGTTCGGAACTAACACCCAATTTTGATAAATCCATGGTCACAAAAAAGCGATATCTTAAAAAAATAAAATAAACTGGTTTTCAAGGTCGTAGCTTAATATTTGGAATTACAAATCAAATTTGTATTACCGAAGTACTAAACAAGACAAAGCCAAGCTAAGCAAAATAAGCTTAAATGGTCGGGCTTCCCCCTAGGGTTAAAAAACGGTGCGAACAATAGCGCCTCTAGTGCGTAACGTTACTTGATGTAAATAATATTATGAGTATACTAACAAATTTCGTTTAATTTTCAGGGTATAATAGCCAGAGATTTAGATCATACTGAAGCAAGCGCCACCATAACAGCCGGTGGCGTGGGATCCAGCTATGCTAACATTCGCATGAAGAGTGAACGCGGTGGCAGTCTGAACTATCAAGTTGAGATTTACGTTTGATTTTATCGTGACAAAATATACTTAATAATTATTAACAAAACGTTGTTTAAGTTTAATAAAGTAATTAATTTTAAATTACTGTTTGATTTGCATGATTAAAGACAATGTAAATTAAAATCTAATTTATTAACAATGTAGTCAATTATTTTTAACCTCGTTTTCTAAAGAGCATTTGCTTGGTTTCGCTTTGTGTTGCTAGGCTGGTTTTACCTTTTGTACACTTTATTAAAAAATATACTTTATAATAAAATCCATTTCTTGATACATAGTTATCTACTATACAGCAGTATATGTACATATATAGGTAGGTAATGTATCAGTTAAGACCTAAAAATAAAATCAATATTAATCTACTTACAGTTAGATTTATTTATATATTTTATCAATTATTATATACTGCTTCTAATTTATTTACGGTAAATCTATAAATCTTTTGCACAGACTCGACATCGAACCAAATAAGTCCAATGCGACCGTCTATATATAGAACTCTACAAAAAATTATACCTTTTAAATTATGATGTTTTTAAGCCCCTTTTTTGTTGAAAGCAATAGTCGCATAGTTATATACTTATATGCTTCTAAATTAGTAATTTTGATCGCAAAATTATCTTTATTTCTAATACGAGTATTACCTATAATTAGTACTGTAACATAGAACTCATATAATTATGTCGTCAACAAATTTAACATCGTAGATGTATATTGTATGTTTTATTTTGACTTTCAACATAAATTAATATGCTATTTGTTTAAAAAAAAAACAAAAATTAAATCTTTCATGCTATGGAATCTTCTTTCTGTATGCGAGTCCGACTGGCACTTGCGTGCGTTTTTTTTATTTTTCCAATTAACAAAAGACGAATAATATGCAGTTCATTAACAGATTCATTGTGAATACTTATTCTTCGATACGTGTATAACGAACGGATTCCGTTTATCAGGATTATCAAAATTCACATATTGCTTATGTATACGTTGATTTTTGGTTTCAAGCAGACGTTGCAGTGTGTGGATTGTAGCTTTATGTTGTTCTCGTTCCATTTCATTTATTAATATTGGCAAATTAGCGGCACACACCCATAAGTAGAACATTCCCACTGAAAATATTACATAAAAATAAATAAATGTACATAAATAAGTAAAGATCAATTTAAAATAAAAACAAAATACTAAAATATTTACTACACGTAGCAAGAGTCGCAGGCCGCAGTTTGAATAAAACATGTACCTATAGATACGTATGTCTCTCTCACTGCATAATGCGTAACATACTCTATGCTTAATGCTCTTTCTTCGTCAACTTGTTCTCATCTTTTTAGTTCGCTTTTTACGTAGTCGGGATTTTAATTTTTTTTTTATTTAGTTTTCTTAGTTTTGGACACTTATTGTTAGACATTTATAGTTTTATCTAACAATTTCTTATCCAAAATTATTTTTAAACATATAATTTATGTATATTTTTGTAAAACATAAGTATATTTTGGTACCCCATTTAATTCGTCTAGGATCCGCCATTTTGATATTTGATATGTTCACACTCACGTTATCAAGACAAATCTAACGACGTATGAATCATCAAAATCGGTTAAGCCGTTTAGTAATTACGAGGAAACATAGGGTCAGACATAGGTGCATACATAAAGGTCAAACACATAACCCTCCTTTGGACTTCGCCGCAGCCGGGTAAAAACCGACTGCTCAAAAAACGAACTAATATCATAGTAGGTAGTTTTTAGATATAGAAAGATATGCAGTCGGAGGCATAATTTATGTACAATGTAGGTACATTGTAGGGGAAAGTGGTGGTAAAACGAACACATAAGGGAAAACAGCGGAAGATTTTTTATTGCTTTGTAATAAAGTTTAACTATCCCTCTAAAGAATTAACTAATCAACAGTTATATTTTTTTTTATAAAATGTATCATTAAGAAAAATAAACAAAACCCTTAGTGTTAGTTATAAATGTACCTCCGGGGTACTGTCTGGCACTAAACGCGCCATGACCTTCAAGATGGTAGCGAATAAAATACGGCCTTTTTTTCTAACATAATATTAGAACCATTGCATACGGGAATACCCTGCATTCGTGTTTCCCCTACTTTCCCCTACATGTAAAACTCGCAGCAAGTTTGCAAGTTTTATACGAACTGCATAATAAACATTTAATATTATTCCCATTTCCCATCATGTTGTTTTTTACGAAGTCGGGTCTTTTTTATCTTTTAAGTTAAATTTTTTATTTACAGCTTTTTAGTTCTAGCCAGTAAAGACATTTGGAATTTTATGTAGATATAGGTATTTTAATAATTTCTCATCCTAGTTATTTTAAAGTTATAAGTTGTGTACATTTTTGTGACCGTCTCTTAAAAAATCTTCATTTTGATAAAACAATTTTTAAAGACACAAGTTGGCGCCTGAAATTCATCATTTTGATTTTTAATAATATCCATACAGCCTTTAACACTCGCATTATCTAGATGAATCTTACAATAATGAATAACAAAATCGGTTAAGCCGTTTAGTTAGATACTAAATATGAGGGAAATTATGAGGGAACATTGGATCGGATATACAAACATACATACAGGTCAAACACATAACCCTCTGGGCCTCGCCGCAATCGGTTAAAAAGAACCACTCATGGTAGCTGATAGATGTATTAGTTTGTATGAATATGTTATCCGTGTAAAAAAGAACATTTCATGGGATTATCGATTGAGTGTTTAATTTTAAAATTAAGTTCTTGATATTTAATTTTCTGATGTTTTTAGTAAGTAATTTGTTATTATTTTAAATTTTAAAATAAAAATGAATCTAAGAAAGTATTATAATTTGTTATTTATTATTATACACTACTTGGGATTCTTTAATAAAGAGAAACGGTATTGCAAAGCTTCAGGTACAGGCGCGGATCCAGATTTGGGGGGGGGGGGGGGTCATAGGCTGAAATATACATCTAATAAAACTGTAACTTAGCAAAATCTGTACATGAACTATTTTTTAAAAACAATTGAGACCAGGATGGCTCAGATCCTGAAATGTACATATAATAAAATAGTAACTTTGTTTTTGGAAATATGTTGAAAACTTTGAGGTTATTGTAATAGTCGTAAATTTTTACTAGACCTAGGTACAACTTTTTAAAGAATATTTTTCGGTAAGATGTCACAAGCCAGAAATTGAAAAAAAAACAATTTTAAACGGTTTGCTATACTTGTTTGCTATAAACGTCTTAAAAACATAAAACTTCCAGTGTTAATTTTTTGTATACCACATCGCGAGCGGACTATTTGTATAGCGCTATTTAAATTAAAGAAAAACTTAATAACGAATAAAAACTTAATTTGTTTCGAATTAGGTACTTAAAAAAAATTGTATTATTCCTTCTTTTCTTAGACTTCAAACTTCTCAAAAAAGTATATTTGGCCTCGGGCCCCCAATGACCCCCCCCCCCCTGGATCCGCGCTTGTTCAGGTAACAGCTAGTACCTACCTAAGACATGGTACTCATGAATATATACATAATATGTAAAATAATAAGTTCAAATATACATAATTAATCATGTAAGCTAATTATATCATCATAATCATAAGTACCTACAACTAAGTACATATATTTGTTTCTCTTTACTCTAGAAGGTACGCGGGGATTTTTTGTTTCCTCAGAATAAAGTGATAATAAATGTTGACCTCAATGATAAGTCATATTCCGTGTTATTCATGTTAATTGTTAATAGATGTTTCGTAGAATTTCATTATAATATAAGTGACATAAATAACCAAATTTGCAAGCATAAAAAGTAGCCTACAATCTACCTACATATTTCTAAAATGTAGGTATCTACTTACATACTATCATATCATAAAAGTATTTATAACTACCGGCATATATCTCTAGGTACGTTTTAACGATTAGTATGGAATAGATAGTCGATCGCTTTCTCTGTCAAAAACAAATCTAGCGCTATCCCACGGGAACCGTACATTTTTCCGGGATAAAAAGTAACCTATGTCTTATTCCAGACTATAATCTACCTCTGTGCCAAATATCATCCAGATCCGTTCTGCTGTTCTGATGTAATTGAGTAACAAACATCCATCCAAACTTTCTCATTTATAATATTAATTAATTAATGAGACTATGGTAATTTTAAATAAAACTATCTTTTCGGATTTTGTCGCGGATTTATTTGTATTTTTGTTTCCCGACGTTTCGAATGCTTTACAGCATCCATGGTCACGGGAGAGACTGAGGTGTTACATGTCTTAAAGATATAGTTGTTACAGACAGCCTACCCACAATTAACAAATACAAATAAATCCGCGACAAAATCCGAAAAGATAGTTTTATTTAAAATGTCAAATATTCGCGTAAATCTAAGAAAGTATTATGAGACTATGGTAAATTATATATTTATCAATGTATATATGTATATATGACCCGAGCAATAAGTTATTACTACCTACATAAAATTATTTAAAATCGGTTCAGCACTTTTTGCGTGAAACGCGCACACACAAACAAACAGACAGACAAAACATTTAATAACTATTGTTTTGAGGTCTATACCTATTCTGTACACACATCAGCAAACTTATCCTCTTTTTGCGTTAAAAGGTTATTTAAATATACTTGAGACAACTTTATAAGCTGGGACCATGAACGAATTAGGGTAATTCGTTCATGGCTAGGACGTAAAACAAAGATATCAGTAACAACTACCTATGGCTATGACTTTACTGTATGTGTAATTTTTAAATCAATAATATTTTATGCACAATGTTTCATATTAGTTTTGTACAAACATTTCTATTAAATTATTGACTATTTTGCACTATAGTAGGTATAACCAAGGTACTGAAAGAATACATAGATTTTATTGTGAAAGTTCAAACGATCCAATCTTTTTTTACTTACGAAGGACAAAACCACTTGCTACACTAGCACCAATCACAAGGCCAATGTCCATAGTATTTTGTTTAAGCACAAGCAGCAATGTCGTCACAATGATTGAAAGCGTGATAAGGCGTATCAGCTCGACCAAAATAAACGCAACCATCAAAATATTATTACACTGAAAAAAAAAAATAGATAGAAATTAAAGTAATAAATTACCTTTTGATAATGATATTTTTCAGACTTTTCAAAACAAATTCTATTCTAAGTTTATATGTATCAATAAAAGTAACGTAATAATAATGAACTCATTGCAGTTAGGACATGCCGACCAATTCTCACTGAAAATAGGCAGTTCTGCGAAGATATATAGTGCACAAGTGTAAGCACTAACAATTGTGCATTCTCTTATCCTTTCATACTCATACTACGGTGGGAGGACGTTACGACAACGTAGTAGACACGACCGATGAGAAATCAGGCGCAGTCATCATCACCGTCAACTTCCCAACTCCGAGCTGTTACTGAAAGTTCTTAACAGAAAAATTCAATGACCCTACTAGGGACTCGAACCCAGAACCTCCGGATCTGCAGCCGACCACTGAGGCAGTAACATAACATAATAAATATTGTTATCTATTTTTAATTTCAATAAAGAATTTTGATAAAAGAATTTTACTAGGGCGTTAACAACTTACCGTATATGCACCATAAATATATAAAACACACATTAAAACGTAAATACAATATAAAGTTATAAAATAAGGTGTGTATGTTTCAGGATCTGAAAAAGACAAATTCATCATAATTTTCAAACTATTTAAAATATATCATTCTTAATGAATCTTACTTACCCGTTACAATTTTTTCCAGTAAATCGCCGAGGTACAATAAGTTCACATCTTTCATCCACGTTGTAATTTCATATTTTACGTTTTGTGGTAGTCTAGAGCCAATACATATAATAACTAAAGTAATAGTGGCTTGTACCTAATAAAAGTAAAAGTGTTGGTCTAAGTAGTATACAATCTTATTTAATCTATACATATGATTAATAAAATTGTAACCAATTCGAATCTGTACATTAAATATTTATTGGAAAATCTTATTGAAATAAACATTATTATCTATACAGAGGCTGAATCTATAGTTTTTAGAATTTTTGTCTGTTTGTCTGTTACCGCATCACAGAAAAACCACTGGTGGGATTTTGATGAAATTTGGTATCGTGATAGCTGGTTATCCGGGTCAACATATAGTATACTTCTTACCACAGAAAAATATCTCATTTCTGAAAAAAAATACAAAAACTGCATTGTAAGAGTATACTAATATGTAAAACCTAAGAATTTGGTTTTTGGTCATCTGAACGCGGGCGGAGCCGCGGGCAATGCTAGTAAGCTATTATATTTGTAATGTAATAAATTCGAAGCTGTTTTAATGGTAAATAAGACTAAAAAACTATACGATATATATATATATATATATATATATATATATATATATATATATATATATATATATATATATATTTATATTTTATACTTAGACAATGACCACTAACGATAAGTAATAAACCCGCTTCATATGGAAGCTCGGATACTGGAGTTTCAAAATATGTATTCTATCTAGCCGACCGATTGAAGTAAAATTGACCATAGTAACAATAAAAGACATTTTATCTCATATTACATTCGAAGCAAACCCCAAAGAATTTCCCCAAGAATATTTAATTCCTAACTTTAGTCGTGTTACAATTTTGCTTTAAAATATGGAAAGATTGAAAATTCTAAAAATTAATCAAGCTCCACATACAAGCGAGAAAACACCAATTAATATTCCTCCAAGGCGAAGTGAAAACCAAAAACAACAGCTATACACTAGCGCCATTAAAATAGCTATAAAACGACTTATTGCCAATATGAAGAATGTGGCAGGTCGACCCACGCCCGCGCTAACGCTTTGAATATCCAAAATTACTACAAATGATTCAACATCGCCCACGATCGCGTGCGATACGTATTGATTGCTGCTGCTATTTATTGTTAAAACTTCATTGTGACAAATAATTGGACATAATTTCACCGATTACACATGTATTACATATAACATACAATGAAACATATAATAAAAATCTGTAGATTAAATATTTTTTGGAAAATCTTATTGAAATAGACATTATTATCGATACAGATGCAGAATCTATATTTTTTTTAAAAAATTGTCTGTCTGTTACCGCATCACGGAAAAACCACTGGATGGATTTTGATGAAATTTGGTATGATGATAGCTGGTTTTAAGGATCAACATATAGGATACTTTTTACTGCGGGAAAATATCTCATCTCTGATCTATACTAAACGTTAAAACGTAAGTAAGGACGAACCCGAGCGGAGCGAGGGTGAGTATCTAGTATTATATACAATGCAATTATTTTTCTTCTCTAGATATATTATAGTATGATAGAAATGATATAAAAAATAAAACAACATGACAATTAAATTTTGTTTATTATCTCACAGTGCTCATTACTCGCTGACAATAATTTTGTAAGACACAAAATATTGAAAACAAATTATAATAAAAGTTTAAGTTTATGTATTTACAATTAATTACTTTTTACAATCAGTACGATCATAAAGAAGGTTCTAGAATAGCAATGGCACTCGTGTGAATAGCAAAGGAATCTGTTGTGCTGATCTAAAACATACATTTATAGGGAAAAGAATTTTGTTTCAACAAAAGCCACAATATTAGAACTGTTAATTCCAAAAAAAAATACAATTCTTGCAACATAAACAATAAAATATTAAGTACCTATAATATGATAATTAAGCTTGTTTTACTTTTAACTAGTATCGTTCGATTAATTTAAAACTTGCGAAATCTACTAAGTAATTTTATATATTTAGATAAATGAACCGACCACGTACACTTGTTACCCTTCCGCGTGACTCTGTGTCACACGATATACTACTACAATATACAAAATATACTTTATAGGCTCATAGGACTATTCTTTATTCTGAAGGGTCCATATTTGAATGCTAATCAAATATCTATATTGATTACATTTTTACAAAATTTGCTAAATATTGTAATTCAATAAAATTACATAGGCTAATCAAAAAAGAAAAAAAATATACAAAATGCGTTGTTTTCAAGTAATTTTACGATATGTAGATACAATGCAAGAATTTATGAAACAACATCGTAAGGAAACCAAATAATACAAAAGTGGAACCTCGCAGTCCCGTGAGCATTTATCTTCTAAATTGTAATAACGTCGAAACTGACTTAAAACAATAACTAAGAATATTTAAACGCGTTTCATTTTGGCATTTCGTATAAAAATTTATTCTATCAGAAGCAAGAAATAATAAGCTTCATATACAATTTGTAACACCCGCCTAGCCCGAGGCAGTGAGGGTGGCACAGAAATTATAATTGTTCAAATTTGACTAATTTAACATAAAAAAATGGAGCCAATACAGTCTAACAAACAAACATTTAGTGATATTATAATAAGCGCCTTGCAATAACTAAACCCATCCGGCACAGGGATGCTATGTACTACTAACCTACGGCGTGGCCGCAATATGCCTTTACATACATAGCGTTAGCCACTATAGTGTGTTCGTTCGAGAGATTGAGATCAAAAACGAGTCGAACACAGTCTGTAGATGAGCATTAATCAAGCTCCGCTATTGGCCCTATAAACGTGAAAAATTAGAAGAATTAAGAAAAAAAAAAGCAAAACTTATTACTAAATTAAGTATGGTTTAGATAACTAAAATTTACAGTGCCGGAAACTACATTAATTAAATTAAGCGAAATTAAAAAATAAGTTGGAACATGTTACTCGTGTAATGTAATAATGAGTAGAGTTGTCATTTGGATCATGTTTGGTTGTGAGTGTGGTCACCGGCGGCGCCTAGCTGTAGGTGAGCGACTGCGGCACGCCGTTAACGGTCTTGGACTTCAGTACCCCGTTCTCGTACGACATCACCGTCTCGCGCCCATTCTCCATCACCCTATGAACATACAAAAATAAATTAATAAATATGTTGGGACATTAACACACAGCACCATCTAGTTCCACGGTAAGCAACGAGGCCTGTGTTATGGATACCAGATAGTAGATACACTACACATATATAACTTTAAATACATATATATTGTAAATATAATTACCCATGACTGGAATTCGTTCTCATCACACAAATGAATGATCCCAGCGGGACTCGAACCCGCGACCGCCGGCACAGCAAGTAGGGTCACATACTGAGCCAAACGTGCCGTTATTTTAAAAGTTTTATTTAACACCTCTAGGTAGATTTTTAAGAAATTAATTAAATTTCTAAGAAATCTATTGTTAACAGCAACGCCGGCGTGTCCGCGGTCGTTGAAGGCTTAAAATAAATAATAAATCTTTTAGCACCTGTAACTTTATTCATTTTAACTTCAATTTATTTATTTTATCTTAAATTTTATATCTTAAATCTTTTAGCACCTGTAACTTTATTCATTTTAACTTCAATTTATTCATTTTATCTTAAATTCACTAGGTAATTATTGTCTTTTTTTGAAACCATAGTAATATTATAAATGTGAAAGTGTGTTTGTTTGTTTATTTCTCCTTCTTTCTCGTCGAAACGAAGTGACAGGTTTGCGTGATTATTTTTGTGGAGATAGTTGGAGAGCTAGAGAGTGACATAGGCACGGCACGACATATTTTTACCACGGGAGATCATCTCATTCCCACGGGAAAACAATCAATCCAATCAATAAAATCCAAAAAAATATTTATGATCAGAGTTACTTGAAACTTGCTATTAATGCTCTTCAATCTGTGCTAATATTATAAAGAGGTAAAGTTTGCGAGTTTGTGAATTGTGAGTTTGTGACGTTGTAGGGGGTAATCTCTGGATCTACTGAACAGATTTATATGTAATTTGGTAAGAAGATAGTTTGAAACCCTGGGATGGACATAGGATACCTTTTATCCCAGAAATCATCCCTTAAGGGGGTGAAAATGGGGATGAAAGTTTATATGGGGAATCAACCTAGGGACGAACCCGAGCGAAGCGAAGGTGAGTCGCTAATAAAATTAAATAAATACGTGCTTTAGCATTTTTTGAAATTCATCCTACAAGGGGGTCAAATTAGGGATGAAAGTTTGTATAAAAGTACATTTTTAGAGATTTTATTTGTAGTTTTAGGGCGAGCGATGCTGCGGGTTCTGCTAGTTTCTAATAAATCTAACAGATTTTTAAAAAACACCAAGGGTATGGTAATTTTCATTTTTATAACAAGAAATTATACTTTTATATTACATACTACTTTTATATTATAGGTATTACGATCACGTTGAACGAATTAAAAAGTATCCAATATCATACAACAAAGACAAACATATACAAACTTTTTCGTAGTAATCTTCTTCCCATTAACGACACGGGTGGTGGTGGTCGTGCTGCGCATGTTCGCGCTGCCGGGGCCGGCCATCGAGCTGTTGAAGGTGGAGAAGGACGTGAAGCTGTTGCCGTTGGTGGCTGCGTGCGCGAAGATGTCGTCTAGCCCCTGCATGCCGAAGCCGAAGGGACTGAACAGCGACGACGTCAGCGAGGTGCCCGGGTGGTGGCTGCGGCGGTGGCGGTGCCCGTGCCCGTTTATATCTGGTAACGTATCATTATAATATAACTTTCTGTAAATTAAGGCTTTATAACAAGAAAAGAACACATGTGTCTCTTCTCACGTAGTACATGTAAAATATGCTATGTAATAAATAATAATATAATATTTGATGTTATCTAAATATAGCCTGACTCTCTAGAATACCTGGAACAGTAAACGAATGGAGAAATATAAAATATTTTATCAATTCATTGAAAAAAATGGTGGCCCAAAAGGTTTTCATGCCACTGTTCATATAGGTCAAACACATAATTCTCGTTTGGGCTTTGCTACAGATATTAAAACACTAGATCAGGCTTTTATTAAATCTGAACACACAAAAGTAAAAACATAATTTGCAACAACATTTTTATCTCCATATATTAAAGAGGTTAAGCCTTAAATTCATTAATTAACCCGGCCTGTACTTTGGCCTCTTGAAAAGTGTCCGATAGGAGTAACAAACATACCCACATACCTATACTAAGTTTGACATATTTTATGATATTTCTGTGATTTTATATAATCTATATACACATAAATAAAATTGAAGTGTCTGTTTGTAATGTCAAAATAACAGCTTTTTTACTAAATGCATTTGAAAGTAAATATACTACGGTACGGTACGGTACTAAACAAAAAAATTCTGTCTGTCTGTTTGTTCCGGCTGATCACCGAAACGGCTGAACCGATTTCGAAGGGACATTTATGTTGTTTGGATGTTATAAAGAGTAACTTAGGCTACTTTTATTTTAGAAAAAGAATCACGGTTCCGCGCAAAAAATTTAATACCCATAAATACGTAGGGACGCACCCGAGCGAAGCAAGTGTAAGTCGCTAGTAAATACTATTAATTTTTAGCTGTCGATACCGGCGAGTGTCAGTTAAACAAGCGAAATGTGAATAGGAGCAACTTTATTTATATTTTGATATTCATTGCCGACTTCAAAAATGGTGGTACTCATTTCGATTGTACGTTTCTTTGTGCCATGTGCGTTTACGCCATATTTTAATCAATTGTAAATCTATTTTGATTGCTCAAATATTCATTATAAATCTATACATATTATAATAAAATTGTAACCAAGCCTGTACATTGTAGCCTGTACATTAAATATTTTTTTGGAAAATCTTATTGAAATAGACATTATTATCGATACAGAGGCCGAAGGTTTAAGAATTTTTGTCTGTCCGTCTGTCTGTCTGTCTGATCACGGAAAACTACTGGAGGGATTTTGATGAAATTTGGTATGATGATATCTGGTTATTCGGGTCAATATAGGATACTTTTTACAGCGAGAAAATATCTCATCTCTGAGAAATCTATACTAAACGTTAAAACGTAACTAGGGACGAACCCGAGCGAAGAGAGGGTGAGTCGCTAGTATATCTATATATCTATTTGAAACATGGAACTTAAATGCCTATGAAAATAGTTGTCCTGTTAGGGAACTCAAGGTTAACACCAATACTCCGTGGTGGAACAAAAAGTTAGAACGACTTAGAGTATCCACACGTCGCTTATTTAATCAGGCCACTACACCGTATGGGTGGGAACGGTATAAGAAGGCTCTGACTAAATACCATAAAGAGATCAGAAAAGCTAAAAGAGCATCTTGGAAACGATTCTGTGAGAATATCGCCCAAACACATAAAGGAGCGAGAATCCACAAGATCCTTGCCACCAAATACCGAATAAAGACACCAAATATCTTTCTTGGCTTCTTAAAAAAGCGAGACAATTCCTTTACGACCACAGAGATGGAGACGCTGGAACTGTTAAGAGCAACCCATTTCCCAGGATCGTACCCTGTCTCCAGCAGTGAATCAAACCCAAAGGAAAACTACATCCACAGGGCAAATAGTTGCGACTGGAAGATGGCCAATACCATATTTAGGCCTAACCAGATTAGATGGGCTTTGAAAAAATTCAAACCATTTAAATCAGCAGGGGAAGACGGAATTTTTCCAGCCCTACTTCAACAGGGCATGGAACTCCTTATCCCGCATCTGGTAAAACTATTTAGAGCAAGCTTTGCTTGGGGCATCATACCAGAACAATGGACTAAGGTCAAGGTTATCTTTATACCGAAGATCGGTAAAAACGACTACTCTCAGCCCAAATCCTTTAGACCTATTAGTCTTACTTCTTTCCTACTAAAAACAATGGAAAAAGTAATCGATCAGCACATTAGAACAAGGTATCTTGTGGCTAGACCACTTTCCTGCAATCAACATGCTTACCAAAAGGGTAAATCAACAGAATCTGCCTTAGTAGCTCTAATCGACAAGGCAGAAAGGTCCCTAGAGGATAAGCAGACCGCCCTATGTGCGTTTCTGGACATTGAGGGGGCCTTTGACAACACACCTACGGCAACCATCCTGAAAGGATTAAATGCAAAAGGTGTTGATGTCACAACCACCAGATGGGTGGAATATATGCTCTCCAACCGGTGTGCGAAAGTTACGCTAAACGAACACTCGCACAACTTTTACACTACCAGAGGCTGTCCGCAAGGAGGAGTACTTTCACCCCTATTATGGACACTAGCTGTAGACCTACTACTTGTAATCATGGCTGATCTCGACTACGATACACAAGGCTATGCAGATGACCTTGTTGTAGTAGTAAGAGGTCCTTGCCTTAACACAATTTCCACCAGGTTACAAGGAGCTCTCAACACCATCACAAGATGGTGTAGAGAAAATGAATTATTAATAAACCCTGATAAAACAGTTATTGTACCATTCACCAGGAAAAGGAAGCTTGAAAGGCTGACTGAACTCAGACTCAATGGCAAAACCCTTAACCTATCAAATGAGGTAAAGTACCTTGGAGTCACTATTGATCAAAAGTTGACCTGGAACTCTCACCTCAACAACATTATAAAAAAAGCCAAAATGGCCCTTTGGATATGTTGTCGAATGGCTGGAGCAAAGTGGGGTCTCAAACCCAAAATGGCTCTCTGGATGTACACCGCTGTGGTAAGGCCGATTATAACATACGCCTCAGTCGTATGGTGTAACAAAACCAAACAAAAGACAACTATAAGTAAACTAGACAGTGTGCAACGGATGGCATGTCTAATTATCACAGGAGCCTTTCATTCGGCACCAGGAGACGCTCTAAATGCTTTGTTGGACTTAGCTCCGCTATATCTCCACGTGCAAAAAGAAGCTAAATCCTGGCTCTACAGGCTCTGTACACAATCGAATGTAAGGTTGCAATCGCAATATATGAACAAACTCAAAGAGTTGACATTCGAACATAAAACTCTAAAAATGCCAGTGGATGGCATGAGCACAGAGTTTAACTTCATAAAACAGTACCAAATAGATCTTCCCAACCGGGACATGTGGCTAAAAGACCAAGTGTCTCACAAAAAGGGCAGTCATGTTTGGTTTACAGACGGATCCAAGAAAGGATCTGATGTAGGGTGCGGTATCTATGGCCTAAAGCCTAGATTTAACATGAGTATCAATCTGGGCAAAGAGGCCACCATCTTTCAAGCAGAGGTCTTCGCCATTAACAAATGTGCTGAAGTCATCCTGGAAAGAAAGCTTAAGAACCAAAATATCTACATCAACTCAGATAGCCAAGCAGCACTTTTAGCTATAGATTCTCTTGAGACCAACTCTAAGTTGATCAAAGACTGTATGAATAATCTGAATGTCCTGGGCACATCCAACAGAGTTATCCTCAGATGGGTCCCGGGTCACTCAGGTATAGACGGGAATGAAAAGGCCGATGCCTTGGCAAGAAGGGGCGCTGAAACCCCAGAATTTGGCCCCGAGCCATTTTGTGGTATTGCCAAACAACATGCCTATTCAATTCTCAAAAACCACTGCAATCTCAAAGCACTTCAAGAGTGGCAATCCACTTCTGGACAAACACACTCTAAAGCGCTAATTAAGGGATATCGCAAAACCTTTACAAAAGAGTTGCTTCAACTCAACAAGTATAAAACCAGTGCGGTAACCAGAATACTTACTGGTCACTGCAAACTCAATAAACATATGTTTACCCTCGGCCTCAGTCAAACCGCAATGTGCAGACTATGTCATGAGACAGAGGAAACTGCTATGCACATCCTCTGCTCGTGCGGTCCACTCATGCACCGCAGAAGTATCTATCTAGGGCAGCATATTATGCAACCAAAAGAGATACAGATGCTCCCCGCTCAGAAAATCTGGAAGTTCCTGGAGTCAACAGGACTAAGCGGAGAACTTTAAACTCATTATAAAGGGAGCTACAATGGACCAAAACTGGTCGACGTAGCTAGGGCCGACCTCGGCACCACACCCAACATAAATAATAATATTCTTTGTACCTAAAGGAAATGCTGTAATTATTTTAGTAACACGATAGATATTACTTGTGTGAATACTTTTTATAAAATTTATTATGATTTTTGCATTTTCAAAGTTTTATTGTAATTAAAAATGCCATTTTCAATAGTGCTTAAGATTGTATACAATTATCGGTGTAAGTGAGCAAAACATACTATATATATTTAGTACACTAATCCAATGCCTTGCTATACCAAGATAGCGTATAAATAAACAAGTCACAAAAACGTAACCATATTTGGACACGGCAGGGCAGATCTTAAGATAGACATTTTTATTTCGTATCGTTACAATTTTTATGTAAAATGAATTAAAAACTATTTGTATCGATGACCGTACTACGTCACAATCTAGCGACTCATCGAAAAGTGAGGAACAGAATAAGGTCTTATATATTCAACATACATTATAGAGCAATGAATCATACATTTTTAAAATTCTCCAAAGAGCGTTTTTATTACATCCCACATTATGACTCATGAAAAATAACATCTTTTAACTTTCTATTACCTATTAAGTATAAACTCGCCTTTGGAACCTTGTCTATATTTGGATAGCCGATAATTATAACTGTGCCTTTGAATCTTTCAACTAAAATATCTCTGAATGATTTTTTTTTTTGGGAAATTGCACTCTTCAATCGGTATACTATTATTATTTGGCTTCGGTACGCAGCGCTGGATTTACACTAGGGACACTTGGGGCTACTGCCCAGGGCGGCAAATTTTTAGGGGCAGTAACATATGGAGGGCGAGAAAAAAAAATTCTTCGCCTTATCGAAAATACTTTTATTTATTTTCCAAAAAAATGAATAATAAAAAAAGATTAACTAGTAGCTACAATTTTCGAAAAATTTATATAATTATATAAAAAAAACCATTTTGCAAAAAAAAAACAACATTTTATTCAAAACTTTCATAAAAGGTGGCATTTTTTACTATGCCCAGGAGCGGCGCTAAGGTTAAATCCGGCACTGTCGGTACGCAAACAGATTACAATCTGGAATAGGACATAGGTATGGCAAGTCGCTAGTATAGCAAAAAAAAAGTATATTAAGCAATATTTACCAGCAAATAATTCGCCAAACGGAGAGCCACCGAAGAATTCTCTGAACACCTCCTCCGGATCTCGGAATGTAAAGGGGAAGCTGTGATAGCCGAAGTCGTAGTCCTCGTCAGATGCGGTATGTCGCCCCCTGCTACTGTTCAGTCCTTCCTTGCCATATTGATCGTACACACGACGCTTCCTCTCTGAAAACAAAAACACAAACCAGTCTATATTTTGAATCGAAAAACGATTCACGCGTAGATATAAAGCACTAAATATCCGTACATCTGAAATGAGTGCTTTGAAAATAAGCATGACGTATTGTAAAATGAAATTCTGATCCCTTCTGATCCTTAACTTTGATAAGGCGACAAAGCATAATCGATGTACATAACTTTAAATTTATCTCAGACATTTAAGATACTACTTAAGATGTTTCATGTGTAACAGATGTCATTTACGGAAAGTGTGTAATGTGTTGGCTAGACAGCAAAAGGGCTACACAATTATGTTTGTATATAATAAGCATTTTATTTTAACAGCCAAACATCTTAAACATTAATTTTCAAAACACATTCGTACCTTCACACTATTTAGTAGTAGCTTTCATATTATAACGTTGACTTAAACCATTTGCAGATAACGAAAAGGGCATTAGGTTGGTCAAAGTAGCATATCATATGATTAGTGTTAAGACACGCAACTGGGAATTGTTAATAGCAATATAAGTGAGTAGCTGCCAAATAACTCCTTTGTTATGATACTAAAGTATTAATTATTCAAACATTGCCATCATCTTTCATGCTATTATGTATAGAAAAAACCATAATTTGGTACGATTTTTATTGTAACTTAATATTATCTGAGAAAACAAAATAATCGGTTATAATGTATTGTGTAACACACATAAAATATCATACCAAATATGGTTGAAATGACAATATTCAAATTATGGAAAACCCTATGTGATGTGGAAATCTACCAAAAAAACGGTGGAATGGTGTGTCTCCAAAAAAACCTTTGAAGCTAAAGTGCCGATGGCCATTAACTCCATTCTTGCTTTGATATCTGTGACTGTGGTGACTGGATCCCCGTGCATCATACAATTTCCTCTTGGTTTCTACCCAACAATAAGATTATTTTGTACATCATACTAACTAGGTATTCAAAAACCATGTTTGTTGAGATGGTCAAATGCATTAATAATATAAATATTTTTTCTACTTTAATTTCATAAGTGACATGATTTGACACATGTCAAAAAAAAATAAAAAAACTTGGACAACTCTTGACAAGAATCAATACTTGTAGAACTACTATTTTATTGCATTCTCAATGGATTGTTTCTCGTTTCTTATGTGAAATTGATGATTTTACAAAACAATATAGAAAATATTTTCCTTCTTTTATTTCAAGATTTACTACTAAAATGTTTGTGTTATTGGGTAGAAACATATATTTTTGTTTCATATTATATAGTATTTAGCATTTGAAAGTATGCATAAGCAATAATATTGCATGTTAAAAAATATTTTAATTCTTATTTATAAAGAATTTGTATGATTATCTGTAATATTTATATTTAATTATACTTTTACATAATTAGATTTATAATATTATACAGGATATTATATAATATAATATATTAATTAATAAAATAATAAGTCTCACCATCAGATAGAACTTCATAGGCTTCTGAAATTTCTTTAAACCGTCGGTTAGCTTCATCTGCATTGTCTGGATTCTTATCAGGATGCCATTTTAATGCCAATTTTCTGTAACTGTTCATTAATATAATTAACTATTTTTAAAACATACTGGTTTGTTAAATTAATTAATCTCATAATATGAAGAATGACAAATTAAACAAAATTATATTAAGTTAATGAAATTAAAAAGCTATTACTTCACCTAAGAAATCAGTAAAATTTATAATAATAAAGAATCACAAAATTTATAATAAAAATAGGTGAACTGTGCTATGTATTTTTTTTTAAAAACTAGTTATTAACATTATTTTTATATACATAATATTTATTGGTGGTTAGTTGATATCTTTTATCATTACAGCATTTATTTTAATTTATTTATTTTAATTCTTTACTCTTTTAATTGGGTTAAAAAAATATTTAAACTGTTGCTAAAATTGCAATTTCATCACCCATTTTCATTGTAAAGCCTATCAATTGAGAAACATAGAAACCTTAGGAGTAAAGCAATTTTATATTAGTCTGCATTATGAGTCAAATAGGTTCCGAAACTACTGAACCGATTTAGATGAAATTTGGTAAGATAGTTTGAGACCCTGGGAAGGGCATAGGATAGTTTTATCCTGGAAATCATCCTTTAAGGGGGTAAAAATAGGGATGAAAGTTTGAATGGGGAACCAAACTAGGCATGAACCCGAGTGAAGCAAGGGTGAATTGCTAGTAATAAATAAACATAAGATAGGACAAAAGATTTGCAAGAATTGCTTGCAAATTCAGCTTTTCATTTGTTAAAAAAATATTTAGCACATATAAATATAAAAAGTAGCACAGATTAATATAACTAGTACTTACGCTTTCTTAATTTCTGCATCAGTAGCACTCCGAGAAACACAAAGTATTCTATAGTAGTCCACCATCTCTATTTTCCCTCGAGGGGTGTGATAATACCTGAAATTGAAGTATAAATGTAATTTAGTGTAATAATAACTACTTGAAAGTGTAGTAAATTATAAAAATTCTTAAAACATATCCCAGATTATTTATATAGGAGAAAACATGCTTTGTTTAGTTTAATGTTAAATTTGTAAAAATAACATTGCACATTAGTGTTAGTGCCATACTGACACTAAGTAATTATTATTTTTAAGTTGCGACTATTAAGTTTAGTATCACTTCCATGTCTGGCCTATTGTGATCACCGCATATTAAACTATAGTAACTCAATAAACCCTGCTGCTGTGATGAAATGCAGGATTTGTATAGGGTCACACTCTTTACTTTTTTCTGGCCCTAGAAACTGTTTGCCAAGATGAAAACTGTACTTGCATAAGAGAACCAATAAGATATACATAATGATGATGAGATTTATCAACCACCGGCTCATATAACTTTGTTAACACTAAAGGTATGTTGATAAAGTTAATCCAGGATATAAGCTACCTCCATTTCAATTATTAGTTGTAATCATTAGTATAACTTAATAAATAGTAATTAAACAGCATGAAAAAATAACACATATGATAGTAGAACAAGGCTTTTAAATATTATATGTTTAATATTAGCATGATTAATAAAAAGATAGTTGTGTGAATCAGGTAAAAAGAAGACCTTGACTAACCTGTGGAGAAAATTTATTAAATAAGTTATAAAAGGTTATATTTTTTTTAATCTAGAAATATGTAAAAGATAAGAGCAAAAGAGGCCATTACATAAAATACAATTGTTAATAGCCAATAATTAAAGTGTATTTTAATATTAAAATACACACAAAAGGAAAAAGTATATGTTTTTATTATGTTTCATATAAAAACTGTAAAATAATAATAAAAAAATGCATAAAATTGTTATTTTTCTACATAAGTATTCATATTAATATATAAAGACATGTTTGATCACAGAGTACTATTATAATTTAAAATTAACAAACATAATATGGGTTTTATTATAATATACCCACCTAAAAATGACTCTAGTAACAATGTCATATAAACTGATTGAAAAATAATTAGATTGTCAAAAGTGATTTTATTTTATATTTATGTCCAGCTACCAATAATAATATTATATTGTACTAGAAAGTATTGATTATACAAAATACTAATACTATGTCATTTAATGATCTTACTTTATAATGTTTTAGACTGTTGGAAATCTGATAAGAAATTAAAAATTTCTACTTTTGTTGTTTGAAATAATATACATATTTACATATACACTTTATAGAGAAACATCATAGAAACATTCATCATCCATTTGCAGAATTTATTATATTAATACTGTTATGCTCTTGTTTTAAGCAATCTTTATTGCATATGTTACACAATAAGGCATTAAGTCTTAAGCAAAAGACAACCTCTCAATTACAACATTAATGTAGATATGTATGTTACTATTTATATAATGATGTGAATTAAACCGAAAAGTTATTAATAACATATTTTAATATAATAAGAATATTGTAATTATGTACATTTCAATAGTAGAATAAAAAAATGCATATTTGTTATGATTTTACTACAGATCAAGTTAACAAACATTTGATTTTAAAATGTGAATATTTAGTCTGTAGCCTTTTTAGTTCATAGTGTGATAAGTTATACATGTTTAATTAATGTGTGGGTTTTACAAAATCACAGAAAACTCTTATGTTAATAATTCAGATCTGATGTTAATATTGTATATGTTATGGCAAAAAAAAGTTACTTTATATTTACTAAATCTTTAAATAGCTAATTTAAATAGCTGTCAATAAACCATATCAAACAGAAATAAAAATGTTATAATAATTGCTTTGTATTGTTTTTTTTTTGGTATCTTACTTTGTATTACCTATTTAAAAATAGACTAAATCGTCATAAATAATTATGTAGATGTATAGAAATTATAAAATAATATTCACCACCTACACAGTATGATGCAGACTTAAATGTTAATGTGACACAACATTCAATATATTTCTATAAGACACCTGCTATTTCGTAATAACTGAATAAAATAATAAAACACGATAGAAATGTTTGTAATATGGATTTGTACAAACCTCTATAACATTTGTTTAAGCTATTTCATCCAAAGCTGGTAAACAGGTGAACGCGGGTGGCAAAATATTCGCCAACCTCCCGGAATGACACAATGGAAAACTTATCACTTCTAGCAAGTACAGTCACCTTGTTTTTAGTGTTCACAAACTGCTATATCAATCACTTGAAATGCACATGGATTATACGTATGATTGGTTCTGTTCAATGACAGTAATGATTATTCGTATTATTGAGAATAATAACACTGTAATCACACCTTTGTTGGCAAAAATCGTCAGCAAGCGAAAAATTCTCGCAAGCAAAATCAATAAACATTTGACTAGATCTAGGAAGTCGGCTTCCCTCTAAATTACATGAATGAAAATACTTTTTTTTAATTATGTTATTTCTAGATAATAGCTATTACATTTGATTGTCGTAACTCGTAACTATTAACGATCCTGACCTATGCAGCGCACATTTTTTCACCCATTGACTGGTTCGACACACTGACTCAACTGAATAAATTCATTCTGTTTTTCTAGCATAAAATTGCACGTGTGAACGCTCCTTATCTCAACCAAGAGAAATTTAAATTTAATGTAAGTGCGAACTTGATGTATAAATTTAGGTTCCGTAAATAATGCGTGGGAAACAGAGTGGCGTGTCATTTCTTTTACATTTACGTTATTATAATCTGTGTTTCGTAACCGTATTACATTCACGTAATTTTGTTTTTATCTTTTCCTAATAACGGCCTGTCCGCACTGCGATATTTCACCGGACGTTTTTATTCTCGCAATTCTGTAACACATTGAATCTTATAGGAGTATCCGCACTGGCGGTTAATAATTCACGCGAAAAAAAAATCTGTGATTTGATGCAAATTGAACGCGATGCGGCGCGGATATTTTCCGCGCGAATGTTTTGTACAGTATATAGAAGTATGGCTATGGCCGCACTGCGAAATAAAATTCGCGCGTTTCGCTCAGTCGTGCACCGACGCTATTGGTTTATCGAATGATTTTGTAGTCATTCTGTAATATCCGAAAAACTTTTTACTGTATTTTCGCGGCTCTTGATATTTAATATAGAAAAACATCATTTTAGATTACTAAAATGTCTCAGTAGATATAGTAGATTTATCATTTTAGACGTTTGTCTCAGTCGGGAACTGCATCAAACTGACAAAAATCGTACGAAATTTTATTCGCAGTTTGTAATAAGTACAATTTCGATCACGGAATATAATACGCGAGAATAAAAATCGCGCGGTGATATATCGCAGTGCGGACAGGGCCTTAGTGTTCTGTTGTATAGTCCAGAAATAAGTGTAGAAAATTTAATTAATAAATAAACTATATAGAAGAACGTCAACTAAATATTTTACTTGTCTCTCACTCGCACAACACATTTAAGAAGCACGGAAGATATTTTTCTTTTCCATGTTTAAGAAGTAACGTCAGAAAAACTAACAGAACAATGCAAAAGCTTTAATTAAAATATACTGAGATTACAACAATATTAGAGGCCATATAATTGGGCTTAGTAAACTAACAAACAACAAAATAGCTCCGTATTAAATGTATTTATTATATGCACTCCAATAAATTTTTAAATTATCTTTATTGTCTTTTTTATTAATGTCATTAAGCACCTTTAACATGAAGTAAGTACAAAGTTTTTAGTTATTTTAAAATATTAATTCGTTATTAAACTCAGAGTAAATGTAAATGTGGATCATACATGTAGCGCCCTCCTTTCAAGAAATCTCACCAAAATATGAATATAAAAACTTTTAGCAATAGTACCACTTTCTTTTGTTAGACATTTTGACAGACGTAAGTATTAGGTTTTGGCCTGTGTGTCAGTCTAAAATCTTAAAAAAATGGACTAAAATATTAAAAAAAAGTTGCCTGTCGCGGGACGCCCGGCAGTTGTGAAACATCTATCATGATAATATTAGAATTTATCTACAATAATATATAACGAGGTAAAGTTTGTGAGTTTGTGTCGTTGAAGAGGTGATCTCTGGATCTACTGAACCAATTTAGACGAAATTTGGTAAGATGATAGTTTGAGACCCTGGAAAGGACATAGGATACTTTTTATCCCGGAAATCATTCCTTAAGGGGATGATGGTCCCTTGTATTGGGAAGTAAGCCAGGGACGAACCCGAGCGAAGCGAGGGTGAGTCGCTAGTAATCAATAAAAATTAAAAACCTAAAACAAAATATGGCAAAAAAAGAAAAAAAGTTTCGTTAATAAAATCAAATTTATTTCTTATTATTTCAATAATAATAATAATTACAGAATATATACATATTCATAAATAGATAAGAAAATACGTAAGTATTTTTAATAGAGACAATGGATGCCTTTATAGTATACAAGCGCCCACACACACTAGGGAGTGGAGAGTGGTTGTGTAGAACAGGCATAATCGCATTAGAGTCTGTATCCGTCACGCCACCGTTTGCCGTAATAACACGGGTCAGTTAACAGTTTCACTGCCAAGGCGCGCCTTGGCGACGTTTCACATCAAAAAATTGTTATATCGAATTATTATGTTTTAGAATATACAGTTAAGTTTTAATGGCTTATTTGGCTTAATTGCCCAAAAATCAATTTGCCTCGGAGGGCCAGCCAACGGATTGTTGTGCTAGAATGCGAAAATAACCCTACGGCGCGGTGGCGCAACATTAGTACATGGAAGGTTCTGTCGGGTTTTAGTAGTAATATTTATAAATACATATAGGCCAAGAAAATTTAACTAGTCTTGTTTTTTTTAATTGTAATATAAAAACATATTTAATATATCACAGTAAAATAAAAATTACTTAGTATTCCTTTTAAATTTAGTAACAATGTATAATATCCGTTATAAAAACTTAAAAAAAAACCGACTTCCAGGCACTAAAATGTAAAAAATAACTAAACGGGGGTTTTCATTTAGAATAGATACCTAAATCAGGGCACAAATTCAGAATTGGGGACTTGGCCCCTAGCGGAGTGGGTGGTATTTCTGGATAAGGGACGTGATAGGGACTCGAAATGTTAAATAAAAATTGTCCGCGAACGTATGAGTAAAAAGTTATTGAGACTTAAAGTTACAACATTTCTATACATTTTCATATATTTCTTTACCACCATTCGGAGTGGGTGGTATTTTTAGATAGGGGAGGTGACAGAGAGTCAAAATATATTAAAAATATTTGGAGGAAACGTACGAGTAAAAAGTTATTGAGACTTAAAGTTATAACATATCTAACACATTTCCATACATTTCTTTACCTAAATAAGTGATTACAACAGATAAACATACCTTTAACGAATAGTACGCATCCTTTTTTATGTACATTACACATTTTCACAACAATTAATGCTTTATTGTATTTAATATTTTAATAATTTCACAACACAAACAAAATGATCTTACATTTTGACAAAAGCAAAACTGACACTTTGTTTTATATTACCGCTTAAATGACAACAGATTATATTTGATTATTTTTGCTTTTTCTGTTGGTAAAATATTAATATTAATAAATAAATAAATAAAAAGAAAAATATTATTTTCATTTCATAAATACATTTATGATTTTTTATCTGATTTATGTAAAATATATTGTTTTACAATTGTACATTTAGTAAAAAAAAAACATTTTTTTATCTGTGAATATTTTTCAGTATTATTGGCGGGTGTTCTTAAAATACCGCGAAGTTTCATAATTTGTGACTCTGTACTCTGTGTATTTTCCATTAGTTATTAGTTTTTGTTAATTTTTATATACTTTCGTTTCTTGTTTTTGTTTTAATATTATTTTTATAGTTTTAAGTGTTCATAGTGTTAGTGTAAACAATTTATAAACGTGAGTAGACTATTTTTAAAATCTAAATGTATTATTTACTTTTGGTTTTTATTTTGCGACATCGTGGTTAGTTTAAGACACAGGTTATTTATTTATTATTCGTCATATCTTGGTTAGGTTAGGTTAGAACATTTAAGATTATTTATTTATTATTCCTCATATCTGGGTTAGGTTAGGTTAGAACATTTGTCCGGGGCAGAGGCTGACTGCTACCGGACGCGTCCCCGGGTGGCGGATAGGGGAGCACCACTCGCACCTGTTAGACCGGAACAGGAGCTTGTGGTACCGGAGCAATCCGGCGCGGACCAACAGCCAGGAGGAGGGGTTGAGGGAGCGGCGTTAGAGGGCGCCGTCTCCTTCTTGGAGGTAGCGCGGTGTCTCCGGCCGTTTCGCGGTAGGAGGTGCTGCGCGGGCCACACTGCCGGGGCTAGCCCGTCGGTGCGGCGGCTGGAGCGGGGCCATTTCGGTGGTCCTGCGTCTGGCGAGGGTTGTCGGCAGCCATTTTGGTCCGGAGGTGGGCCGACGGTAGGGGGGCCGCGGGGGAAGAGGAGTGTCGGTATGGCGATGCGCCGCTCGTCCCTATCTCCCGCGGCCTAGCGGGGCCACCACCGTTGATGGTGGACGCGGTGGGGCTGCAGGGGAAGGGGAGTGTCGGCGTTGTCGCATCTTCTTCTCCTGCAGCCGTTTGTGTGTGGGCTCGTTCGCGAGCGTCTTTGGGGGGTTTGCCCAATTTGGGTGGGGTTTGTTATTTTTTGCAGGTTGCCCACTTCGGTGGGCGGTGTTTGTGTGGTGTGGGGCTGCTCCGGGTACTTCTCTGATCAGCAGAGTGGACTTAGGAGCGGCCTCACTTTTTTGGGTTGAGAGTCTTCCCATAATGGGGTTGTCCCGCTTGGGGCGGCCTCATGGTTGGTGGCTTCGGCCAACCGTCTGGGCGTCGCGGTTGTATGCGAGAGCGATCCCGTGGCGTCCCACATGGCGGCTGGGGGGAAAGTTGGGTTTTAGTGGGTATGCCGGTCTCATTAGCCGGAGAGTCTCCACATAACCACCCCGGGGGAAGTCGGGTGGTATCCGTAATAGGATTTCCCAACTATAAAAAAAAAAAAAAGTTAGAACATTTAAGATTATTTATTTATTATTCCTCATATCTTGGTTAGGTTAGGTTAGAACAGTTGCCACAACGCACGAGCCGAGCGAGCGAAGCGAGCGTGCCGCGGTAGCGGCCGGCGAGTGCCATAAATGACTAGAAAACTAGAAAATTCGAATTTCACGCAAAGTACAAATAAAGACAATCATCTGGAGATCATTTTGACAATTGAAAGTGACGTTTTGACTCCAAGTGTCTAAATGGTAGTAATGTCAAAATAATGTATGGAAATGTTGTAACTTTAAGTCTCAATAACTTTTTACTCATACGTTCGCGGACAATTTTTATTTAACATTTCGACTCCCTATCACGTCCCTTAT